GCCTCGGATCTCTGCCACTAAGCTCCCGATTCCTATTTAACATTGTATTTTTTCATTGGATTATCATTTTGTCTTACATGCAATGTACAATTGAGAGATATAACTACAGAGATACAGGTCGACCAGCCATCGCGTCGGTGTACACGGAGGTGCGACGGTCGCAGCGGTGGTGGGTCACCTCGGGCGCTTCTTCGCGGGTCCCGACGGCGTCGGACTCGAGGACCCGCGTGTACGCTTCGCTCGTCTCCAGCAGCTGCTCGAGCTCGAGCACGACATCTTGGAGGTCGTCGACTTGGGCTTGGAGATCACACACTTGCTTCTCGTGCGCCAACAGCAGCAGCTCATCGTTGCCAACCATGTCGCGCTGAACTTGCTCCAGCTGTTCCATCAGACGGCCAAGCTCCTGGTCTCGCTGCGCGTGGTCATCGAGACTGCCTTGGAGCTGGCGAATCTGCGCTTGGAGCTCGGCCACGTCGGATTGGAGCTCGGCCACGTCGCATTGGAGCTGATCGCGCGTGCGAACGAGTGCTGCGACTTGATTCGTGCGGCCCTCGAGGTCTTCTTGGAGCATGTGCATCTGCTCGTCCTTGCCTTGAATGGACGTTGCTTGAGCGCGGGCTGCACCGACTTGAGCTGCCTCGGCAGCTCCAAGCTTGGCTTGGACGACTCGAAGCTGACCTTGGAGATCGCGGACTTGACCTTCGTCTGCGGCCACAAGCTCGTCCTTGGTGGCCACAGCACGCTGAAGCTGGTCGACAATACCATGGTGCGTCTGAGCGAGCTGGTCGCGTTCGTCGAGGTCCTCTTGAAGCTGGCGGAGGGCCGCTTCCTTGGTCTCGATCGTCGCGTCGTGAAGAAGCTGGGCGCTGCCAGCGGCCATCTTGGCCACGGCAAGCTGACCCAGTAGTTCGTCGATGCGATCTTGATGCGAGACCAAAGAGGCGTCCTTGGCCGAGACTTGAAGAAGCATCCGCTGCTCATGACCGTCGACGTCGGCTTGCAGCATCTGGAGACGTTCGTTCATGGCCTTGACGGTGGCGTCGTGGTCCATCGTCGCATAGCATCGATCTGTCAAGCTGTCGGTGAGCTCGTTCTGGAGGCGATCGAGTTGGTCTTGGAGCTCGCGTTCTTGCGCTTGATGCGACGCCAAGTCCTGGTGCGTTTGCTCAAGCTGGTCCACGACACCGGCGAGGTCTTGTGCATGGCTGTCGAGGTCGGCTTGAAGCGTCTGGATGCGCTCGTCCTTGGACGCGATGGTGTTGGTAGCGTCGCGGAGGAGGACCGCGTTGTCGTCCTCGGTCGCTTTGGACGTTGCAAGGTCGCGCTTGGTCTGGTCGAGCGCGTGCTCGGCGTGTGCGAGGTTGCTGGTCGTGAGCTCGAGCTCGGCTTGGAGCGAGGCGATGTGGTCGTCCTTGGTGGCCGCTGCCAGTGTCGACGCAGCGATGGCATTGGTCGCCGCTGCGAGGTCGGCGGTTGTGTGGCGCAGCTGCGCTTCGATCTCTGCAGTGTAACGCTCTGCGACACGCGCGTCGTCAGCGATTTTTTGTGTCGTGGCAGCCTCTGCGGTCGTCGTGGCGATCGTGGTCTGGAGACGGTGGTTGAGCTTGGCGAGCGTGTGGAGGTCGCGGCGCAGGCCCTCCGATCGAGTGAAGAGGACCTGAGCGCGCTCGAGGCTGGCGTCGCGCTGTGCGGCTAGCTTTGTAAGCTCGGAGATGAGAGCCGTCTCTTTGATCGAGTGCTCTTGGCGCAGCTTGGCGTCCGAGGCAGCCAAAGCTTCTTGGTGTTCTTGCTGCAGCGTCGTCATCACAGTGGCAATGTTGGCCTCGTGCTCGGTACGCAAGGTCGTGGCCAACGCCGCCAACTGCATCTGGCAGTCGGTGCGGAGGCTCTCGAGGCGTTCTTCGTACTCGGTGCGCAAGGCAGCGAGCTCACGAGCGTGGCGTCCAGGGACGACCATCGCTTCCGGCGCTGTTGCCGCGCGCTGCGTGCGCGTGGAGACAGTCGGGGTGGTGCGTGTGCAGGCAGCCGAGGCGGCGCGCGTCGTGCGGGCCGACGTGGTCGGTCCTGGCTTGGCCTTGGAGGCCGCGTTCATCGAAGGGTTCCAGCGAGGTGCTTGCATTTCAATCGCGATCGAAATATGCGCTGCTTCCTACACATCGCCTAGCTTTTTCCATTGGGAAAGGCTACCCCTCGACGAAAAGGCGTGCGCGGGCCAGTACCGCCTCGACTGCTTTTGTACGCCAAGATGGACGCATCGGTGGTGTCGCTTGACGCGGTGTGCCAAGAAGGTAAAGACAGTAGGGTCATCGTACTAGTAGCAGCTACCGCAATGACGTTGCTTTGATAGCCTGGCACAACATGTCGCCTGCGTAGATATACACTGTGCCAGGTATACAAGTCGACTCTATTCATTGCATGCGTTTATAAGCTCCATGCGCATTGGAGCAACATAGGTTGTATTTCTGAAGGATTTCGTCGTCAAGCGTGTGACTGGTGCTTGATGCAAGAAGCCAACATGGTAGTGACGTGGCAGGCTGTGGCGCTGTGATGGAGACTACTTTTTAGGCGAATTCGAGCGAGGGGTATGCACAATCGAGAAGCGCGATGTGCATTTTACTTTGAAAGGCGACGTGACGGCGTAGTGGTTAGTGCTTGATCGGCCTGGCGTCGCTGACTTTTATGCTGGTGCCTAGCGTTCTGTACAATGACAGCACTCGGAATTGTGCGTTGCGAGCTGGTTGCAGCACCGCCTGTCCGAAATGCCCGTCTTGTTCCTATGTACGTTGTGGTTGTGCGCCTCATAGGCGTGTGGCGTTGTATAGATGTTGCGCATCGACGATGGAAGAGCCGAGACGAGATGAGCGCGTAGCGCTAAAGGGTTAGATGACATTGTGTTCTTCGTCGTCGTCGGTCGTCTCTTCGTCGTTCGACATGGCCGAGTCGTCGTCCGACAGTGCAAGTTGCGCTGGTGCAGCGACCTCGCGCTGCGTCAAAGTACGCGCCAGCCAAGCAATGGCTGGAAGGTGCAAAAACAGCACGTAGAACAGAATCGCTGTCGTGCTAGATCATCACCGCGTCAATCATCACCGCGTCACGCAGGACCAGGTTGGCGTCGAGAGGGACGAACATGGAAGATAGGGCGATGACCCCGTCCGCGAGGAAGACGAAATCACCGGGTTGGAGGTCTTTGAAACCGGAATCAAGTGTGCTATGGCTCGTCGGGATCCCGCTGAAAGCCGCAGAGAGACATAGGGCCAAGAGAAGCAGCGCCGACCCTGCCTCGACGAGGGAGCGGGGTAGCAACCAGAGAGTCGCTGTGACGGCTATCGCTCCGAGCATCATGCAGACGCGCATGCGCAGGTTGAGCATCGCAATGCTCAAGGCAGCTTCGTGGAAGGCCATGGCGGGCTCGGCCATCATGGAGCTCTGCGCGTTGGATCGGGAATTGAAGAATGCAATCGCAATACAATTAAAATAAACAAACCGCCCCGCGATATATATATTGAACGTTTTTTTCTTAACTCATAGTTTGTATGATTGAGGTATTAAAATGTCGAAGGATGGTAACATGACACTGATTCGCGCAAATACAGATTGATTTTGTTAATGTATGCGTTCGCATTGGTTACATATCTTTTATTTTGACCAATGGCATGTGCGCGGACGGGGTCTGTTGTCGGATCTCGCATCATCTTCGCTTTGAAATCGCGGCTTGCAGCATGCTTTACGGGACGTTCCGCGCGGGGGCCGACAGCGCGCTCGCCCGCCCGGCGCTCACAGCGACAGCCGCCAAGGCCTTGCTTCTCGTCTTCTTTCTCTGGGGCGTCGGGGTGCTCGAGACGTCGAGCGTCCCGCTGCGCCTGCCCGACCCAGGAGCGTCGACTCGCCTGCCGTACAGCCATAGCATGCATGCATGACAAGCTCACAAAGCGCTCTGTGTAGGAGCCCCTCGCACCATGATGTAGAACGCGCCTTTCACGTCAACGGCTGGACCATGGCTTCGTCCTCGTACTTTTATCTGTCACCCGCGACCATCGACGACAACGCCATCTGGAAATCGCACTCGGGGCTGGACGTCGCATTAGCGCCTCTCGTTCCTCCGACGTGCTTGGCATCAGTCGATCTTGACGTGGCGATGATGTTTGTGGACGGGCCTGAGCTTCCATCCATCACGCAACCTGCGGTCGCCGTTGCGCATCTGGCCGCCGACGTCCACGCCAACTGCGCCATTGTCGCACGCGCCTATGACCTCGGCTACACTGGCGTCATCTTCCACACACCGGCGGAAACCTCTTCCTTTGATATTTGCCCCGCGATCACTGCGGCCTTGGACATCACGCCTGGAGCTCCGTTTGTCAAGGGCGCGCCGCGCTTGAGTCTCGGAGCTACCCGTGCCCGCCACCGCGTGCCTGCTTATATCAGTCTTGTCGATACCGCCGCGCTGGCGTCGCTCCGGTTGTCGCACCACGACGGCACATTGCACTTGCACCGGACTTGCGACGTCCAAGTCCAGACGGCGCCCACCCTCACCGGCCACCTCTCGTCGCCCAAGATCGGAAGCGCGGCCGTTGCGCTCGGTACACTCCTACCATCTCACCTACGAGTCAGAACCGTCATTGTGCATAGGCGTGTATCTCGATGGCGCGTCGCATGCCGAGCTGGTCGCAACGGTTGCGCGCACCTTGCGTGCGCGCATGCAGGCGGGCTGGACACCAACCAAGAGCGTTATGCTCGTGGTCTGGCCGAACGAAGCGAGCGCAGTCGAGTGGCTTGAGGACCCCGCGAACGCGCACGTGACGTTGTTGCGCCTGGACGAGGCGTCAACCACGGCCGTAACTACCGCTGGCACCCGGGGCGGCGACGCTTACAAGGTTGATGCCGTCAACGTGCCGCACCTTCGCCGCGCTGCCTCGGCGGCCGTCATCATCGACACCTTGGTCGCGCTGGCTGCGTAAGGCAGTTGCGATACACCAACATGAATATCCAAAACAGCGTTTGAGGTGTCTTAGCAGCTGCTCCGGCGCACACGCCCTCGCGTCGGCGGCGCATCGACGTACTCGTCGAGGAACTGGACGCGCTTTGTCGACGTCGGGTGGGCCTTCTTGGGCGCGCCACGGAGGTCGCGCGGAATGCGGCTCATGGCCGTCGAGAGCTTCTCTTCCAACGTGGCCGTGCGGCGAAGCAGCGCATAGCGTTGCTGGATGTCGGAAGCCGAGTGCGTCTGGTCGAGGCGCACGTGCTTGGACCGGTACTGGTGCAGACGAATGTCGTCGGTCGAGTTGGGTGCCATGTACATAGGATATGCTTTTGGCACGCGCTGGTCGTCGTCGTCGACGTAGACGCTCATCGGTGTAAAGCTGTGGGCGTTGCCGCTCATCCACGCCTGCGACGAAGTCGTCGTTTGGTTGCCACAGAGCCAATTCCGCCGGGACGAGGCGTAGTTGGCGATCGTAGCCGCTTGTCGGTGTCCCGCGAGCGAGTCGGGCGGACGGTGCGTCTCAGACGGCGGCGTGTACCGGTACTTGGCCATCGAGTCGGGTGGCGGTGCTTGGTGCTTGCGGTGCACCGCGATCGAGTCGGGCGGCGCGACCTTGCGGTGGAACGCTAGCGAGTCGGGCGCTTTCTTTTCGTCAAAGATGGACGTGTGCTTGACGCTGATGGGGCTAATGCACGCCGTCAGGATCGTCCGCTCGTCCCGCTTGACCATGTTCCTGCCACCAGCAAGCAAGAAGCCACACTGGCACATGGCAGCGGCTTGGCGCGTCTCCAAGCCTCTACATGCAGACCGATGATTCGAGGAAGCGCTCTCTCTTGCACATTGTTGTAACAGCAGGTGGTGTTATAACAGATCGATGACGCGTGCCATTGCTGCTGCAAGGACTCGACAACTCGAGTCTTGACTTCGTGTGATCCGCACGACGAAGCGCGCGCTTCTCGGTCCTGATCCGAAGACGCAACCATAGCGTCGTGCTAGAAGCACGCAACTTTTGGTGTGTCGTAAAGCTATTTGTCGATGAAAAGTAGAAGCAAGCGACGCCAATGGTTCTGCTATGAAGCTACCTCATGAAACCTGTGGGGTGCCATCACAGCAGCCCGAGGTGTTCTTATAGGACTGCCGATGAGTACTGTCAGCAAGCAGCAGTTGCGTGGCTTCAGCGTGCAGAGGTAGCGTATCTATCATTATTCGGCGTATATGCAATGTAACAGGTTATAAAAATATCAATGTTGCAGGATTCCGCAGCAGAAGAGTTTGTTGGCACGCGTCACCAAGCCTGGTTGCGCATGGTTGAAGCGAGCGCCCTTCGCCAGCGCCACACGAGCGCGCCGCCCGCCGCCACGGAAGCGCCCACCTCGAGCGTGCTCGAGCTCCATGACGAGACCATCCGGCGCGACGTCATCTCGCTCCTCGCGATATTTGCCGTCTCGCTTGTCTCGGTGGTCACTGCCATCTACTACCTCGTTGTCGACGACCTGGCGCCGGAAGAGCGCGCAGCTGTCCGGTTCCCAACATCGCTCTCGGTGGCGCAAGAGCTTGGCCATGCGCTCATGACGTATGCGGACCATTCGCCGGGGCGGCTGCTCATGGCGCACGCGCTCATGTACTTGTTCTTGCAGACGTGGGCCATTCCCGGCACTGTCTTCATCAACCTCCTTGGCGGCGCGCTCTTTGGTCTCCTGCTTGGCTTCCCGCTCTGTCTCTTCTACAACACGCTCGGGTCGTGCTTCATGTATGGTCTCTCGCGACAATTTGGCGGTGCGCTCGTGCGGCGCCACTTCCCCGCCAAGCTCGAGCAGCTTCACACGATGATCGACGGCCACCGCAGCGACCTCACGCTCTACATGATCTTCCTTCGCGTCTTCCCATTCACGCCCAACTGGTTCATCAACATGTCGTCGCCGCACTTGTCGATTCCGCTGCGGCAGTTTGCGCCGTCCGTCTGCGTCGGGCTCATCCCGTACAACTTTCTCAGCTGCAAGGCCGGCTTGATTTTGAGCCACCTCCAGTCTAAAGGAGACATTATCGACACGGCGACCACGATCCAGCTGATTGTCGTCGCTGTCGGCGGCTTTGTGCTCTTGCCGCGCCTCAAAAAGCGCTTTGCGAATTGAGTTTCAGATGCGAGAGCGCCGTCAAAGACTTTACATTGGAAACAAGCTTGCTTGAGAATGAAATACGACCGGTTCATAGACGCTTGTTTGCATGGTGCGAACATTCTGTTTTAAATTCTGTTTAATACAGCATTTTACAAACCGCCCGTCCACGGTTCGATCGAGCCGGTTAAGTTCGGTTCAGAGCTGGCAACCCGATCCAAGGCCGAGCGACCGCGCGATGCACCGCTTGTTCCGGAAGGACAGAACAAGTCCGTCGCGACAGGAGCCGCCACCAAGCCGCACCTCCGAGAGCGCGGTCTCCCCAGCGCGCAGCTCCGCTAGCGATTCCGACGCCTCTAAGAAGCTTGCGATCCGCGACTTGGACGCCGAGCCATCGGCGGCGGCTTCTGCGGTGACGGCCCTCCTCGCACTCGTCGAGTCGCAGGACCACTTCCCTCTCACGCGCAGTGAGGCTGCCGACGTGGTCAAGCGCTGTTCGGCCCGCGTCTCGAGCGCGCTCCGCAACACGATCGAGAGCGCCGAGAAGGCGAAAGGAAAGCCCTCGATCTTTACGTCTGCATCGCCACCGCGCGCCTTGTGGTGTCTGCCTGCCACGAGCGTATCCCTTGCGCTGCAAGCCATGCAACTTTTGTCCCTCGCGATCCGCGACGAAGCGAATGCGCTGCTTGTCCTGGACGAGAAGCTCGGCCGGCGGCTCGTGGCCTGTCTCGACATTGCGCTGCATGCGTCGAAGAGCTCGGACGCAGAGGCGCGCACACGAGCGATCGAGAGCATGGCCCATCTCCTCAGCGTACTCGTCACCTATGCGCCAATTGTCGCCGACCTGGCGGAGAAGGACCAGCTCGTGTCGTTGTACCACATGTGCAGCACAACGCTTGAGAACGCGAAGGTGCTGCACACGGTGCTCTTGCAGCTACCCAAGGCCATTGCCGGACCGCACGCGAAGAGCATCGTTGCGCACCTTTGCAGCCGCGACGTGCTTCTCATTCTGCTCGAGCAAATGGCCGTCGTCGATGCCTGTGACGCCAGCGGGATCCTTCACGTGGTCGCTGCACACCTTCAGCATGCGGCCAGGCAGAACCTCTCGGCACTGCACGCGCAACTATTAAGCCGACAACGCTACGAGGCTCTACTACCGTTTCTCGTGACGTGGCTGACCGCCCAAGCCACGACGGGTTTGACGGAGCAGACGTTCGACTTGATCCATAGCCTCCAAGAGCTCTTGGCATCCGGCAACGAGACTCCTGGTGAGCATTACACGGCCAAGGTCAAGGAGACGCTCACGATCTTCCAGCCGACGCGACGGTCCGTCTGCACGTGCAACGCCGCCGTCCTCGACGTCGTCACCAAGCTTATCTACCGTCTCCAGCAACCGCTTGGAGCGTCCCTGACGTCGTACGAAGAACTCGTGCAGTGCCAGCTCGTCCACACCGTCGGACACGTCCTCGCGCAAGACGCGAGCCACTACCTCGTGGCTTCGGTATCCATACGCGGCTGCACTAGCACGTAGCTCCATCATCATTGTGATGTAGGAGGCTGGTCTTCTCGAAGGCTTCTTGCAGCGGCTCGAAGAGTTCTCGGACGTTGTCAAGCTCGCGATCGGGTCTGTGATTAGCTCGGTGGCCATCGAGGCGGGTGTCGTGCCGATGCTGGAGCTACGGCGCATGCAGCGCCTCCTCGATATGGTACAGGAAAGCGACTTGCGTGGCTCTGAGTTTGGTTGCTTGCGTAGCGCACGTTCTCGTATGCCAGCGTGCACATGCTGCTCGTGCTGCTCGCCAACCTCGTCCGCTTCGATACCGAGTACCTCGACGTGCTGCGCACCGTGCGGCTCACACAGACGCTCTACAACATGTTTGTCGAAGGCGCGCAGTCGACGTTCCGATACGCGTGGCCGACCGGCGATGGCCTTGCGACCGAGTGCACGGCGGCCGCACTGGATGCGATTTTGGTGTCGCATACCGAGCTCTTGGCGACCGAAGACGACGACGACGAGGCATCGAGTGACGTCGGCGCGTCGATAGTTGCCCATGACCATAACGTGCCGCTGATGTTTGAGCTCCTCTCGGCGTCGATGGTCCAGAACGAAGGCTTCTGGACGCGCGACCTCCTCGATGCCATGTCGACGTGGATCTTTGTTCCCGCCCATCGGCATGTACGTGTCTCGCGCCATTCGCGTCGTTGATTTGAGGGGCATTTTGTAGCCCTGTGTGTTTTTGTGGGCGACTCTCCTGCGAGCGACCGCGCAGACGCAGCCAACGGCCGTCTTTACGACCGACGTTCTCAACTGGGGTCTCCAAGCAATGCGTAAGACGCTGGTGTCGCCGACACCCGACTGGCACCTCGTCGTGCTGCTCTTAACGTACATGGCGACGCTACAGAGCCCGCCAAGCACGGGGTTGCGGCCCTGGGACTTTGCACATGTGACGGAGCACATGGTTGCGCCGTTGCCGACGCCGAATGCACTGGCATCGATACTCCTCGCGTGCGATGCAGATGTTGTCTTGGCGACCGTGCTCTTAGTGCTGAGTCGGTCGCCGCCGACAGACCCGCCGCTCACCCTCCACGTGGTTGACGCGCTCTTTTGCCTCGTGCAAACGTCCAGTCTCCAAAGCGACGTGTTTCGAGACGGTGTCCACCGGTACGCTGGCAAATGTGACGCGAACGCGTCACGTGTGTGCTCTGTAGACGCATTCCGTGGTCATTTCACGGGCGCCTTCTCGTCTCCTTGGTCGCGTCGACGGCGGCGCCCGACCAAGCGGCGCTGGCACAGACCGTTTGCTGGTACGTGGCCGCGCTCGCCGTCGACGTCGCGCCCGCGACGCTGCAGTCGCCCGGAGGCCATAAGAATCTGCGCCTCGTCCACCCCGAAGCCATCGTCGGACTGCTCCAGCTCCTGCAGACGTGGTCGGCTTATCTACGCGACGATGTCATCGACCAGCTCGTCGACTACCTCCACGCCGTGACGGCCTCGTACGTAATCATGTATCACATACAAAAGGCGTCATAGCGTCGTAGGTCGGACCACATTGCCCGCCTCGTGGACGCCGGGGCGCTGGAAGCCATGTTGCGTGCTTATTTTCCAATGCCGCGGGACGCGTTTCGGCCAATGGGCGACCTCTTGGTGCACATGGCCCAAGTGCGGCTCGGGCCGCGGGACCTGCGGACGTGGGTCGAGTGTATCTTGTCGGACGCGTGTCCGTCGCTGCTACCGCGGCTGCTCGCCTCGTATCCGTGCGACGACGACGTTCTGAGCACAGCGACGAATCTGCCTCGGTTTGAGCTGCACCTCGACGGCAACGGGTATGCGCAGTACACCGTCGAGGTTCTTCCAGGCGCCGCATGGCCGCCCCAAGATGGCTACACAATTTCCAGCTGGGTCTACATATCCGAGGCGTGCGAAGCCCACAGCGACGTTGAGAAGCTGTACCACCAACTCACGCAGCGCGACACGTGCATCATGTGTATGGCCGTGTACGCGTCGCCCGTGCCGCTCAAGTGCTCGCACGTCGCGTGTCGTGCCTGTGTCCAGCGCCTTGCCGACTTTGGCGGCGCCTGCGTTGTCTGCAATGCGCCGTCGCTGTACCTCTGGAGTCTTCGGTCGGCCGATGGTCGATCGGTCGTCGATGTCTTCCTCAAAGGCACCAAGGTACATATGCTGCAACGCCGGAGCTGCCTGCTAAAGATGAAGGTGGATAGCTCTTCATGAAGACGAATGCGGCCAAACATCCGACGCCGTTCCAGCACCCGCCACTGCTGGAGAAGCGCTGGTATCACATCGCACTCGTGCACGCACACCAGCGGTTCCAGTTCCAGTCGGGCTCGGCCGTCTCGCTCTACATTCAAGGCAGCGTCCAGGAAACCACAAAACTCTCGTTTCCCGTCGCGTCGCCTTCTGCGTTCTCTGGTTTCTTTGGCGTCCCGAGTGCGACGCGCCGGCCATCCAAGGGCAAGTGGTGCCTCGGTCCGACGTACGTCATCGAAGAGCCGCTTGCACCAGGGACCATCGCGGCCCTCTACGCCACGGGACCGCAGTACGACCAGCTCTTTTCGGCGCCGATGGCAACGGGACGCTGCCCGTCGCGCTCGATGGTGGCGCCGTCTCCTCCGCATCCACGTTCCTTGACGTGGTGGCCTCGACCGTGGGTCAGTCTCTGCTGCATCGACCCGGTGCGTCGGTTTGCATCCATGTAGACTCGTGTCTCAACGGCTTGTAGTGGCGCCCGCGGCCCTCCCGACGCACTCGGTCCTCATCGGCGCCGACAAGATCTTGTTTGCTTACTCGCCCCGCAACGCGATAGGCGCATCGACGCTATGCAATACGAGTCGACAAGGGCTTCCACATGCTCATGCATCGGGCGGCGCCACGGCTGTGGACCCGACCTTGCTGCCGGAGGCGGCCTTTCAGCTGTGTGGCGCCGGTGCCAAGCTCGCGTACGTGCTGCTCGAGCACGCGCGGACGATTGAAAGCGTCGACGCGAGCCTCCAGCTGCTTCTTGCGCTCACCCGCGGCCACCGCGTGCACTTGGCGGGCGTCGAGCGCGAGTCGGGCTACGAGATTGTGAATTTTCTCTTGCGCCAGAAAAGCCACTTGCTCTCGCAGCGAGCGCTTTCGACGCTCTTCCGCGTCGTGCAAGGCGACGTCTTCAACTGCGCGGCGCTGCAGCACTGGATCCTCGACGTCTCGATTTGGCTGCCGACGGCCGCAAACGTGCAGCGCGCGCTGTGTGCGACCTTGTACCAGCTGCTCTTAGTGGCCACGAGTGTCGACAAGAAGAAGCTTCAGAGCATCAATATTGTGCGGCAGCTCCTCGATGTCTTCTTGCTCGGGAATCTCTGTCTCGAGCTCGCGTCGGTCTTCGCCGACCTCGTTCTCGTCTGCCTCGACACGCTCGCGACCGACGCCAACTACGTCGACGTGTCGCTCTTCTTGGCGTCGCTCATGTCGTCCAACTTCCGGTTCGTCACACACGACGCAGCAGTCGCCTCGGTGCCCAAGCAGCTCGACCGGTGGGGCTTGAGTCCACGGGGTCGGTCGCGCCATGCGATTGCGGCTGTGCCTGACCGTGCGCTGCACCGCCAAGCGCACCTTCGCGAGCTCCTCTTGAGTATCGTCATCAAGGCCGTGCAAAAGCAAGACGTGAAACTCACCAAGCTCCAGGCCGCCGATGCCTCGCCGAGGAGCAGCAGTACCAACGCACCGACGATGCTGCCCCGACCAAAGATCCAAGGCGCGCGCAAATTGCTGACGCCGGCGTGGCTCGGACTCTTTTTGTACCCGTCCCAGCTACCCCAGCTGCCGCTCGTGGCCGCAAGCCCGAACACGGTGCTCTTGGGGTTGCAGCTTCTCGGGGTGCTGCTCACCAATCAAGCCTACGAAGTCAGCTTCAAGCACAAGGGCTTGTACAAAGTGCTCGCGTCCGCGCTGCCGGCCTCGGACCACGCGGGATTTCCCTTTGAAGCCATGTACTTTTCACTGCTTTGCCTTGTGCTCGGGCCGCCCGTGGACGGCTGGCCGCACAACAAGGTCGACCGCATCGTGCTCAACGTGGCGCACTTGACGCACGACTTTGCGCCCAACATTGCGTCCAACGTTGTCAAGAACCACAGTATGGTGACCGTGCTTCTCGCCGTCGTGCGTCGCGGGTACGGCAGTGTACCATCGATCGAGCCCGACATTTTGCACCTCGAAGTGCTCCGGTTTGTACGGTACCTCTACGAGACGATGCCCGCGTTTGCGGATGTGATCGACACGTCACTGCACCGCGACTTGGCGACGCTCATTGCGGCCGTCGTGATGTCGTCGTCCGCACATTCCTTTGCGCACCCCGTGGCGGCCGCGGCCTTGGATCTGCTCGTCGAGTCGCTCACGATGCTTTGCGTGACGACGCTCACGGGCCTAAACGTCGCGAAGAGCGTGGTTGCCGGCAGCAACACCGGCAGCCTCTCGGACGCGACGTTTGCCGAGTTTCAGAGCCTCGTCCTCGTCATGATGCTCAAGCGCGTCAAGGACAAGCTGTCGACGCAAGAGTTTTGGCTGCCAGGCTCCGTGTGCATCATCGACAACATTGGCGGGCTCTGTCTGCTCGCGCTGTCGCGGATCCAGTGCTGGCAAACCGCGCAGCCGGGTATTCCGGCCCCGTGCGGTCCGACCTTTTGCGCCAATGGCCCGAGTGCGATCATGGACCTCGTGCTCTACCTTGTCTGCGAGACACCTGTCGGGACGAGCGCGTCCAAAGCGTCGTTCCAGCCGCCGTCGCAAGACAAGAAGAAGCGCCAGCTGCGGCAGTTTCTCGGGACGATTGGCGTCAACCTCGCGCGCACGGCGTTTGAGACTGACCCGTTCATGGAAGCCATGTTTGCGAGTCTCAACGGCGTGGTGCTCCATGTACTCGCGGTCCACGAGACAGAGAGCGTCCGCGCGATGTTGCAGCGGCTGCACCGACAGCGCGAGGTCCTGCTCGGGTCGCGCAACGGCGACAAGGCGTTTTTCCGGTGTCTCTGCCGGCACCTCTTGCAGTGGCTGCTTCAGAGCACCGACGAGCTGCGCGACGCGTCGATCGCACTGTGGATCGATTTGCTCTACTTTCAGAAAGCGCTGCTCTCGGAGATGCTCACCGTGACGCTCAAAGTGCAAAACAATGCAGGATATGCGATCAACCTTGTCAAGAACGGGTTTGATATGCTGCTGACGTTGCCCAAACACGAGTTTCTCAAGTGGCTCGAGCTGGTCGGGCCGCCGCTCAAGCAGCTCGAGGCGAATTTGGACGCGAGCTACGTGCTCTGGGTCGAGCGCACGCGCAAGGATGTGAGCAAGGAGTGGGCGACGTACTTTGCCGAGAAGCGCAAACCGATCGACGACAAGGCCTTTCTGGCGACCAAGTGCAAGGAGCAAGCGTTGGAGCTCCACGATCCGTGTCGCCGCGAGATCCAGCGCCAAGCGCGGTCCCAAGCCGACTTGAAGGACCGGGATCTCTTTGGGAAGCGGCAGTTTGTCAAGGCCGCGGCTGTGGTTGCGGGAAGCCACGACGAGGCGCATCGACACACCAACCTCTTTGTACACGCGTCGCCATCGAAAAAAGCGCTGCCGCCGACGCAGTGGTACCTCGATCGCACGGAAGGCACGTACCGCATGCGGAAGCGATTGCTGGCGCTGCCCACGCCGCCGCCACGCCACCGAGTCCGAACGCGCCGACGGGCCTACTCGTGCAGCGATCTCGGGCGTGTTCTTGGTGCGTCCTATGGCGTTTCTGAGGACGTCTTCACAACGTTTTGTCGTGTTAGGTGTGGGGCTTGACGTGCCACGACGCCCCGCGTCACCCAAGCAGGGCCGACTTCCGAGCTCCACGTCGCTTGTGCTGGACAATGGCGAGTACGCTGGTGACGACGACGACGACGACCTCGGGTGGCACAAGTGGGTTCTACGCGACGACTCGGCGCTCGACGCCAAGCTGCGGCCGCTTTTACTGCCCGGCGACGACGTCAGCGACGATATTCACGACTGCCAGCGCGTGGATGGTATGGACAAGTGCCCGAGTGTGCTCCTCCTTGGGACGCAGCACGTGTACCTTGTCGACCACTTGCGTACGGACGGCGACTCGAAGCGCAAGGTCGTCGCGACCGGGGGCAGCCACGAGTGTCGTTTCTGGTCGTACGACGACATTCTCGAGCTGCACAAGCGCCGGTACCTTTTGCAGCACGTGGCCATCGAGCTCTTTGCGACCGACGGCCGCAACTACCTCGTCCGTCGTCGTCGTCTCTTGATTGTATTCTTACTGCCTTTGGATGTTGGTAGATTGCTTTCGAGTCGGGCCACCAACGGGAGCGGGTCTTTGCACTCATTTGCGCCAAGTGTCCGAACGTCAAGGGTGCTGCGAGCGGCCTCGACCGCAACGCGACGAGCAGCGAGCTCTTGACCAAGCTCCTCGGCAACTCTCTCCTCGAGCGCTGGGTGCACGGCGACGTGACCAACTTTGAGTACCTCATGCACCTCAACACGCTGGCGGGTCGGTCGTACAACGACTTGACGCAATACCCCGTATGCCGTCGTCCATCGTCGTCGCCTTCTCTTCAATCGCGTACGTGGTGTAGGTGTTTCCGTGGATTCTCTGTGATTATACCTCGCCGACCATTGATCTCTCGGACCCGAGCGTGTACCGCGACTTGACCAAGCCCATGGGTGCTCTGTACCGGTAGAGATTTGGATGTTTGCGGGGGCGCTGACGCCGTATCTAGCGAGGAGGAGTTTCGGACGCGGTACGAGTCACTGGAAGACGGCGATGTGCCGGCGTTCCACTATGGCACGCACTACTCGTCGTCGGGCATCGTGCTGCACTACCTCATGCGCCTCGAGCCGTTCACGCGCGGCATCCAGCAGCTCCAAGGCGGGCGCTTCGACCACGCGGACCGGCTCTTCGCAAGCATCCCGAGCGCGTATGCATCCGCGTCCGGGTGTTCGCCGAGCAAGCACCAGAGCAGCAACACGCAGGACGTGAAGGAGCTCATTCCCGAGTTCTTTTACCTGCCGTCGTTTCTCGAGAACCGCAACAAAATTGACTTTGGCCGCGACCAGAGTGGCGTGCATCTGAGTGCTGTGACGCTGCCGCCGTGGGCACACGGGTCGGCGGCCGAGTTTGTGCGCGTGAACCGTGCGGCGCTCGAGAGCCCGTTTGTGTCGTCGATGCTGCACCACTGGATCGACTTGATCTTTGGTTTCAAGCAGCAAGGCGCCGCCGCGGTCGAGGCCTGCAACGTGTTTTACCACTTGACGTACGAAGGTGCGTTGGACCTCGAGACCATCGCGGACCCGGCGCTCCGGGCCGCGTACCTCGACCAAATCAACGAGTTTGGGCAGACGCCGTCGCAGCTCTTCAAGATGCCGCACCCGCCGCGCGAGAAAGACAAGACTCTCTTCCGAACGCGCATGCAGCGCACGTTTTTGAACCGAAGCGTGCTGGGGACCACGACGCCCGAGCAGCAGCCGTCGCCGTCGGACGCACCGACGCTGCCCACGTCCTTGTCGTGGCCCCTACTTAGCGACGTCAAGCCGAGCTTGCAGCCCGAGCTCAAGCGTGAAGGTAGCTACAACACCGTGGTCGAGTCGTTTCGCGAGCCCGATGCCAATGTTGTGTACACGGTGGGGCTCCGGGGCGCGCGCGTCGTCGTCGTGCCCAGCGACTGTCTCCTGCTGCCGCCGCCCGCCGACGCCCTCCTCTCGTCCGACGTCAAGTTTCTCGCGTGGCGCTGCCGAGATCGGTCGCTGCGCCTCTTCTCGATGGGCGATAGTACCGGCGACACGCGACTCCTCACGGCGCTGGAGCTGCCCGACTTTTGCGCGTCCGGCGCGGTCGCCACGGCCGACGGCCGCACCATCATCACGATCGATGCGCGCGCACCGATTCTGCACGTGTGGTTCTTCAAGGCCAAGGTGCACTTGACGCGGACCGGCGCGACGATGCAGCTCCAAACGACGCTGACGGCGCCGCAGCACGGCCGGCGCATCACGGCCGCCGCCGTCTCCCGCGCCTACTCCATCCTCCTATCGGGCTGCTCGTCGGGCCACGTTCTCTTGTGGGACCTCAACCGACTCGTGGTCGTCCGCAAAGTGCTCTCGGCACCGACGCCGATCGTGGCGGTCGCTATCCAGGACGTCGTCGGCGACGTCGTCGTCGCATCGGCACACGCGTGGTACGTTGGCGACGTCAATGGCAACGTGTACGCGTCGGCAGAGACGTCGGTGGCCATTTCGGCGCTCGGCGTGAGCAGCCATGACGCGGCCGCGTGGTCGGTCGAGACACTGCTCGTCACGGGGCACGTCGATGGCACCGTGCGCCTCTGGTGCTACGGGCTCGGCCCGAGCGTGCTAAAGAGCATTTGCGGCGCATCCGGACCTCGAGTGACCAGCGTCGTGCTCTCGAAGGATGCCAAGCGCGTCTACGCAGGTCACGCCGACGGCCGCGTCTACCTCTGGCGCCTCGAGCCCGACATGCAAGGCTAGACTTTATGCCACCACTACCATCAATACCAATGACCTTGCCACTACAATCGGATGATGCAGAGCAGTGCTGGTCTGGTGCTGCGGGAACTTCACATCCGATGTCGTTGCCGCGACCAGCAGCGCCGCTTGGCTAAGGCCAGAGGCTGCGTGTCCTTCTTGAGGGGTAGGTGGACAGCGCCGTCCTCTAGGCGGCTTCGCAAGAGATGCGTTGCATTGGGATGGCCTTTCTGCACGACGCCGCCTCGGCTGCAGCGGCGTCTGCCTCGTCCTGGATGCATCTGATCGCAGAGGTTGGGTTCCGTCAACGACGCCTGCGCCAACTTGGATCTTAGTCGAATGGATCTTAGTCGACAGCGACGTACTAAGACATATTACAATAAATTCGAGTCGACTAAAATACGGCCGTTGAACACTGATAGAAAGTGTACACGGGATTTATAATAAATTAAAACTGTAGAGTCTACTCGCGTTTCCAATGCGCGATGTTGCGGAGGACTTGGCGCAGCGGCGTCTCGACGTCGTCCATGCCCGGAAGAAGCATGAGCGCCGAGAAGGCGGGGACGACGAAGCCCTCCATGAAGGACGCCTGGCTCTTGGGGCAGATGCCCTTGGTGCGGTCGCAGTCCATGCTCAGCGGCCAGCCGCGCGCCCGCTCCTGGTCGCCCTGCAGGAAGAGCTCGCCATGGAGCCGATCGACCCACACCTGGTGGATGCCCAGCGGCTTGGAAGTCTGCCCGAGGTCCGAGACGTGCACTGCGATCTGTACAACGAGCGTCACAAACTGCTTGGAGCTGCGGTCGGCGGCGGCCAGCGCCGCCAACATGCGCTTTTGCTCGCACACGGACGTGGTCCAGATTGTCTCATGGATCGTATGGCGCATCTCGGCCTGGAGCGACGGCGAGAAGCGGCGAAGGACGTTGTGTGTGGCGAGGATCTTGAGGCCGACGTCCGAGTGCATGGCTTCCAATGGACAGCACACGGGGAACGTACGCGAGAGTTCGTGCTCGCTCTGCTTGAGAAACTTGTTGGTGAGGCCAAAGTGCTGCACGTCGTGGAGGAGTGCGGCGAGGAGGCCCGCGATCTGGTGCGTCTCCGAGAGGATCGCCGTCAGATTCGTGTTGCGCAAGATGGCGAAGAACGAGTGGAGCACGTCGGAGGCGTGGTCAGCGTTGTGGTAGATGACGTGGCGGTTGTACTTGGCTTCGACGTCCGAGGCAAAGACGGCGACCGCGTCGAGATCAATGTCGTCGTAGTCGAGCAGCGTGAAGATCGCGACGGCAATGAACGTGAGGACCGACGTCGGGAGGTACGCCGCCACTTGAAGGACATTGAAGTTCCACGTTCCAAAGCCATTATCAGAATCCAACATAATCTTGCGCAGCGCCGCCACATCGGTCGGCGACAAGTCGGGCGCCACGCGCGCCATCACGCTGTCCAAGAGCGCTTGCGTCAAGTCGCCGACGTCCATGTCGTATTCGTCGTCGTCGTCGTCGCTGAGCATGTCGACGTCGTCCACGTCGACGATGTCGCTCCAGTCGATCTCTTTCGAGAGCAGGTGGCCGCCGAGCTTGTTGAGCGGCTTGAGGTGCGCGAACGGCGGCGTCAAGTTGCCCACCGACACGTTGGCAGTCTCAGGCGGCGACTGGAGCGACACCGTCGACACCGCCGGGTCGGGCGCCGAGATCGAAATGTCCTCTTTCTGCCGGTACGCCGCAAAGACGTCGGGCGCCGACTTGCAGATCGGGTTCTTCGCAAGGGCGCGGCTCGGCGGCGACGGCCACGGGCGTATGCTGGCGCGCCGAGTGATCACGAGCCGACTCGCGTCGGCCTCCATCTCGCGCGGCCCGTGCATGCTCTGAACCTGTCGAACTTTTTGCCTAGTGGAACCAAGTTATTTGCGCCCACGCGAAGTACACCTGCGATATGTTTCCGCACAGTTTCTCCCGTTTTTCATTTGAGGGTATAAATAGCCCGCGTGCTTCGAACTTCGAGGCGCGTGGGCAGAACGACCAACGGCCGCGCCGAAAAGGCGTGGCGTCGCCGCATGGGCATAGAGCCGCGCAAGCATCGCCGGCGCCGGCGCCAAGCGAGCATGCGTGTGCGGGCTGTATGCGCAAGGAGGCTGGAAGGGCCTCGAAGTTCCAGTCGTCTTCCATCGACCTCCCTTGGGACATGTTGCTGTTCCTTCCACCAGACAGATACGTGCGGGTGGTGACCGCCGGACAGAGGCTGCAAGCACCATCATCGCAGCGAAAGCTTGAAGGCGATGGCATCTTGAGGCCATCGGCAGCGGATCTTTGGCACGCGCAGCCGTCTCGAAGGCTCTGTCATCCGCGCCCGCCTGTCTGCAGCGACGGCCCTCACCACATACATACAACTACCTACTATTAAAACGACGTCCAGATGGCCTGCTAGGTTATCAGCCTACGATGGGCCGCCCTTCGAAGCGCCTCTGGCGTACACGTCGCCGGAAGCATGTCGCAGCGGGCGGATGCGCCGCGGATGCAACGGGCCACGCTGCCGTCTTCTTGACTCATCCGTCGCCGCCACTCTATGTGCACCACGTAGCATCCAACGTGTGGACGCGGGCCAATCGTCCCACGCACTGTCCACGTCCAGCCTTCGATGCGTGGCGCGTCAAAGTGATTGCTAATCTCACCTCGGCGGTGGCATTTCGCAGCGCCGCTTCCCGCACACGCATCGGCCGCCAGTAGTATGATTCGACAGCCTTCTTCCACGAGGCGCTGCTCCTCCTCCTTCCTTCGATGCGACACCTCGCGCAGCTTGCCGCGGTTCCCTTTTCTCATCGCCGCCAACCGTCGTCGTCGTCCCGCCAACGCGGCCGGTCACGCTGAAAACGTCGCGCGATGCCATTGGCGCATAATGCCGACGCATCGCGCAATGCCATTGGTGCAAATACTGGCGTGGCCTACAAATTGATTTGGCTTTTGTATGGGGTGTACCACCTGGCGCCGACTTTTGACCAATTCGAGGCCGGCGTGGATTGCAGGTCATCATGGCAGCGACGACGCTCAGCGAGGCCGAGTTCCTCACGCGCTTCTGGGATGCCCATGGCTCGACCTTCATGCGCTGGTTCCTCGCGATCCCGTATGCGGGCCAGCTCTCGATGCTGCGCAATGCGTCGCCCGACATGCCGCTGCAGACGCCGGACGTGCTCCAAGCCACGGACTTTTTGACGCCCGAGCTCACGATTGCGACGCTGCTCGCCGACCAAGGCAAGCCGCTCGTGCGCCTTTTGTGCAACCGTGCGCGCTTCGACTGCGCCGCCGAGGACCTCGCGTACCTCAAGGGCCTGCGCGCGAAGAAGCGCATGCCGACGTTCTCGGGCACGACGTTCGACAGCGTTGCGCTCGCGTACATTGACCCGACGGACCCGGAGCAGCACATCCAGTCGCTGCTGCCGTCCGTGTCGCCCAATGTATTGCAGGAAACCCAAGCCAAGATCGACGCCAACGTGCTCATCGAGGCCGACGTGTGGCTGACGCTGCAGATGCGCCAGCAGATTTTGCTCACGTTCCTCGCCAACATTGCGCGCACGTTCGAGCTCGTCTTCTTCCAGACGCAGGGTACGGTCGAGGGCAAGATGGGCTGCCGGACATGCGGGGCCAGCGCGCAGCCGGATGCGTCGTCGCTTCTCAAGTGCCCGTGCGACGCTGCGCTCTACTGCTGCAAGGACCACCAGACCCAAGACTGGCCCAACCACAAGGCCACGTGCAAGATCATTCGCGCCCGCAAGGCCGAGCTCGACGGCTTGTAATAGTTTCTGGATACCTCCCACTAGACATCTCACTCCACAATCCAGCTCTTGAACCGTTTGCGTGATGCTCGACTCTAATCGCATGGGATGGAGATTATTCAACTACTCGTTACATCGGGCCAAGAACTGCTTGTACACGGGGTTGTGCGTCTCGTCGACGTGGTGGTAGGCGACAGCGCGGAGATACTCGCCGAACCGCCCTTCGTCGCCGGGGGGCACTTGGAACCCGACGAGGACGCGGCCAATGTCGGCGCCGTGGTTGCGGTAATGGAAGAGCGAAATGTTCCACGTCGACCCGCCGTGCATGTGTGTGAGGAACGCCTTGAGCGCACCGGGCTTGTCGGCAAACTCGAACCGGAAGAGCCGCTCGTTCCCAACGAGCACACTCTTGCCGCCCGCGAGGTGCCGCGCGTGCACCTAGTACCTCAGCGCTCAACGACGCCAAGTGCGACATGGCGAAGCAATACCTTGGCGAGCTCGTTCTCGCGGAGGTCCTTGACCGAAAAGCCGGCGCCGCTGAGCCGTGCAAGTACGCTGTCCGACTGCTCGCGGGACGGGCTCTGAAACGACATGCAGATGTGTGCGTTGTCCTTCTCCGAGTAGCGGTAGCTAAACTCCGTGATGCGGACGCCCTCCGCGTCCATGTACGAGTGCAACCTGCGCTTCGCATGAGCACGAGGAGATAGGATGGGATGGGAGATGGATTGAATACCGCTCAAAGGCCCCGGGACGCTCGTCGATCTTGACGGAAATGAGCGTCTCGGTGCTGTCGGCGCGCTCCGAGACGAAGCGCAGCCGCGTAAAGTCCATGTTGGCGCCCGACGTGATCGCGCAGTACGTGCCACCGCGCAGTTTCTTGTCCTTGATGTAGCGGTCGACGCCCGCGATCGCGAGCGCGCCCGCGGGCTCGAGCACAACGCGCGTGTCGTTGAAGCCCGTTTTGATCGCCGCGCAAATCTCGTCGGTGGTCACCGTGATCATCTCGTCGACGTGCGCTTGGCAGATGCGGAAAGTCTCCTCGCCCACGAGCTTGACGGCCGCGCCGTCGGCAAAGAGCCCGACTTGGTCGAGCTCGACGCGCTTGCCTGCCGCGAGAGACGCCGTCATGCCTGCTGCGTCCGCCGCTTCGACGCCAATGACCTTGACACTCGGGCGAAAGTGCTTGACCTGTAGATAGTCAGCGACGGCGCATGTATTGTATGGAGGAGAACGCACCCAGTTGGCAACACCCGCCAGCATGCCACCGCCACCGCAGCACACAAAGACGGCATCGAGCGGCTTTCCCGTCGTTTGCTGCAGAATTCCATTCCCATCGTGCCTTGGCCCGCAATCACGAGCGGGTCGTCGAACGGCAGAATCATGGTCCGGCCCTCGGCGGCCTCGATGCGCCGCGCTTCGGCGGCCGCCTCGTCAAAGTTGTTGCCGTGCAGGATGATCTTGACCGCGTCGCCACCTGTGCCCGCATTTCCGTTGTTGTTTGCAAGATAGAAGGATCGCGCACTGCTGGACGGCCTTGACCTTGATTTCGGGCGTCGCGAGCGGCATGACGATCGTCGCGTGGAGCTTAAGCGTCTTGGCCGAGAGTGCGACGCCCTGCGCGTGGTTGCCGGCGCTGCAGCATACGACACCCGCGTCGCGCTTGGTCGTCGACAAGTGCGCCATCTTGTTGTACGCGCCGCGGATCTTGAACGAGAAGACGGGCTGCATGTCCTCGCGCTTGAGCAAGATCGTGTTGCCGAGCGCTTCCGACATCGAGTGCGCCTTCATGAGCGGCGTCGTGACGGCAATGTCATATGCGCGCGACTCGATCGTCATGCGGCAATAGTCGTCCGTCGAGAGGCTCGGCGCGTACCGCTGCGTCGACCCGAGGGCCCGGCTCCACGGCTGTGTGCTCAGTGCCCGTCGGCATCGGACCAGCATGGTATTTGTGGTTTTGAATCCGCCTTCAACGTGTCGGCATACAAACTGCAAGAGATTTGAGGCACCACGAGAATGCTCTTTCGCGACGACCCAAAAGATACACGTTGAAGTGGCCTTTCTGCACGACAAAGTGTTTGCGCAACGGGAGTGTTTGCGCAAGGACGATGCCGCGTGTGTGATTGGATGAAAAGGTACGAAAAGAAGCCAATGATGTCATGTCGAACAACGTGGCTCTTAGTTGTTTGCAGAGTCGTGTTTATACTGAACTGTAGTCGATAACTAAGAGGGCTGGTCGTGTACTTCGAAGATCTGTAACGGTGGCGACCATGCCGGCGACGCCCATGAAGCTCCGGCTGCGGAGCCAAGCACATGCTGACAACATTACAAAGCGAGGCCACGTAGCGTCCACCGCCCGGGTAAGCTCCATCGATGCAGCCCCATTGCGTAGAACCCAGCAAATGCGTAGGGAGCGCGCGACGCTGGGTACCGGGTACCGAGTTGGCCCCGTGCTGCTCGGCTTCTTCGTCTTCGTCATTATCGGGTCCTCACTGCTCCAGATATTGCGCGCCGTCCAAGGCGCGGCTCCTCCTCTCTGATCGCTCGCGTGCCATGTACGTCCAGGCTTGTCCGTCGTAGGAAGACGAAGGTCGCTTCATTAATACGGGTCGGGAACGTCTAAATATGCGTCGATTTACAACTCGTCGCGCTCGGTCTCTTGCAAGCGCTTGATAAAGTCCGACTTTTCGGCGCACCCGTTGCAGTTTTCGCCACGCTCCTGGAGGATCTTCTTGAGCTCCTTCACGCGCATCTTGGAGTAGTCGGTGCCCTTGGCCGCCTTGATGGCTACGCATCAGAGGGTTAGCGCGCGACCTTTGGTTCGGGGACGGCGTACGGTAGCGAATCGAGCAAAACTCTGGGTTCTTCTTGCTCAAGCCTTGGCAAATCTTGAGCGTCTCCTTGCCAAAGGTCACCTGACGCGCCGCGTCCTTCTTCATGGGCTCCAAAAAGTAAAACTACCGCCAGCATCATGAGGACAAGCAGACGACATGCGTCGTCGTACGAGCTTCTTCTCCTTGGGGTCAGCCTTCTTCTTGGACACGAGCTTCTCGAGCGCCTGCTCGGCGACCGCAAGCTTGTTCTTGCCGCCCTTGTCCGCGAGCATCGTCGAGTAGGTCGACTTAAGGTCCTCGATGACCTTGATGCAGACTACCATGTCGTTGCAGGCTATGTTCATGGAGGTCATATCTACCTTCGCACTCCTTGTCATCGGCCGCGGACGCGACGCCCGAGAGGCCGAGAAGAGCGAGGACGACGACGTGGAAGAGCTTCATGATGCGAGGATCCCAAGGCAAAATGAGTGAACACGTGGATCGCCAACCTGCGGGCTCAAACGGACGTCCGGATAAAGCTGTCGACCGCGCTGCAAGGGGATTGGCTACAGTAATTCATTTAATTACTGCACTTACAAACAAACAACAAGATAGAATAAAGCACATAATATTTATTTAATGCACCTTCAACAAACACGATATTAAAACTCAAATGTTCAAAAGTTATACAAACTATAAGTGACATCTGTCATTTTATACCCGATCTAGAAATTTCGACCTTGCAGGTTAATTATACATGAGATAGTGTTAGCCTTCCAGAATGCTAACACACTGGCGTAAGCAGGTTCGATACAGTGGCGGCAGCGTCTCCAACGCGACGTCACGCTAGCGCTCAATACACTGAGATCGTGTGGAGCTACGCCAAGCAGGCCTCTCGGTATGCCCTGTGCAAGTTGTCAAAGGATGTGTAACGCCAATCTACACTATTTAGAAACATTGTTGCATTGAAATGGTGTGAGGCTAAAGACCCGGCCGTGACGCAGCGGAAACGACAACGATCGCGATGACGACCAAGTACGTGAGCCACGAGGTACGCGACAAGTTCTTCCAGGCGCAGCGCGCCGTCGCCGCCAACAAGATCTGCTTCGACTGCGACCGCCGCAGCCCCATGTGGGCGACGGTCTCCTTTGGCATCTTCATGTGCTTGGACTGCTCGGGCTACCACCGCCGCCTCGGCGTCCACGTGTCCTTCGTGCGCTCGACCGACATGGACGAGTGGACCGAAGACCAGCTGCTCACGATGCAGCTCGGTGGCAACAACGAGGCCCGCAAGTTCTTCAAGCAGCATGGCGTTACCGACATGATGAACGTACGGCCACGACGCCACGCCATGTGCCTCATGGTGTTGCATTAGATCGATGAAAAGTACAAGACCAAGGCCGCGACGCTCTACAAGGCGCAGCTTGCCAAGAAGGTACAGGCCGCATCCTTTGACGCATCGCCGTACACGACAGTGGACACGTCGAGCGCGGCCTCGGCCCCCGGCGACCTCGACGACCTTGTTAAGCTCGTCGGTGCCGGCGAAGCTGTGGCGGCGCCTGCGTACACGTTGCCGCCCGCCCCGTGCGCGCGACTGCCACGCAGCCCAAGCCTATCGAAGCGCCCGCTACCGGCATGCTCGATATCAACCGCCCGGTCGTCATGCTCGGCGGCAACGCAAGCTCGGCGGCGGCCGCCCCGGCAAGCACCCTCACCTCCAAGCTTTCGAGTCGCGTGCGTCTCCTACGCAACGCATCGTCATCTTATTGACTCGCATACTAGCGCACATCGGGATCGACGGCCACGAAGCGCACGTCAACGCGCCTTGGCGCCACCAAGGTCACGAGCTCGTTCGACGATTTCGATTCGATCCCGTTCGAGGTAGCTACAAGCCATCATTCCATTCAATGGAAGACTTGCGGTGTGTAGAACCCCAAGCCGTCGGTGGCCGCCGTGGCTGCGTCCAAGCAGATTGATGACGACGAAGCGCTGGCGCGTGCGATTCAAAAGGCCGACGAGTACTTTGTTTCTGCAAATGGTGGCGCGGCTTTTGACATGTAGACATATTGTGCGTAGAGAGACTTTGTCGCAGAGTCTCCAGACGACGCGCCTTGCATCCTCCAGTGCGGCGGCGACCGAGGCCAACAAGACGTCGCTCGACAAGTACAAAAACTCCAAGTCGATTTCGTCGGCCAACTACTTCGCTGGCGAAGAAGTCGATGCGGACCGCGAAAAGATCCGGCAGTTCTCGGGCGCCCAAGCCATCTCGAGCGACATGTACTACGGCAACGGCGAGCGTGCACGGTCGGCGTCCATGGACGGTGCGACGACCACTCGATCAAGACCCTTCATCATGCATGATTGTAGCTGCCGACGAGGCCGCGTACCAGCTCGACCAGCTCAAGTCGCAGGTGTCGGACAAGGCCGCCAAGCTCAAGACCATGACGTCCAGCTTCTTCTCCGACTTGCAAAATCGGTACGGCTAAGCGGATGCTTCGAGAGAGACACGTGCAAGATAAGGGCAAGGGTATACAAACACACACTAAAGACTAGCAAATGCCTTCGGCCAAGCTTTCGTCCGAGAGCAGACGCGAGCGCGGCGCAAGGGTTGGCGACACCGCCTTTGGTCGCCGCGCTGGCGAAACGGGCTGGATCATCGGCGCCGAGGTTGGCGGGATTGGCACAACGACAGGTGGTGTCAGCACGGTCTTGGTCGCCTTGTGCTGGACCACCGCTGTATACGATTCGTACCACACGGGGCCGAGCATGTTGGCGAGCTCGAGGAGGATCTCTTGGCTGGCCCAGTCGTGGTGCATTGCAAAGGACGGCAGCTTGACGACGGCGTGGATGTTCTTCATGAGGAACGGAATGCATGCCTGGCGGAGGCTCTCGGCGTGGCAGTCGTTGCTGAGCGAGAGGAGTTCGACCACGTTGCTCACGTCAATGCGGTCGGCCAAGAACGCCTCGATGCGCTTCTGGAGCACCGTGACCTGGTAAAACGACGCTGCGCGCAAGAGGTCTTGCGCCGTGCCTTCGTCGATCGTGAGCTTGCCCGTGTAGATGAAACGGAGGAGCATCGAAAACACATTGTACGAGCAATTGTCAATCTCAATCACGCGCTTGGTCGTTGTCGTCGTCGAGCCAAACTAGTCGAGCCATGTCCACTTGATACATTGATAGATTTGGGCGGGTACCATGTTTTTGAAGTAGGCGTTGCGCACAAATAGCACAATCTTGTGGGCGTTGATGGGCGCAATGTGGCCCTTCACGAGAAACTGAATGTCCGAAAGCGCCGCGAGCGTCAAGAGCTCCTCGTGGTTGTCGACGTGGAAGGGCGGGATCTCGATCGACGTGTCGGGGTGGTACGTGTCGGGAATCAAGCGCGTGATCGCGTGGGCCGCCGCGCAGCGCGGGTACGTCTCGGCGCTCTGGAGCATGAAAAGAACACGTCCATGAGCCCTTCCTTGAGCAAGTCGACGACGTCGGCCGGCTCCATCATGTGCACAAACGTCAAGAGAATGTTGGCCTTGAGCGGCCCTACCGTCCATCGGACTAAGACCTGAGTTGCGTATAGATGAAGCCGTACCGCTGGCCGCGTCGATCGAGACGCGCGAGACCGAGTGCAGCATCTTGCGAAACTCGGCGCGGTTGATTTGGCGCCAAATGTTGCGCAGCGCTTGGAGGCACTGCCGCCACGTGTCGGTGGTCTGGTCGACCTCGAGCATGTGCAGCACCGCGCCTTCCAGCACCATCTGCAGCGCGCTCGCCACGTCCAGCGAGAGTGCAAGAAACGTGCCGGCCGCCGGGAACGACACGTCTTCGTCGGCGACGTGCAGCGCCTGGATCAAGATCGGGATGCCATGGCAGCGCGTAATGAGCTCGTGGTTGTCCGGGTTCTCCATGAGCGACTCGAGCGCGACGACGGCCGCGCGCGCATTCGGATTGGCGGCCACGAGCTCGAGAAGCGCCGGAATCGACGTCTGGACACACTGGTCGCAGAGCCGCGCGCGTTCGCTGAGCCCTTCGACGACCGCGCGCGAAAGCGAGCAGTCGCTGCAAATGATCGTCCCGCACTCCTACCATCGACGTCGTATTCCATGAGGTCGCGATCGTTGCGCGTACCCGGCAGTGGTGCTTGCGCCGAATGAACGAAAACGGCACGTCGCAGATCGCGCACGCGAGCGCTTCGCAGTCCTCGGCCCACGGCTTGATCCACTTCCACTTCAAGAGGTCACCCGCGGTCTCAATCAGAGTGCGCTTCGCATCGCGAAAGCTCAGGCCGAGCACGTCCACAATGCGGTCGCTCAGGTACGGCGACGGCTGCGCGTTCGAGACATGGTCGGCGTAAAGCGACGCGCCGACTTGGCCCAGTTGCGGCGCGTAGGCCGGGAGACGCGCGACCCAGTTGGGCAGGCCCACCTGCAGCGGGAGGTCGCGGCCGCTGTAGCCATTGGCGCGCAGCGTGTCGACAATGTCCCGAAGCCACACCGTTTGATTGACGCAGATGTACCGACCCCGTGCGTCCGGGTGCTCCATGGCGAGGATATGGGCCACCGCGCAGTCGCGCACGTCCGTGACGGCCCAGTCTACATTGCATCGAGTTGGAACGCACCGCTGTTGGAACGAACGTACTGAGGTCGACAAGGGCTGCGTAGGCGCCGGTAATGAGGTCATAGACGACTTGGTTGCCGGGCGGAATCGACGCGCCGCAGACCGAGGGCCCCATGAGCGTGCCCGGCTACCATGTCATAAGCGATCATTAAGATGCAGTGGAACGACGTACGCAAATGGTCACGAGCTCCATGGTTTCTTGCTCGACAAGCTGCCACGCTTTCTCTTCGGCAAGCTTGAACCCAAAGAAATGCGGGTTCTTCTCGAGCGACGACTCGGTGTTCCAGCACAAGTCGTTGACGATCGTCGTGGGGCTCACGCTGTCGCAGAGCGCGGCGACCGACGACGTCAAGATCATCTACACGGCCGCAGTAGGCGGGAGATAGATGGTGGGAGAGTACCAACCTTCTTGACACGGGCGCGCACGCACGCCTTCATAAAGTTGGTCATGACAGGCACGATGCAGTGGATGCGGCTCGAGACCGTGTGCATGGCAGGCTCCTACCCGATGCAAGAGAATGACTTTGCGCGACCAAAGTGGTAGAAGGACCTTGGCTTCCGAGACAGGATCGCGCACCGTGCACGACGCGGGCGTGCCCGTGTGGATGACGTACTCGCAGCCTTCGACGGCCATGTCGCAGAGCTCGGGCGTCAACAGTGACGTCTCGACGATCGTGAGGTTCTTCGCCGCCTTGGGGAGCTCCTTCAAGCGCTCGATGTCGTCGGTGCGCACGGGCACGGTGGCCCGCACCTTGTAGCCGCGCTGAAGCAGCTCGGCGACGATCCACGCCGCGACGAACCCATCGGCGCCGGTGACGCACACTGGCTGCTTGGACTGGCTCGCATTCAGAAAAGCAGGGCGGTTCTTCTTCGAGTCGGTCGTCTTGAAGCGAAGGCTCGCCCACACGGACGGGTAAATGCAGCGCGTATCCTCGAGGCGCTTCTTGGGCGTGCGGGTCTTGCGGCCTTTGCCCGTCGCCTCAAAGGCGCTGGTCGGGCCGGAGGGCTTGCCTCGGCGCTTGACGCTCATGACCTCGGCGCCGGCGCCCTTGGCCCGCACGGTCTTGTCGTACACGAGCCCGTCGCCTTGGGGCCCAAAGAGCATTATTGCGTGAAAGCCCAAAATGCACCAAGTTGATGGGATGCCAGTTGCAAGCGGCGTCATAAAATACGTTTCCATGACTGTTAACCTTGTTTTTGTATCGATCTTTAAATTGCATAATAATATTGTATCGCTGATGGACCACTTCACAAGCATACAAATCCCAAGGTATTTTAATACAAATGCGCTTGCAAGAGAAGATACGACTTCAACTCGGGCCGTTGGATGGACGCACGCAACTTTTCAGCCGGTGCTTAGCGATGGCAGGCAATCGCGGGGACGGTCCACGACCTATCATCGTTTGATCTAGGACGCTCGAGAATTGTAGTATGGTATCTGCTACCATGCATAGACACGCTGGAGTCGTCGCATGGGTTGTCAAACCGAGAGTGGGCCGCGGCTGCGTTTCAAGTTGGGTGTTTTAACTTTTGCGGTGGCTGGCCATGTTATCCGGATGATCGCCGCATTTCCCACCGGATTCACGAGTGAAATCACGTATCATCAGTACATCAGTACACTGTACACGTGGCGCCCGCCCGGGTTCCTCAAGGTTACCGGTCCGGTCGCCTTCGAAAATCCTGGCTTCTCGCGGTACTGTGTGTATTTCCCACGGTGTAAAACGTGGTGCGCCATCGCAAGTCCACTTGGTATTTGTATGGAAATAAATCACATGGAGCACGGCGTGTCGGACGGGCGCGGTATCCGGATCGACGAAGCCGCCGTTGGCGTGGGAATTACGCAGTAGTACCCGCAGAGGCAGGAAGCAGCATGCTCTTCGGCCCGCAGGTCCCCGTGGCGCCGACGCGGCCGGGCCCGTCGAGCGGCGACAGCTTGAGCAGCTCGGTGACGGCGACGTCGACCGTGACCCTGGACGACGGCGCGCCCGTCGAGCGTAAGAAGAAGAAGAAGCGCAAGGACAAGGACGCATCCCGCAAGAGCCTCGACGAGAAGGACCGCCCGCCACGCACCAAGCGCGACCGCATCAAGAAGCCATCGCAGTCGCTGCCCGTGGCCGAGTCGCCGTCGTCCGCCCAAGACATCTCGGCCATGTACCCGAGCGTGTGGAAGATCTTGAAGTACCGGCGCAAGACGACCGCAGGCTCGATGCACAAGCCCGTCTGCGTCACGGGCGTCGATGGTTTCTTGGCGGCTTGGATCGTCGCCGAGCTTCTCTTACGTGGGTACAAGGTCCGTGGCACGGTCCAGAACAAGAGCGACGACATCTCCAAGCTATACGAGCTCCCCCATGCCAAGAAGAACTTGACGATCGTCGAGACATCGCTCCTCACCGCGCAATCGTGCGACTTGGCCGTTGACGGCTGCGACTTTGTCATCCACACGGGCACGCCCACGTCGTGCTCGGTGCGCGACCCGTTCTCGGAGCAAAACGTGTGTCGACGACCATTTTCCGATCATCTCATCGCTGGAGTAGGAGCCTGGCGTGTACAGCATTAGCAGCCGCGTCCACTGCATTGTGCCCATGATGAATAACTTTATCACGGCCTGCATTCGCGCCAAAGTCAAGCGCGTACGGGTCGCTTCGCTCGCCGCTTGGAGCTCATCGTACTCCGTAGGTGGTGCTCACGTCGTCGGTCGCCGCCATGGCCGACCATGTGGATATGAACACAAAGATTGACGACCTTTCGTGGAACGTGACGTCGTCGCTCGAGCGCAACCCGCACTTTTTGAGCCTCAAGCTCGCCGAGGAAGCCGCGTGGCAGCTCGTCAAGAACGAGTCGATGGAGCTCGTCACGGTCAATGTACGTCGACGTGTCTGCCGCGTCTGCGCTCATATTGCCATTCGGTAGCCGGGGACGCTCATGGGGCCGTCGCTCTGCAACGACAAGATCTCGCCCGGCACGCAGATTGTGTACGACTTGATCACGGGCCAGTACTCGGCGCTCGTCGACTTCAGTAGGCGATATATGCGACATGGGAGGCCATGGACCAACGAATGCAACTCGATAGATTACGCGCTCACGGACGTGCGGGACTGCGCGGCCGCCCATGTTCTCTTGCTCGAATACACGGAAGCGAGCCACCGCTACATTTGCGTCAACCGGACGGTCTGGATGAAGGAGATTGTCCAGACGCTCGCCCAGAACGGCTACAGCGGCCGCAACCTGCCGTACCAAGTCGGTGCACGTCGGTTGGCTCGACACACGTGTCACATGCGCCATGTGTAGGTCGGCCTTCCTGGCTGGGTCGCCATGCTGCCAGCGTACGCGATTCAGCTCGGACAAGTCGGCGTGTCTTTGTACCCGGACGACCCAAGCCGCGCGGCCGCGTCCCCGTACTCGAACGCGCGGCTCCTTGACGTCTTTCGCTTCAACGACATTCAGCAGTTTCGACAAGTGAGCGTCACGATCCTCGACGCGGCGGCCGATCTGCTCAAGTGGAAGCTCATCAAACCGTGGGCCGAGGACAAGGTCGCCACTGCGTGCACGTGCTGCCAGGCGCTGTTTACCGTCGTGCGGCGGCGCCATCACTGTCGCGTACGCATCCTTCCCTATGCTTTTGCGTGAAAGGCTGGCTGGTAGGAGTGCGGCGACCTCGTGTGCGGCAATTGCTCCATGTCGCGCGCGATCGTCGAGGGCTTTGAAGACGCCAAGCAGCGCTTTTGCGACCCGTGCGTGCGCAAGTCGATTCCCTTCTCGCTCGAGAAACTGAGTGCGCCGACGGCCGACGTGGCGCAGCAACGCAAGGCCGCGATCGTCCTCGAGTCGCTCCTCGACAACCAAAACAACCACGACTTGTTTGCGCGCGGCGGCGGCATTCCTGTCATTCTCCACGCACTCCACGCATCGGACGACGTGGTGACGGTCCACGCGGCGCACACGCTGCATCGGCTCTCGCAGCGGCTCTCGAGCGCGCTCCACCTCGTGCTCGAAGGCGCCGTGCTGCACATGCTCGAGATGGAAGAAGGCTCGGCGACGTGGCGCGCGTGCCTCCAAGCCATGCGCAACATTTGGCGCTACATTAGCCGTGAAGACTTTCGCACGATGCTGTATGCGTCGCTGCGGCTCACCAACTCGACGGCGATCGGTACGAGCGATGGGCTGATGGCACCGATGATGCCACTGGTATGTCTAGGCAAATTTAAAGGCAATGTCATGTTGACGCTGGTGCACATGCTGGACCCGTCTGAGTGGCCGCGGCTGCTGCCCGAAGGCCTCCTCTCGGTGCTTCTGCTGCTCTTGAAGGCGCCGGATGCCTACTCGCACCGCACGGTGGCCTACGCAATCAAGCACATGTTGCCGTCGACCTACTTTCCCGACGTGGCGATCACGTACCCGGTGCTTCGCGAGGCGTACGACCGTGAAGTCGAGCTTGTCGATGTGCAGTTTGTCGTCGAAGGCCGACTCATTGGCGCCAACCGCGTCGTCCTCAGCGTCCAGAACGCCTACTTCAAGTCGCTGGTACGTTTTCTTCTCTTTCGTCTTTATCGTGTCGAGTGTGGTGCGACATCAACGCGTAGCTGAGTGGACCGGGCGACGTGGTGGAGATTGAAGACTGCTCGTACGCGACGCGCTTATCAACTTTCTGGTGCGGTGTGCCCCGTGGACCCGTGTCTCTGACGTTTATCGATTTTGTCTAGTACACGGAGGACGTGGCGATCGACCTCCACAACGCGTGCGATCTCCTCGTCGCTGCGTCGTCGTACCACGTGCCCGAGCTCCAGAAGCGCTGCGAAAAGTTCCTCGCCGATGAAATCTCGATTGCGAACGCCATGACGGTGTGGGCACTTGCCGACCAGTGCCAAGCCGACGACCTCAAGCGCGCGGCGCTGCCGTTCCTGCTCAAGCACATTTGCGGCGTTGCCAAGACGGACGGCTTTGCCGACAACCATGTCTGGGTCGCGGACGAGCTCATTGAGGAGCTCTGCAATGCGATGGGGCCGCGCTGGGTGCGCGAGTGGCGTGCGTTCCACGCTGCCCACGACGAGCCCCAAGAAGCGGACGACGAGCATGACGAGCCCGAGGTCGACTTGTCGCCGACGTCGGCCAAGCTTGTGGACGCGCCGCGCGCGAGCGATGTCTACTCGGAGTCGTCGTCGATGGGCGACGACCTCATGGAGGGCATCTGCTGAGAACGCGCCTCCTATTTAAACCACCGCCAAAGACGCTAGTACTGGAAAAGGATGTATATTTTACCCTGTTTATGGTCCACTTACATGCGCTGGGGACAGACTCTCGTCGCGTTGGGGCACAGTCGACGGTGGCGGTCGTGCCGCAGCCCACTGATGTGTGGTAGTTGTTGCACGATGGACCATAGTAGTAGACGCCCAAGGAAGCGAAGCATATGCCAAAGGATCTCAACCAAGCGCCGTACCGTTGAGCTTGTTGGGAGGCTCCCGATGAAGTCCATAATGTTGGTTGTCCCAGCAGTGGGCCAGCGCGCAGTCGTGCGCGGCATGAGACTAGGTGGAGAGGCAGCCTCATGCACCTTTGTTCGTGTTGGAGTACCAGAAGGCTGGCCACATGCCTTGGCCGACCAGGAGCTTGACACGCTCTACCCATTGCGCTCTACCTAGCTCTTTTGTCCCTCTTGAGCGCATGCGCATTGTAATATATGCATCTTGCTTTATACACATACAACTAAAGTCGACACACTTCTACCGCTACGAATGATCAGTGCCGTTCGAGGACAAGTACTGGACTGGATCGCCAAGGACAGGAAACGACACGGTCCCCACTTCGAGAACGATGAGTCTGATCCTCCATCGACGAGGTTATACTACCTTGCTTGTACACGCGCACATAGTCGATGTACAGGCGTTGCGGGAAGATCGTGGTCGGGGTAGGGTTACCGGGCCACCCGCCGCCAACGGCAAAGTTGAAGATGATGTAAAAGGGCTTGGCAGGAATAAAGAACGGCGCCTTGTTGGTGCACTGGGCGCTATCCAGCTTGTAGTAGAGCTGGCCGTCGAAAAACCACGAAATCGACGTTGGTGTCCACTCGGCTACTCTCACACACATCATGCGCTCTCGCCGTGCAACGTAGTAGTACTACCTGCGTAAACGTGGTACTCGTGGTTGAGCGCGACGTCGATGACTTTGCCCGTCGTGCCGCACACGGACGCGTCCGAGTGCAGGTTTGTGTTGCATTTATGACCAAAGTGAAAATTGCCTACCGACCCAGATAAGAGGATTCACGACGCTGCGCTCTACCTACCGTGAATGGCCTTGGGCTCCTTGTTGCCAATGTACTCCATGATATCGATCTCTCCGTCCATGGGCCAGCACCGACCACCCCGCGACATGAGCCTACGACGGAGATGGAAACGATATCTCTTGAGAGCGCACGGACCAGAAGGCCGGCCACATGCCATGGCCGGTTGGTAGTTTCATGCGCGCTTCGAAGCGACCGTACTGCTGAGCAAAGCTGCCCGCCGAGTCCATGCGCCCGGACCGGTACTGCCGCGTGCCGGCGGCCGGCGATGTGTACGACTAGGTGGTCGCTTCGATCACGAGTTTGCCTTTCTCGGCTCGGATTTGGCTGGCCATGTACACTTGTAGCTCCTTGTTGTGCACGCAGTTGTTGTTGGTGGAGCAGTCGTTCTGGAGGCGCCAGCGTGAGGTGTTGAGGGTGTTGAAGTTGTCTTGGAAGTGAGCTGCCACTTGGTGCCACCAGTCAAACTGGCATTGGGAAGGACTAGGATCGTTGATGCGCTGGAGGTGGCGGCGACCGCCGAGACGAGGGCACTCAGCGAGAGAACGAGAAGACGAACGGTGCAGAAGAGAGCCATGGGAAAAGGGAAAATGAGCTTCCGCTGCGTGCATCGGTCGTTTCTGCGTTCTAGTGTGTGCAGCAAGCAGTGCTTGGGAACGTTGTGGTGAGTAATTTCTGATGCGCCGATCATCCGTCCCACTCTCCGCGTCGCGCGGAAGCGGGTTGGAAACCAGATGTGTTTGGCGTGGCTTCTTTGACGGCACTTTGCCCTATGGCAGCGCACGTTCACAGTAGGTCTCGCGACAAGCGACTGGAATCGCGGTTCCCACCAGCCTCCTTCGATGCTATTCCTCCCCATCCTCCTCTCCGTCGCGCAGATTACATAATAAATTTGAAATTCATATACCATCGTGTACTTGGCCAACGCTAGCACTATCGCACTCATGAATCCGGTTACTAGACATGCTGGCGTTCGGTTCGCAACCGTATCCTAGCTACAGGTCCAATCGAACGGTACATCTTCGTCGGGCTTTTCTGGGCCATACAGCTGGACGGCCCGGATTCCATCCATCTCAAAGCTCCACCACACGACCAGATCATTGGAGCCTCCTCTTAACACCACATGTCCAAACAGCAACTATGATACGATCCACTGGATACGATCATTGGGACCGAGGCTGAGCAAGTTGTTTTGTCGACCACGTCTACCCTACCCCTTGGACATTGTCCTGCGCCCACGTGCCTTCTGCAGTGAAGACACATGACTCGTCCAGTCTCGTGCACCACATCAGCTTGCAGCAACATGATGCGTGTGACAACACACAAAGCCCTGGCATTCCTTCGCTCACTTTTACGTTTGCAATGTACTCGCTCCTGCTCTTGCTTCTTGGTGTCGCGTCGGCCACCAACTGCACCACGCTCAACAGTACGGCGCGTCCAGCGCCGTTGAGTCTCTCGCCGCTCGCCGGGTGGCAGGTCACGTTCGAAGACAATTTTAACGCTCTCAACAAGTCGCGCTGGAAGATCGCCAACGAGTGCTCGACCGAGCACGGCTGCGCCCACAACAACGAAGAGCAAGTGTACTTGGCGTCTCAAGTGCGCGTTGAGGACGGCAACCTCGTCGTCGAGGCGACCAACCAGCCGTACACGTCGCCGGCCGCGGGTACGCGACAGTTCCGCTCTGGGCGGCTCGACTCGTCTGGGTCGTTTGCGCAGCAGTTTGGCCGCTTTGAAGCGCGCATCAAGCTCCCGGTCGGTCGCGGCATGTGGCCCGCCTTTTGGTATAGTTCATCGATCGAACATGATGTAAGACGATAGTACGGCGTAGGCTCATGCCGCGCGGCGGGCGGTGCTGGCCCACGGACGGCGAAATTGACATTATGGAGTACGTGGGGCAGTCGCCCGACCAGATTCACGGTGCGAGGATGATCGTCCTGGGCATCCTACTACTCTTTGGATAGGCAACTACCACTTTGGGCCGAGCTGCAACCGCAACTTCCACGATGACAAGGCGGTGTGCGGCAAGGCGGGCAAGTCCAAGCAAGTCGCCCTGGACAAGGATTTCCACGTGTACGCTGGTACGTCTCTTGCATCTTGCAACCAACGTACAATCCACTACAGTCGAGTGGACGCCAACGTCGATTTCGTGGTTCTTTGACGGTCAGCTCTACTACGTCCTTACCAACGCCCAGTGCACGGACAAGGCGCAGTTTTTCATTCCGCAAAAGGCGTTCTACATCATCTTAAACGTCGCGGTCGGCGGCACGTGGCCCGGGAGTCCGTCCGCCTCGACGGTGTTTCCCCAGCGCATGCTCGTCGACTATGTCCGCGTCTACAAGCCCGGTGCGTGACCTCTTTTCCAGGTGCGAGGTTGGAAGTCACCATTTCTATTTCTCTAGCCCACGCCGTGGTTGGACAGACCTAGACACTCCTTTAGCGCCAGACAATAGACGATAGCAAGACCTTAACAACTGCAATCAACTCGTCTCTCTCGGATACCGCCTTGTTCTCCTCCAATAGCCCGAGTACTTGCAAAAGCGGAACAGAGCGCCAAGGAGAAGAGCCCTAACTTGTCTATGGACCATCTTGGTGGTGGGTGTTTCGAATTTCAAAGTAGACGAATCTGGACAGCATGCGTTTGGAAGCCACCCGTTCAATCTTCTTGTCGAGGTCACACCCCAGTTGCATGTGATTGCAATCAAAGTGTCCTCATCAGGACACTCCGTCGATGAGTTTGGTACCCTGCGACCTCGGAGCCTAAACTGGATCCAGGTCGAAATCTGTTGCCGCGCGAATCTGTCTACTGAGGGGCACGCTAGCATTGGCGAGTCGCCAATGCCATTGCAGCACCAGTAATCATGAGGGCGGTGATAACAACATCCGTCATAGTTGGCACTGCTGTGGCATTCGTGCCGAACAAGACGACAAACTTAAGAAGTGCACAAGCATCTTTCATATTCAAACCCAAGCGAAGAGAGCTCCAGGCAATGACGGGTCGTCCTTGCAGCATTTCGCAAATTTGTTGACCAGATAGTTCTTGATCTCCGTCACAAGAGATCGGTCTCCGGGCTTGCTGTGCTTGCCGGCACCCGCAACGACGCAAATGCAACCATGCCCTTTGGCTACGAGCTCCGGTAACAATTTGTCGATCAGTGTCTTGGCTTGCTTGACTGTGAGGTAGTGCACGTCGATCTGGCCGATTTCACCGCAGTTCCAATTGCGAGAAGTTGAGATGGCCTCGAGACATTTGGCCCTCTTCGCTTGAATCTTCGCCCGGAGTTGACGTTGGATGTCCTTTTCCTTTTCGAGATCCAACCATTTGCCTCTTTCGATGGCTATCTTCCCTCTTGCGTAAGACTGGTTGAATTTGCGAACTTCATCGTATGGCTGAAATTCCTTGTAGATGTGGTCAAGGCTTGTCGGTACTTGTTTGGATGTGCGCCTCTGCTTCTATCGAGAAGAGCAAATTAGCCTCGCGACAACAAAATCAACCTACAACAGGTGCGGTACGTCGGATTGTACTCGGCAGACTTGTGGAAGGAGTGCGGGGATTTATACTCGGCTGTCTTGTACGATGAGCGGGCAAGTCGAGCACCTTCCGATCGGCAGGTTTGATAAAGTCGAACAAGGTCGCCATTGTGGCGGACAACCAAAGTTTAACTGCGCGTCACAGTGATCGCAGTCCTGGTGATCGCAGTCCTGGTCGAATTGTCGAAGCATTTATGTAATACATGGACTGTCGGTATTGGATATTGCTTCGACAAAGTTGGAGAAAAGGTCACAGGTGGGACCTCCGGTTACACCAGCTTTCAGGATTAATTCTATATATTTCTGTCTTCGCACGTGCGTATGCTCGACAAACACATGTCTAAAGACAAAACGATATAGAATAGACATCGATTCAAAATAATTAACCCTCCCACGCCGGGAGCCCTAACCATCCCAATCAACTGGTGTTTTGCCCTATTATAGGCCAAGGGGCCTATAATAGGCCAGTATTTTTAACCTGGGTACAACCGACCTTCTTCTTGGCGGCTTGGCACCGGGCCAGATCAAAGGTGAAGCACAGCAGTGCGATCGGCAAGAGACCGAACGCCATTAGATGGAGTCCAACGATGGCGACCGTGAGCATGTCATGGAGCGAAGAGGTAGCTCTAATACAGTACGTGAGTACCTGGCAGCTAGGGGGTCTGAGTGCGACGCTGGAGACCCTCGTCCAGTAGACTGCTGGCCGGAAGAGCACGAGCTTGCGCCGGCACCATGATGGCTAGGCACTAAGGTTGTCATTGGTGAATACACCTTGGCTGGACAAAATCAAAAACTGCGAAATGGGCTCGGAGGTTTCTGCGTTCTCGACGTGCATGTGCCTGGATAAAGGTCACGCACCGGGCTTGTAGATGAGCATGCGCTGGGGAAACACCGTCGACGCGGACGGACTCCCGGGCCACGTGCCGCCGGCTGCGACGTTCAAGATGATGTAGAACGCCTTTTGCGGAATGAAAAACTGCGCCTTGTCCGTTCGTGTTAAAGCTGATCGCGGTCGGACGCCTGAACTTGACAAACCTAAGCTCGTGTTGAAATACATGGACGACGGCGACCTCCGTCAGCACCCCCATAGGATGCGCAAGGGCGAGACGGAGCCCGTGGATAATTTGACGGCGGACACGGCCCATCCCAAACCCAGCCCACGCCGTGGTTGGCCAGATCTATCTAGACACACCTGCGGCGCCAGACGATAGACGATAGCAAGACCTCCACAACTGCAATCAACTCGTCTCTCTCAAATACCGCCTTGTTCTCCTCCAATAGCCCGAGTACTTGCAAGGGCGGAACGGAGCGCCAAGGAGAAGAGCTCTCACTTGTCTTTGCACTATCTTGGCGGAGGGTGTTTCGCATTCCATCGCTGACGCGTCGCCGAGCCGTTGGTAGACTTCTCCGCCTGGCAATAGTGGGGGCCAGCAATCTCATGCTGAGACGAGCTTAACGGAAGCTTCTACTAGAAGCCACTAGAAGCCTTGATTCACCAGGCATCACGTTTTCTCTTGGCCCTTCATGGATCGCGCGCTGCCTGACTCGGAAAGGAAACAGTCGATGCTTATTTGCGTCAACTGAGCCCCTCGTTCTGTGAATGCTGTCGGTCTCGTCCTGCCGGCGGTTGGTCCGATCGGCAGTTGGCCTTTTACCTCGACAACACCACAAGCAACAAGATGCGCGGAGTGCTCTTGCTGGCAGCCGCCACGCTCGTGATAGGCAGTCAGCCCATGGTGCCAGCGAACGCGACGAACGCAAATGGCAAGTGGACGCTCACCTTTAGCGACGAGTTCAACTCGTTGGACCGGGCCAAGTGGCGCATCCTCAACGACTGCTCGACGACCAACAAGTGCGTCTACAACAACGAGCTCCAAGTGTACCTCGCGAGCCAAGTCTCTGTCTCGAAAGGCAACCTCGTGATCGAAGCCAACAACGTGCCGTACGTCTCGCCGTCCGCGGGCGCCCGGCGGTATCGGTCCGGACGCATGGACACGTCCGGCAGCTTTGCGCAACTCCATGGGCGCTTTGAAGCGCGCGTTAAGCTTCCGTCCGGCCAAGGCATGTGGCCCGCCTTCTGGTATTGCATTCATTTTTGTCATCTCAGGGTTCTCATGACGGTTTTGGGCATAGGATGATGCCGCGCGGCGGGCGGTGCTGGCCCATGGACGGCGAGATTGACGTGCTCGAGTACATTGGGAAGCGCATGCCGCACACCGTCCACGGTACAACACCGTGGCTGCCCAACTGAACGAGAGCGAGAGATGGCGACCTAGGCAACTTGCATTTTGCCAACGCGTGCAACCGAGACTTGCACTCGTCTGCCAACTACTGCGGCGTCACAGGCGGAGCCAAAACGCTGGCGCTCAATACGAATGACTTTCACATCTATGCTGGTACACAAGATCCATCTCCGAGACGAGACAATGAATAAGAACGTAGTGGAGTGGACGCCGACGTCGCTGGCGTGGTTTGTCGACGGCGTCCAGTACTTCAAGATCGACGCAACCCAGTGCCGCACCAAGCCCGCGCAGTTGATACCCACCAAACCGTTCTACCTCATTCTCAACTTTGCAGTGGGCGGCGACTGGCCCGGCAACCCGGACGCGACGTCGACGTTTCCCCAGCGGCTCTACGTCGACTATGTCCGTGTCTACAAGCGAAGCGTGCTCTAATGCGTTCCAAAGAGAATCTGTGAGTCTGTCCTCGTGTACTCTGCAGCAGAAAAGCAGCGATGTACACCACGTGTTGCCTCGTCCATCACGGTCCCTACCCGAAAAAAGTACGAGTCGGCGCGTACGGTGCCGCTGCCGAGTTCCATGTCTTCAACGGATCTGTCAATGGCCTCTTCGGTGCACAGCAAACTGTGAAGGATCAACTCAGACGACCGGACCACCTGTACGTGGCACCATCTGCGGAAGCCTCTGTTTTTACTGGTGCACCAGTCGTCGCCAGATGTGTAACGCTCTCGCACGGAAAGGCCGGAGCGAGAACGACGAAGCAGCAGCAATCGGATGCCGGCGCCCGTCCCGACGCAGTGGCTCGACGCCTTTGTCACGCCGGCCATCTACACGACGAGGTACATACGCGCCGTGCGCTGGATCGTATCGACGACGTTCTGTAGCACGCTCTCGATCCTTGGCTGCGCCTTCATCTTTACCAGCGTCGCGCGGTCCTCGTCCGTGCGCGCCGACACTGTCGACATGACGACGCGCCTCATCGTTGTCATGTCGATCATCGACCTCTTTGACGCGTCGTTCAAGCTCTTTGGCACCTACGCGTACGCGCACCAAACGCTCTGCAACGTCCAGGGCTTCGTCATGAACGCAGCTGGCATCTCAGGTGCGAGTGCGACGTCGTATACTCTGACACGACGATGCGTAGCGGTCTCGTGGCTCTCGTGTATGTCGCACTCGTGGTACTGCTGGGTCGTCATGGGGGACAGCGAGGCGCGGCTACGGAGCCGCTTTGGCGCGTACGTTGCGTTGAGCTTTCTGCCCTCGATCGGTGTCTCGCTGTACCTTGGGATTGACGGCAAGTATGGCCCCGCAACGTTCTACTGCTGGATCGCCGACTCGCACCAAGACCTCCGCCTCTCGTGCTTCTTTACCTGGGTCGGTGCCTCAGCGCTCTTTATCGTCCTCACGAGCTTCCTTGTCTGCCTCGACGTCTCGCGCCGCGCCAAGCTGTACATTGATTTTTCTATCCGTCGTCGTACTACGGCTCTTCTAGGCAAGAAAACACCGAGGTCGAAGCGTCCGTGTCGGCCATCTACAACAAACTCGCCGCGTACGTCTCGGTTTTTGTGTTTGTGTGGGGCCCTTGCATTCTCAACCGGCGTACGTCCTCCTCGGACATCCATTCCATTCCCATTCTATCGTCTTGCTCTAGTGGTCGAGTGGCAGCAGCAGCCAATGGACCCGCCGACGCTGTGGCTTCTCGGCCTCCACATCGTCTGCAACAACGCGCAAGGTAGAGACCGCGATCGTGGAAATGTGGGTTTCTGAGAAGGGGTAGGGTTTCTGAACGCCATGATCTATGGCGGCGCGTTCCGGCTGCTCTGGAAGCGCTGCGCCGGCGACGTCATCGAAGACGACACGGCAAGCATCCGCACGAGCTTGTGCTCGACGCAGCAAGTCGCAGACACATCGTCGCACGTGCTCTCGATCTTTGCGACGACCTTCAACATGGGCGAAGGCGCCGCGCCGTCCGATCTCGTACGACGTGTCGACTCTGTACCCTGTGATCCTCATCTCTGCTCTAGTCGAAATGGATCGCAGTGGGCCACGACCTCTACGTGATTGGGATTCAAGAATGCTTGGACCTCGGGGGTCTCCGGGCAGCGATCAAGTCGTTCCTTGAGCGCAGCGCGCGGCGGCCGTTTACCGACTACACGCGGGACATTGGCAGCACCAACACGGCCTTGGGCTACCACGTACGTTGACGCGCGCTGGGCTATATCAACGGTCGCTGTAGGGCTTCATCGGCATCTTCATTTTTGTGCCCCAAGACAGCGTCGATGCGGGGCACTTTTCGATTCCGTCGCCGACCAACCCCGAGGTATATCGGACGGTAGAAACGAAGATGTCACTCACGGGTGCGTCAGGTCAACTGCGGCAAGACACTGCACATGCGCACGGCCAACAAGGGCGCGGTGGGCCTTGCGTTCCGGTACCTCGACACGTCGATCGCGGTGGTGTCGTGCCACCTCGCGTCGGACGCCAAGGTCAGCGGCTTGCTCTTGTCAAGAGAGAAAACGTCATGCTGCGTAGGGCAAGAGCCAGCTCCGACGGCGCAACGAAGATGCCGCGCTCGTGTGGCAGTCGCTCCACCTCTCTTCGGACGACCACGTGATGGACTTTCCACTCTTGCACCACCACACGATCGTGCTGGGCGACTTGAACTACCGGCTCACGCGCCTCCACGCTTCGCCCGAGACGATTCTCAACCTTGTTGAAGGCGCCATGCACGAGCGCAAATGGCCCAAGCACGTCACGTCGCCGCCTCCGTCGTCGTCGACGACGGCCACAGACGACGACATCAACAACGAGCTGGCACTGCCCCCAGCAGCTGACGGCGCGTGGGCAGACGTGCTCGACCACGACGAGCTCCGCGCCGTCTTGCAGCAGCACTCGGTAGCCTCCATTACGGACCAGGAGCGACGTCAAAACGACGGTCCTGCGTAGGCGTTTGCAGGGTTCGCCGAAGCGCCCATTGCATTTCCTCCAACGTTTCGAAGGAGACGAGGCACGTCGCTCTTGAGCGCCGCCAAGATCAGCGACAGCTTCTCGCTGCATGTCGCCAACGGCGGCGGCGTCCGTGTCCCGTCCTACACGGACCGCATTTTATACCACTCGCTCCACGACCTGAGAGTACACTTTGGCGTGTCGCAGATCGACTAACTACAACGTGTCGCATAGCACAACCTGCGCTGCGCATCGTATCAGTCCCACGAGAGCGTCGACATCTCGGACCACAAGCCCGTGAGCTGCGTCTTCCTCATTGCAGCCAAGGAGTCCCCGTTCCAAACCCCGCTCGATGTGACGCTCCTGAGCGACGCACCTCGCCCGTCGCGGATGACGGTATCGTTGATGATCTTGCTTGGCATGTCCTGATGTGTTTAGGACTATAACGGCGTCAGAGACTGCACCGTCTTGCTCCAAGACCTCCACGTGCAGTGGATCTCGCCGCACGAACGGCCATCCCTCTACCCCACCAGCGACGACGGCAGTATGGACGCAGGTGCCGCCAGCGGTACTAGTCTGTGCACGAAAGACGACCCTCACGGACGATCTATACGTGGTGTAGATGAGCCGCAGCATGTGACGACCATCTTTCCACTGCCGCTCGAAGACATCTTTGCCGAGCAGCGCAAGGTACTAGTTCCTATCCTCTACCATAGACGTCTCATGTCGGGTCGCAGCTGCACGAACTCGCCGCGCGCTGGGAGCACGGCGTCGTTAAGGCCCCCATCGGGCGACATGGTCGGAATTTCAACCAGTTTCACGTGGCGATGGAGGACGCGATGCAGCAAGGGATCGTGCACCGCTGCTACGCGCAGGCCAAGCGCCACATGCACCTGGCGCTGAGCGTCCACTCGACGTCGCGGTCGCTCGGACAGTGCACGCTGAGCCTCGACGAGGCATTTGTGCACGCCAACCGGGGCCACTGGGTCGCGTTCGAGCACGACTTGAGCGCCCACGGGGCTCGCACCGGCGTTGTCCGTGGTCGTCTTCTGTTTAAAAGCAAATAAAAAGATGCACGACGAGGGCCATCGGATCGATCGCAACAACTGGTATTGTGAAAACCGGCGTTTTTGGCGGGTGGGGGTCTAAAATGAGCTGTTTATTCGCCCACACGGACGAATTATCCGGGTCGATGGACGCATTATTCGTCCGGATAGCGTTACTCACAACGAATTACGAATCGGTCTTCCTGTATCCGGGCGATTTACGACGCAAATCGTCCATAGGACGGACAGATTACTGGCGAAACGAGCGATTGGCGGGTACAGACCCGCCAATCGTCGACTCGACGCTGCATTGCGTCCATTCAGTTTCCGAATTGCGCCTTCGATGGCGTACGACAAGCAGCTACGGTGGCGTTGCATTGTTTTATACTTTGTGTATGGCATTGAAATGAAAATGATTGCTGTTCTACTGGGTATGGCCGTGCGCTCTATCGAAAGATGGAACAAGCAATTCAAGGAGCTTGGCCACGTTAGTCCCAATACGCTGCGTAAGATCAGCGTCTCGTGGCCAACCGAGGTCATTGGGTTCGTTGAAGCGTACGCGTGTGACTTCCCATGTTTTTATGTCGAGGAGCTACAGGAGGCACTCCAGTGCAAATTTCCTGGGCTTCAGCGATGCTCTGTGTCTTCTATATGTCGAGTTCTATACGCCAACCTTGGCGTACAAATCCATGCTGGAGGGCTTGGATAGCGTCACCGTCTTGGACGCCGTCGACCTCGACCTGCCGTATTCGGCCATGATGGTGTCGGTGATGGCGCCTACACGCTGGAGTAGCACGCCGCATCCTTCGTTGTGTGCATGAACGAACGTGTGGGTATCTGCAGTGACGCGTCCGGTCTGAGGAGCTCCAATCTTGACCGACAAGCAGCAGCTAAGCTGCTCGGGAAGCGGGACTGACCGCTGCAGTCGCGGCGCCATGGGTGAATGGACGAAATTGCCGACGAAATGTGAACTGCTCTCGCCATTTCATTTGGCCCATGTATTTTTATTGTTCACAAGTATCGCCATATACATTTTTACAATTATATCTTCTTCGACTGAATTATATTTCGCTTGAACGTTTTAGCACCTCGGCAATTTTTATCCGGACGAATTAGCGGGTGGCCACCGACCGAATTGTTGTTGCGGCAGAAAAAAAAGTCAACGAATTGGACCCCGATTTCATGACGACAAAAACGCCGGTTTTCACAATAGTAGCTGTCTAGGACAGGAGAACTTTGAGTCAGGCGGTTTGCACCCAGGATCTTACTCCTAGGGATCCAGGTGACTGCAGCCAATCGTCAGAGACCAAGGGAATTGCCTTCAACATCCGCGTCGACACCCGCCCAAGCACCGTGCACTCTCGCGCACCTGCGGCCCGTGGGACTCGCCGTCGTACTGTAGTGCGTAGTGCTTACCGACGCGACGGTCCGGTCTCGGACCAACGCGAGCGGCGCTGCAACGATCGCAAGGTCGGGGCTTGTGGCATGAAGAAGATGATTGCACTTTCTGTGACGTGGCTCCTCGAAGAAGGAGAAGGGGCTTGCAATGTTGGCCTGTCATCCGGATAAGCGGCCAGCCGCGTCGGCGAGGAAGGCGCGGGCATCCGGATACGGTGGCTCCAAAAACGAGCTGCTCAAAGCGCAAGTCGCCAGCGCCGAGTCGTCGTCGCCAATGGAGCCGATGGCCGTCGTCCAAGCCCTCCTCTCGCCCCGCTCCATGTCCAACCCCGTGAGCCCGACGACGAGGCCGCCTGCCCGCTCGCGCCGCAACAGCGTCGAGGCCGAGCCGAAGCGGTACTGCGACACGGTCGTGCATCCGATCGACTATCGTTGTCGTAGGAAGTTTACGAGCTTTCCCCTGCCTGGCGCAAGCGCCGACAAGGTAGCCGCAGAGTCCATGGGTCGATGAGGGCTCATGCACACGCTTTGTAGGCCGGGATGCAGCTGCCGCCGCCCGAGGCGAATCCACGTACGATCCTCCATCGCATCCTGCGTGTCGCTGTCGATCGTCGTTGATCGTGACCCTTCTAGTCTTTGGCGACCGCGCGTCGCTGGTGACGCCGCCAACGCGCGACCGGACGTTCTGGATGCCCGACAATGTCTGCAAGGTAGGATCGTGCTGCCATCTTGTTCACGCGTCAATCGAGTCGAACAGGTCTGCCGCGAGTGTGGCGAGGCGTTCAACCTCTTCAAGCGCCGCCACCACTGCCGCCTTTGTGGCCTCATCTACTGCCACGCGTGCAGTCCGCACTCGATTGAGGGCTCGGAGCACGGGTATCCGAACCAGAACATCCGCATCTGCAAGCGCTGCTTCAAGACGCTCGACCCGTCGACCGGCGTCGAGATGAGCGGCTACGACCTCGACCCAGCCTCGCCGACGTCGCCGCTCATGCCCATGAGCCACACGGTCTTCGACTACGATACGCACAACGGCACTACTTTCAACACGCTCGTGTCGGACGCCATCAGCGACGACGTTCCGTCCTCGACCGCGGTCGTCGCGCCGACGTCGACGATACCGAGCTTTCGCCGTCGGCCGAGCATGGAGCTGCGCGGTGCGCTCGCGATCCTCCAGCGTCAGGACACGCCGCTGCTGCCGATGCCACCGATCGGCGAAGATGCAGCGTCGCCATCGCTCTTGGAGCGGCACCAGGTGCCTTCTCCTGTCTTGGACGCGAGGAATGGATGGAGATGTGTGTAGGATGTGGCGGCGAGCCAGCTCCAAGCCTTGCTGCTGCAGCGTATGGAGGCGATTCCGCTGCCATCTCTCGACCGCCAGCTGCTACTTACCGACGTCAAGCAGCACATTTCGTCGACGACCAAGCGGTTTGTCGAGATGCCGTACTTCCGCACGCACCTCGGCTTCAACCACCAAGACCTCATTACCGTCAAGACGATCGCGGCGGCGAAAGCTACAGCTGCGGCCTCGTCCAAGGGGTCGTGTGCCACAAGAATGTGAGCCACAAGAAGGCGGCCAAGGTCCTCGAGTCACCACGCGTGCTCGTCTTGCGCGACGGCATCGTCTTTGGCCACGCGACCGAGCGTCTTAGCTCGCTCGACACGCTTCTCGACCAAGAAAAGACGTACATGAAGCTCATCGTCGAGAAGATCACGCGCATGCAGCCGCACATTGTGTTTACGGGCCAGAGCGTCTCGCGGCTCGCGCAGGACCTCCTCGCCGAAAACAACATTGCGCTTGTCCTGAACGTCAAGCCCGAGCTCCTTGCGCGCATTGCCCGGCACACGAAAGCGACCATCGTCCAAAGTACCGAGCACCTTGTCGCCGACGATATTGGCGTTCTTGGACGCGCGTGCTCGTCCTTCCATGTCGAGACATACCTCGTGCAAGACCAGGTGCGTGTCCATCGACTCGCGGACACGGCTCATTGCAGAGTACGGATCGTCTAGGAAAAACCGAGCCGGAAGCGCGAGTCGTACATTTACCTTGAAGGCTCCGAGCCCGAGGCCGGTGGCACGATCGTGTTTCAAGGCCCGGACAAAGGCGTCTTGCGGCAGCTAAAGGCGCTCTGGGTCGACGTCGCCGCGATGGCATACGACCTCTCGCTCCAAGCGTTTGTCCTCAACGACCTCATGTACCCGGTTGTCCCCGTCTCGAAAAGTACGACCTTGCACGCCGTCAAGGGCATGGTCAAGCAGGTCGACGTACCCAACCGCCCCAAGTACGTTCCATGTGCGTCGCCGACCGAGTTTGCACTCGACTATTACTCGCCGCTCGACAAGGCGCTCGGCGCGTACCTCTTCCAGGACTGCATTGCGCCCAGTACCAAGTGCCAAGTGGCCACCTGTCGCGTCCCACTCATCGATCACATCCAGACGTACTCGTGCGGCAACGGGACGGTCTTGGTGGCGGTCGAGAACCTCCCGGAGAAGGAGCGGCTTCAGATCAGCGCGGTTGTCGACGAGGCCAAGCCCGAGATCTCGTTTTGGCGCTACTGCCGCGAGTGCGCCAAGGTCGTGACGCCGTTTGTGATGCTGTCGTCGATGGCGCTTCAATTTTCGTTTGGCCGGTTCCTAGAAATCATCTTTAGCATCCAAGGCCGCATGCAGCCGGCGCACGATGGCGTCGACTGCACCCACGACGGCCAAGCGAGCCATTTGCTCTACTTCAACTGTGGGCGGCATGCGATTCGCGTCGAGTACCGAGAAGAGCGACCGTGGTTTGTGCAGCACGACAACTGCCTTCCGTTTGACCCGATGTGGTACCTGGGCCTGCAGCAGTCGCTCGCGAAAGACCTCATGACGCCGATCGCCGATTTTATCGTGCTGATCCTCAACGAGATCCACGACTTGCCGACGAGCCGCGGTGCCATGTGCCTCGAGCTCCGCGTCGAGACGGCCAAGAAGGAGCTCATCGCGCAGCTCCGGCAACTCATGGCCCACGGCGAGTTTTCCGCGACCGCCCACAACGACGACGAAGACTCGATTGTACGAGTGATCGAATTTGTCGTCGACAGATTGTCTGATTGTTTTGCGTAGGTCGATGTCAACACGCTGCGCCGGTCCTTCTACCACCTCGCGTCCGAGTGGGTGGCCGCCTTGCAAAAGCTGCAGCACGTGGACGAGGTGCCATTGCGTATCCTCACGACCGAGCTGGCGGGAAGCTCGCCGAGCAGCGTCGTGCCATCGCCCACGACCGCGACGCCAACGACGCTCGAGGTGGCCAAAGTCGAAGCCGAAGCCATCGTCGAGGCCCTACTCGAGGCGCCACTGCCGCTCTCGCTGCCGCCGCCGACGACGTGGAAGTCGACGTTGGGCAGCATCTTGCTTCGGAGCACGGCCAACAGCCCACGCCATAGCCATCATCCGCTCGAGCTGCCCGAACTCGTGACCGCGGGGTCACCGATGCTGCCGCCGGGAGCCCACGGCCGCGTCATTGGCGTGTATGAGGAGCTTCGGTTTTCTTTTGCGGCCTATGCGCTCAACTCGGTCGAGTACGAGACCGAGCTCGCGGCGCTCAAACTGGTCGACCTCCACACGGCCTCGACCGAGCAGCTATTGCGGTCCAAGACGGACACGAGTCTCAAACTCAAATACGCGCACACGCCCGAAATTGAGTTTACGTGCGTCGTGCACTATGCCATTCAGGTACACTACGTCGTGGCGTCATCGTCATCGTTTCCATCTCTAGTTTGAAGCGCTCCGGAGCCTTTTTTACGGTCGCCACGCCGACTACCTTGCATCGATTGCGTCCTGCGCGACGTGGCAAACCAAGGGCGGCAAGTCGGGTGCAAGTTTCTTCCGCACTCAAGACAAGCGCTTCGTCATCAAGTACATCTCCCAGACCGAGCTGCAGGTACGCCTTGTACGCAGTCATCTAATGCCGACGAGATATTTTGTGTGCAGTGCTTCCTGGCGTCGGCGGTTGCCTACTGCGAACACATCGCGCGCGTCTACTACGACGGCATCCCGAGCGTCCTCTCCAAGATTGTCGGCGTCTACTCGGTCACCAAGGCCAAATGGACCGAGCACATCGTTGTGATGGAAAACATCTTTGGCGGCGTCGACGTCTCGCCTGTCTATGACCTCAAGGGCACGACGCGGAACCGATATGCGCCGGCCAGTTCGTCCGTGCTCCTGGACGGCAACCTCCTTGTGCAGACCCAAGGCCTGCCGTGCCCACTGCACCCGCGGTCGTACGAGAAGCTCGTCGAGGCCATCAAGCACGACGTGGCCTTCCTTAGCGACAACAACATCATCGACTACTCGCTCGTGATTGGGTACGTTCCGGACGTCGACCTCTCGCAGGACGCGTCGGTTGTCGGCAACGAGAACGCGCACCTTGGCAAGACGAACCGCGTCATGCTGGTCGGTATCATCGACTACCTCCGGCACTTTGACTTTATCAAGCGCATGGAGAGCGTCGGGAAGAGCGTCACGATGATCGCAGGCCAGGATGCGCCCACGATTGTCGAGCCCAAGATGTACGCCAAGCGGTTCGCGGATGCACTCTCGCTGCAGTACTTTATGCCCGTCCCGAGTCCCTCCGGCAGTATGCTGCTATAGCATGGACGAGCTATAAATCAAACGACATGTATAATCTCGTGTCTTATGGGTGGTCCTTCTTGAGCGAGTACCACGTGAGCTCCTTGGCCTTGGTGAGGCGCAAGACGATCTTGTCGTCCTTCTTCTTCAGCGACGCGTTCATAATGTCCTCGTACAAGGTCTTGATCTTGAAGACGAGGTCGGCGCCGGTCGCGTCGAGGCCGCGGATGCGCACGTCAATGGAGCGCGCGGCCCACTCGAGCACAATGTTGTCGTCGGCGATGGCACCAACGCCGGCGAGGTCGACGTACACGCTCACGGCCTTCTTGCCATCCGCCCAGGCGTACGCCGTGATGGCCTTGTCCTTGGAGACCGGCGCCGGCGCCTCGGACGTGGCGAGGAGGCGCGGCTCGCACTGGCCGTCCCATGCGTGGACTTCAACGTCGTGGCGCTTCTTGTGCGCGTAGTAGTAGGCGTTCTGACCCTTCTCGCGGATGTTGGACTCCAAGGCCGATGGCGCCGTCTCCGTGCTCATGATGGTAGTAGTGTGTCTTCTAGAGGCAGATGATTAGTGACCGCTGACTAGGTCGACGTCGTCGGCGGCGTTGGCGGCAGCGCTCGAGGACGTCAAGTGGGCTCCCATACCACACGTGGTCGAATCGAATGTGGTGCAAGTGCAAAGTCGCAACCGGACACGTGGACTGGAATATCCGGAATCTTCAACTTCTAGAAATTTCTCAATTGAGTCCATTGAGAAACGATCTTTGAGCAACTATAATTCACGCAGGACACGTCTACCGCAGTAGGCGGGTCCATGTCGATATCAGTAGTCGTAGCCGTCGTCCAAACCAAGCGGAGCCCAGCGTCGTAGGTCAAAGAGGCTTGGCCCGCAACGGCACGTCAACCATCGGCAACTCAAAGAGAGCAAGGTCATAAAGCAAGGGCGCCTCGTGGCCATCGTCGTACAAGTAGAAAAGTCTCTGCAGGTTCTTCAAGAGCAGCAACATGCAGACAGCATGTTGCTGCTCTTGAAGAACCTGCAGAGACTTTTGTACTTCGCACGGTCGATGTCGATGTGCTTTTGAGCTCGAGTTGAGTTTAGTGCGAGGTATCCGGCGACCGGATACCGACAGGGGACAGCCATGCACACGATGACGCCGTACTGCTTCCCGCCGACCGCGTTCGAGGCCGAGGCCTTCCGCCCGCTCGAGTTCCTCGAAGAATGCCAGAGCCGCCATCCGATCGCTCAGGTTCACCGCGACCTCGAGGCCTTCAAGCGCTCGCTGGAGAACCAGGTAGATATTGGGCCGACGCCTCGACGACGTCTGCATCCGTCGTTCTCGTAGCTGGTTGCCATCATCGACAAGGACTACGCAGAGTTCCTCCAGCTCTCGACCAAGCTCAAGGGCGTCAACAGCGCCGTATCATCGCTCCGAGAACCGCTGGTTGTCATCATGGACCGTGTTCTCGCCGTGCAAGCCGCCGCCGCCGACCTCGTGGACAAGGCCGACACACAGATTCGCGATCTGCAGCGGCTCGAGCAAACGAAAGCAGATCTTGGTCTCACCATCACGTACGTACGACGCCGTCTTTGGCCTCCGCAGCGCCATGCCTCTGTCCTAGACTCTGCGAAAAGCTCGACCTCGTCGAAAGCCTGTTGCACGTCGCTTCCGGCGACGGCCCGGCGTCATCGTCCGAGGATGACAGCGACATGGAAGACGATGTGTACATACCAATGCCAAGTCACGACCAAGCGCAAGTGCTGGAGCGCGTGGCCAAGCTCACTGTTGAGCTCCAGTACCAGATCGCGCTCGGCGCAGACGTGCCGTCTGTCCAGGTACCTCATCGATGATCGATGGAGCGTGTGGCATGGTGTGCTGTAGGCTGAGGAGCCCCGCATGTCGGCCATCGAGCGCGTGCTGCGTGAGAAGCTCGAGGTTCGTCCGTCGCCATCGGATCGTAGCCAATGCATGCGTTGTATCACTAGGCAGAGCTCGCGACCGAGATCGTGCCCGACTCCTTTTACGCTCGCGATCACGTCATCAACGTCATTAACGTCAACCGGCTCTTGCGCGCCTACGTGGCGCTTCAAGAGACAGCGGTGCCCGAAGAGATGGTCGGGCGCCTCCTCGTGCAGCCTTTTTTGGACTCGACAATGACGCGGTCGCGCTTGGACGGCCGTAGTCGCGGGTCGTGCGAAGGCCTCGGCAGCATCTACTCTGCGATACTCGAGTTTGTCACCAAGACGCTCGGTGGCGTCCTCGCGCTGCCTGTCTGCCAAGGCTCGGCCAAGAACAGCGTCGACCTCCTCACGCAGTCGGTGCGTACATGGCAACTTGGATAACTGCAGCTTCTACTGATCAATTGCGTAGATCTGGAAGCCCGTGTCGGCGACGCTCTGCGAGAAGCTGCCCGAGATCTTCATCGCGTACAACCCCGACCGCATGTACCACGTACGATCTTGCATTGCACTGCGCTATGGCATTGAAAGCGGCTTGCGGGGCTAGAACTACTCCGCGTCCACGGGCTTTCTCACGTCGCTCGAAGCGCTGTGTACCTCGGGTGAGGCGCGGACACGGCTGCGGCTCAGCGCCGCACCGTTTTACGACAAGTGGAACCTCGACGTGTACTACCAGCTGCGGCACTCGGAGCTGACGCAGGCGCTGTCGACGAGCTTTGGGCAGCGGCCGCCCGACGCGACCTTTCTCCAAGAGACGCGGATCGAGGAGTTTGTGTTTCCATCCGCCAAGCAAGTGGCGCTCTTGGCGCGCAAGTGCTTTCGCGACGGTGTTTTGCTGGCTGCGCAGACGCCCAAATTCGCGCGTCTCAGCCTCGAACTCGTTGCCGCGTTCGTTCAGTACTGGCAGCCGCCGCTGACGACAGCACAGCGCCTCGCCGCCGAGAAGGAAAGCGGTATGTTTGGCACCGTCAACCACAGCTGTGTGGCGTCGGCTGACGATGTCTTTGCGTGTGGCAATGATTTGCACCGACTGCAATCTCTGGTAAAACATCGCGGAGTCCCCATGCTTCCAATGGTGATTGGTCTAGATCGCGTCGGACCTCGTGCCAGAGTTGCGCCGTCGACTGACACACGCAGTCCCCTCCGAGGAGGCGGGCGTGCTGGCCACGTCGCTGCTAGCACAGGTACCCTCTTGCGTGTTTAAACAGGTTCAGACGGCCTACGTCCTAGTCGCTCAAGGATCTCGCCGACCTCGAGGCGATCTGCTGGGACATTGCCGCCAACCTCGTGACGGACGACTGCATGAAGCTGCTCCCCGCTGTTCGGTATAGACCCTCGCGCTTGTGATTATTATGTCTCACGCATTCCATTAGCACCATCAAGGGCCAGTACCAGATGACCAACAAACCAATGCCGTCAACGCCGTCGCTCTACGTGGCAACGATCGTCAAGCCGCTTGAGAGCTTCTTGGCCAAATGGGGTGCACCGCTACGCGACAATAGCGGGTTTGCCCAGCGCGTGCTCTTTGCGACCTGCAGCACGTACGCGTCATTGGCCTTGGAGCTGCTCAAGTCGGCGGCCGAGCTGGAAGAATCGTTGAAAAGCCGCAAGCTGCAGCGTGCCTCCGTAGGCATTTCAGCCGCCTCCAAGACCGTCTTACATGTCTCGATGTAGACGGCGACGACCCTCGATGGTGTGTCCGACACGGACAAGATGCGGCGCCAGGTCGAGCTCGACATGCTTGAATTTGGACGGTGCGTTCTTGATACTTTGATACTTTCCGGCAGGAAAAGATGGTGTCTCACTGCATGGGACGATGTTAGGCTCGCACGCGCACTGCACGTCGAGATGGACAAGTGCGACGAGTACGCAGCCATCCTGCGACACGTGGAAAGCGCGTAGGAGCTTTTACCCCTTGACCGCAACGTTGTTCGGATACGCTGGATACCGCCAGCAATCGTCTTCAAATGCACCGCTTTGTTTCTTTTTTGTCATGCGCACCAATTCTAGCAACCTCGCTAACCACGGACCAGAGTCGTGCTCGGCGACCACTTCTTAAGCTGTCGTTGCTGGTCAAATCGCTCAAGAAGAGGAGTACAGCAACGCAGCAACGTTGTCCAAGCCCCGCAGGCTTCTGAAGGCGTTCAATGGTCGCGTCCTCGAAGATTAAGGGTTCAAACCCCGCTGGCACAACGTTGTTTTGTGTTGACTCGCAGCAGCAACACGACGAACGTACTATATTACGTGTACTCGCCGCTGGTAAGAACGCCAGTTCAAACCTCAATTTCACGCGTCGCAGCGTTCGTTTGCTCCAGATGCTGCACCGCTAAATACACAAAAACGAGCTAATAAGCCGTCTACTTTTGTGGCACGGTCGTTTGAGCTACGTCGACGCTACGCCCGCCGCCCACGCGACCGGGTGTGGCCACGTCCGCCTCGGTGACGGGGCCGCTCTCGACGTCCATCTCGTTTAAAATCCCGAATCCGACGCCGCCCGCGGCTGCAATCACTGCGTCGTCCAGACCAAACGCACGCTAAGAGGCGTCTCGGCTGGCGCTCCAGTGGCACAAAGCTTGGGCGCTGCTGCTCGCTGCCGATCGGGCTACCTCGACCGTCGAGCGATGCCAGGAAGTCGTTGGTGGCCCACGATTGGGATGTACATCGAAAGGCGACATCATCGGGAGAATAGAGCGCACCAGCACAAGAGGAGTCTCCGCCAGCAACGACGTTGCCGGCGCAGAGGTTGGTAGTGGCACAATGCGTTCACGGAGGGCAGCTTTCGCGTTCACAGGTGGCGCTTGGCGGGGCGCGGCTGCTGCCTGCCCTGGGCGCATCCCGACTGCGAGCAACAGAGGTGCACCGTCGTTGTCGGGACTGTCCTTGTCGTCCGAATCGGCATAGTCGACAAGCTTCTTGCGGCGCTTGATGGCGTCTGACGCGGCCTCGCTCGCGCGGCGCTTTGCTGAGCGTGTTTTTGTCGCCGTCATGCCGCACGCCTGATGCGAGTCGCTCCAACAAGGCATGAAGCAGGCAGTAGAGACGGGCCCGTACGCGATGCTCCTCGGGCCAAGACGGGCGAAGGCCGCTTCGTCGTCAGGTAGCGTCTCGATACAAGCCAGCACTGTGGATTGTTCGCTCTCGAGCTCGGCACGGCGCGAGAGCTGTGGGGCTCGCGCGGCTCGGACGTAAAGCTCGTCTGGCGCGTCGTCGTTGGCGCTGCTGTGGCGACGCGACGCGTGGACCGAGACTGCACAGCTGAAGTCAAAGCCTCGGGATGAGCGCGGTGCTGGCGGCGACTCCGGCGCTTCTCGCGTCAAGCAGGCGGCAGTGGGCTCGATGCTTGTCGGGTTGCTGTCGTTTTGGCGAATGCAATCTCGACGATCACAATACATTAATCCGGACAAAATTGGCCAATCAAAATCAAGTAAAATTTAGTAAAACCAACCACGCGCCAACAGCTCGCGCCAACAAGCATCGATTCAAGCCAATCCAATGGAGCTCGATCTTTCCGGATACAAGACCTATGAGTGCATCAAGTTGAAACTCTTTTTGGTGGCGCCAAGTCCCGTGTGCACGCAGCTACCGTTGGTCAGCGTATCGAGGACGTCCTCACAGCGGCAGCAGGACTTTTATTGAATGATGATCGCCGCCATGCTACGATCCGATTCGACTCTCTTGCCCAGTCTCGATGTGTTGAAGGCGCGGTCATTAGCGACGAGATACCCGTGCAGGTCCAACACCAAGGCACTTGAAAGCTCTTTCTGCAGGCACGTAGAGCGGCTGTTGCTGTGTGTCGCCCGAGTGCACGTGACATCCGGGAACTCAAGGCCGATGCAACATGTATGCAGGACCAAATAGTACTGCGTTGGGTCTCACATTCTGCGCTACTCCTCCCTCGACGTTGCATCGTCGACTTCGATTACGAGTGGTCGTAGCGGCTCGGGGCTTCCCAGCTACCACGACAAACTAAGAGACAGAATCCAAGCTGCAAAGTACCTGGCGCTGGATCTCCTGGAGCGAATTCAGCAGAAACTCGCGGTGCTTTCGCGACGTCGAGTGCTCGTCTTCGCTGGGCGCGACGCTCGGAAACGACGCCGGTAGCTGCTTTTTGCCTTGGCCCTTGCCTTCTTCTCGAACGTGCTGCTCGTGTCGTCGCGTCCCACAAGCTTTTGCACGATAGCATATGGATTTCGCTTGGTGGTTTTGAGACCGCCCAAGGTTGGCGTTGTCTTGAGCGCATCGAGCCGCGACGCGCTTTCCACCATGTGCTGCAGAGGGCGATGGAACGACTCGGAGTTGAGGTGCGACGCGGTGAGGTCCGTGAAGAAATCGTCTTCCTTCTTGACGAGCGAATGCGCGAGGACGTTGGGGTTGGGCACCATGGCGGGCACCAGCTTCCACTCGTCGGGCATGTACGGCACCTTTTTCAAATCGTCGCGCTTGACGTCGCTCGGGAGGCTGCGCTCCATGTCGCTCAGCATCGTATGGTCGATCCGCATGGGCAGCGTCGGCGGGTCCGTGAACGGGTACTGGGTCTTGACCGTCATCTTGAGCGCTGGTTTTGCTTTCACGGGTTTCGGCAGCCACGCATCGTCCGGTGGCTTGGTACTTTTGACTTCAAAGCGCGCTTTGAGCGGTGGCACGAGCCGCTTGGGCCGTAAAATCGCAGGCGCGTGCTCCCGCACCGTATTTACTTCGAGCGCCGACGTGCTAAAGTCGGCGTACACGAGGTAGCAGTTCTCGCAGACCGGCGCCGTCTTGTACAGAAAGACCGGGTCGGTCGCAAAGCGAAGAAAGTCGTGGACGGTCAAGTTCGGATGGAGATAGAGCAACACGGGTGGGATCGTCACGTCCGCCTCGGTGACGGGGCCGGTCTCGACGTCCATCTCGTTTAAAATCCCGAATCCGACGCCGCCCGCGGCTGCAATCACTGCGTCGTCCGGCGGCCATAGGACCACTGAGGCCTTGGACGCGCGGAGGTGCGTGAGGAGCTGCCGAAAGTGCTCGATCACGGCCTTGTAGCTGGCGTGGAGCATGTGTACTTGGTCAATCGCCTTGGCGCAGCTGGTGCACTTGGCGATCACCGCGTTCTTCTTCGAGGGTTTCCCGTCCGGCATCGCGCTAAGGTGCACGAACGCTGGGACTTGGGCGTCGGATGTCATGTCGATCGGCCGATGCTCGCCATGCGAGAGCCGAATCGAGGACGACCAGAGCAGCCAGACGCGGTCGTCGGCGTCCGTCTTGAGGTGGAGCACCATGCGCGAGATGCGGTACTTGTGGAACGACACCTCCATGACATGATCGACGACTTGTTCGCAGAGGTACTGGATGTCGCCCGGCAGAATCGAGCCGCGCACGGGATCTACATCAAGACAATCATGATGACGATCCTTGCAATGCATGACAAAGTCATCATTTTTGCACAAATTGAAGTGTGTACCAGGGTTGCTGTAGGCGTCGGCGCCATCGAAGGTCACGGCGCGCTCGTAGATACCATACCGCGTGTCGTGCAGCTTGCGCACGTTCGTCTTGCGCTCCAGCAGACACATCTTGGGTGTCCAGACCGCGCGGATCATGGCTACGATATATTGATACAAAGGCTGGAAACAACAGGGTTGTACAGTTGGACGCGCCCTTGGAGACGACAAAGCGCTGCAGCACGCCATTATGTACTTTGGCTCGGTTGTACAAGAAGTCCTCTGCCACCATAGCATTGAGGTATATCTATCGACGAGAACGACGTACTGAGGCCGTCGACGTTGAGGTACTCGATCGTCGGGCTGTCTATGCAGGTCCTCGTAGAGCCGCCGCGAAGCTGCTGTCGGTACCGTTCTCCATGTAGATGTAGTAGGCGACAATGTCAATGCCGCAGAGCTTGCGGCAAAACTCCTTTTCGATCTGAACGTTGGCCAGCGACGCTTTGGCCTTCTTCTTGACCTTGCCCGACTTGGAGGTAAAGTACCAGTACGCGGGCTGCGTGAACTTGTAGATGATCGTATCCGGAATCAAGAGCGACGGGCCGCCGCCAAACTCGTCCTTGCACCAGAGGTAGTAGAAGAGGTTCTCGACGAGTCCATCGCCGTCGAGCGCCCAATTGGCCTCGTGCTCCATTATTTGGATCCGATGCGGCCTTTCCCACTTGGCCCTTGAAACGACCAGATCTTTTTTGTATCTTTCATGGGCAACTCCGTCTGCGGCTGCGGTCGCGTCCCGCCGCCGAGCGACGACGTCATGGACGCGCTCTTCGCGCCGAGTCCGCGCAAGGAGTATGTGCCTCCGTCGACGTCGACGATGACGCGCACGCTGCTCAAGCCGACCAAGTCGCCAGCTTCGGCCAAAGGCAACGACACGGCGCCCGTCAAGCCTAAAGTGAGCACGAAGCTCGTGGAAGTCAAGGAGGAGGAGGCGCCGGTACCGCGGCAGCACGCGGTCAGCGACCCGACGCCGACGCACCAACACCACCCTCCGCACCAGCACCAGCACCACCACCACGCGCCGCCTCCGACGCCGAAGGAGGACCTCGGAAAGGCGCTGGCCATCAGCCTAATGGACGAGGAAGCCGCATCCAGCACCAGCTTGGAGCGCGACGGCAGTGCAACCAGCCGTGATGACTCATCCACGTCGCTCGAATCAACCGCGTCGACCGCCAGCCTCGGGTCGCCTCGCGCCGCGTCGTCGCCTGACAACAGCACGCACGGCAGCAGCCACAAGTCGTCCAAGAAGAAGGCCAAGTACGGGCGAGCCAACTACCGCGCGGGCTCGAGCAAGGGTCATCGCCACCACGCGTCGACCTAAGATCTAGGTTATACTATCGTGTACCAATCAAGTCAAAATTGGGTGTTGTATTTTCCAGCCTACTCTACGTCAATGAAGCATCATCATTGGTCGTCTTGCAACATTTACGGGATGCTCTTGATGTACTGGAGGAGCTGGTTCTCGGTGAGGCTGCCGTCGAGGCCACCCATCATGCTGGCCGCACTGTCGACGACAAACTTGAACTGCGGCTCGTCGCACTCGTAGCCGCCGACGCCGTACGGCGCGTTCTTGGGCGTGAAAATAAGCCCCTCGACGTCGTGCGTGATGCGCGGGATGAAGGTGCGCAAGACGTGCTCGGCCTTCTCGAGTCGAAAGTGATCCTTCATGCGCACCCGGAACGGCTCGGCCTCCAAGTCGAGGTGCTTGTCCTACATATTTACCTGAGGAATCGGACACGGGATGGTATTGGCGTACGCTCTTCCGCGGCAAAATGATCTCGTTCTGCAGACACTGCAGCCGCTTCTCGAGCTTGCCTTTCCACACCGGCGTGTTCTCCCACGCGATGATATCGTAGGCCAAGTAGCGTGGCACGACGGTGTCGCCGTCTTGATCTTGGACGAGGACACCATCGACGAGCGTCATGTCTGTATTCTCATGCTATTTCATCAGCATCATCATCAGCATCAGCATGTTCTTCCATACTTGTACGGCCTACCAACGCACGCTTCCGGGGCAGCTTGACGTTGACCTTGGTGAATGTCATGCGCCGCGACACGAGGTAGACACCGTCCTTGAGCCCGAGGAGGAGGCACCGGATCCTACAAGGCAATTGGCGTCGTGCGACCTTTGGAGAGAACGCTACCCGCGGGCCCGCCACGTCACGAGGTACGACTTGGTGAGCGACCCCGGCTTGTCGAGCGCAGGGTCGCGAATGTGAATCTTGGTCAGCGACATGGTCTACGCGCATGTGTTGGAGAACGAGAGGGTAGGTGCTCAAGACCGCACCTCGCTGCCGGGAAAGCCGTCGACACCCGTGAGCTGCTGCACGACCGAGACAAGTTTTTCGTGCTCCTTCGAGTCCTCGGGCACGGGCGTGCCGAACGGGAATGGCTCGACGTCGTCTTCCCACGTGCGGATCTTGCGCTTCTTGGTCTTGGCGACCTCGACGGGCGCCGGCGGCGGCACGTACGGAGGCGGCGCAAAGGGCGGTGGCGCGAAAGCTTTCGGCCGGTGCACCACGGGGGCGGAAGCAGCGGCAGCGACGACGGGCTGGGCCACCACAAGTGCGGCCGACCGCACGAAGGGCGTCGCCTTGTCGTCGTCCGTGAGCACTTCGCTGCCGATCGTCAAGGACGGATCGACATGTGCTGCGGACGTGTCCCATGACGGCGGCGCTGGCACGGACAAGCGCGACTCGGGCGACTTGAGCATCGCGTAGTAGCGTCGGTAGAGCGCCTAATGAGACCAAGCAGGAGTTGTCGCATGCAAGCGCCATCATGGCCATGCGGTACCTGGAGGCACGGTACCGAGTAGATGCCAGGCGCATTCGTCTTCTTGTACAAGTCGATGGCTTCGAGGAGATGCATGTTGCCATGCTCGACAAGGTAGCTACAAGTCGCTAACTCATCGTCCTCAAGTACAAATACCATTGTACCTCACGATAAGAAAGCCCGCGACGTTGTAGCCGTAGCCGCCAAACACAGCCACGTGCGTGTCGGGCTCGTTGGCCGCGACGTGCTTCTGCACCGCGTCGCAGAAGGCCTTGACGATGGCCTTGGGCGGCACGTCGTCTTCGAATGGCGGGAGCTTGACGCACTGAACGTCCCAGTCGTCCCATTCTCTAGTCGAACAGGTGCGTGACGTGGCAAGCACATGCAGCGCGTGTACCGTGCGTCGTGGTAGTAGCAGCCATTGCCCGACGCGTCAATGACCGTCGTGACATTGATGCGGTCGCCGCGCGCGCTCTTCTGGATGAGGCCTTCCATGAGGTCGCTCGGGCTCCCACCCGCAAACGACTCGTCGTAGTGGATCTCGTAGAGCGGTGCCAGCGGCGCGCGCACGGGCAAGAGGTTCTTCACGACGGCGCCGAACATGGGCGTCTTCTGCCACGCCGTCCACTCGGTCGGCGACCATGGCAGCAGCTTGCGCCCGCCCGAGGCCTTGGCCCGCGGCTGCTGCTTGAGCAGCGCCTGGATGCGCTCGATGGGGACCGCCATTCGCCCGAATTTGTTCTTTCGCGTCGCATCTTGGTTGGATATAGGTTTCCGCCTTTTCGATTGGTAGAAAAGGAGGCTATTTCGACCGATTTGCACCAATCCAACACGGTTGTCACGCTTCGCGCCAGATTGCTGTTTGAATCCAAGTCGGAGGAGGCTGACGACGACCTTTGTTCGACGGGCAGTGGTCGAGCTACGACCGAATGCTTCTCGACGCATGGCCGTCCAAGTCCTCCTTGGTACTATCACAGCAGACAAGACATGGACAGACGCTCGGGTCAGCAGACCGCACTGGATTGCACCGGCGATCTCCGCCACGCAGGACGGCGCGATGGAGCACTTCAGACCTTGTTGACATGACCTTGGTTTCCTATCTTCTTGCAAAAGGCATTGGCGGTGTTGGAGGCTCGAGCGACATGCCGTGCGATTGTACTACACCGTGGGATAAGATCAAAGGTATTGCACGGGTGGTCAAACGATCGGTGCTGTAGGAAGCGCATGGCAACCCCTCCAATGGCCTTGGTAGCACCTGCTCCATGCATTACCCAGGTCGCCTCTCGCAGCGACAAGGACGACGACAGGTGGCCGTTCCATTGCAGACAAGCGCGTCATTAGCTTTTGCACGAGGACTCGGAGCGGTATCGCCGTCTTCTTTGCTGCTGCGATCAAGGTCGACGCATCTGCATCGTTGGCTTCCTACGCGGACCCGGATCGCCGCTGGCTGAGATGCTTGCAGCCGTGGGAATGATCGTTGGACATCGCCACCACCACCACGGTTCCCGGGCGGGTTGGTGGAATCGTAGAGCTTGATGATGCATTGGCTTAGGTGACGCTGTGCATTTTGCTAAAGCGGGCGCGCGCCTCGACGTACTCGGAGTACGTGTCGCGCTTCCGGAAGTGGCTCATGTCCTTGTCGCGGTTGAGCACCTTCATCTCGGCGTCGTAGCCAAACGCGTCCTTCGTCGTCGTGCTGAGCTTGTACTCGGACGGGATCGGAAGGCCGTGGAGGATTCCGTGCATGTGCAGCCGCTTCGCCTTCGGAATCGGCTTGGGGACCACGACCTTGTCCATTCGCGGCCGTCGCTCATGTCCATCTCGTCGTTGTTGCTGGGCTTGGCCTACATGCATGCATGTCATCCAAGGCCTCATCCTCTCGTCGTCTTACGCGCGACGTCTTGTCAAGTGGTGTCCCATTGACTTCCTTGAGCAGGCTACAGCAGCATCTCTCTCATGGAGTATCACCAGGAGGAGGTTGATGTAGCAATGTCGGCGTCTTTCGCGATCGGATCGGCGCGAAGCAGCGCGCGCTCGTCGACGCGCGTCTTCCTGCCCTTGGACGCTGGCTTGGGCGGGTCCGCGAGGATCTCCTTCTCCTTGGTCGACATCTCTTCGGTCGCCATCGTCGTGCTCTTCCTATTCCATCATGGCCTCTACCGTTGCACCGACTTGGGCGAGTACCAGTCGTTGACGTGGCCCTGAAAGATCGGGTTGCAGAGGCCGATGGTCTGCTTGAGCGACGCGAGCTCGCGGTCGAGCGCGTCGCCTTCGAGCCCCGTCGCTTGCTGCCGCTTGCTCATGCTGCGTCGGCTCTATATTTAGGCTCGATGCCATATTTAGAGAGCAACAGAAAGCAATACGAAGCAATACAAAGCAATCACGTTCCATGGGATTACGATCGTCCTGCAACCGGTTGGATTAGACCAGCGGCTCAATGTCCATTTCGACGACAGAGCACGGGTACAGGAGCTCGTAGTGCTCGAGGACCACCGGATGCAAGACGCCAAACGTGCCGAGCTTGAGCGTCTCGCCGTTGCGCGTGAGGACAATGTCGGCGCAGCGGCCAGGGAAGAAGGTCGCGTCTACGCCACGCATGATTAGTCCGTCATGCCGATGCAAGAAGAAGCGTACTGGACGACGGCACCATGGTGTAGAAGAGGTCCTTGTCGTGGCCCACCTCGAGGCTGCAGCCAATGCCGAGCAGCTGCATGACGCGGTCGACGAGGCCGTGGATGACCTCAAAGCCGTCCGTGTTGCCCGTGTAGAGACCGCAGAGGCGGCGCACGTTCTTGGCGCCAACGTCGGTCGCGTCGTCGAGGACCACGACGTCCGAAATCTCAAAGAGCTTGACGCCGTCCTTGAACGACATCGACTTGTTGTTCAGGACCGTCTTGAGCACGCCCGGGATCATGGTCGTCCGCACCACCTAGGCGACAACTTTTTCTAGCAAAAGATAATGCTTGAAATCGATCCTGCACCTCGAATTCGATCGTCGACGGGTTGGCGAGCACCACCGCGGTCTTGCCGTCGTCCTTTTGGTTGAGGAACTTGAAGTTCTCGTCGTGCGAGCAGAGGCCGTGCGTGAGGAGCTCCATGTAGCCGGCACGCGAAATCTCGTCGCGCAAGTGGTCGCCGAGCTTGTTGATGGGCTGCGGCTGGCCGATCGTGAGCGTCGGCGGCTGCGTCACCGGAATGTTGTCGTAGCCGTACGCAATCCCGACGTCTTCCATGACATCGACGGGGTGGAGGATGTCGGACCGCGTCGGCGGCACCTGCACCTTGATGCTGTGGCTCTCCGCAAGGTACGTAGCCTGGAGCTGCATCTTGACGCAGAGCTTGCAAATGCGCTCGACGTCCAAGTCGATCGGCTCCTTCGTGCCAAAGAGCATCGACTGAATGTCCTTGACCTTGGTGACGACCTACGCACAGCTATCGCATGGGCTATCGCATGGGTTTCGCACCTCGCGGTTCGACATGTTGGGTGTCGTCTCCTTGTGGCCGTCATGCTCGTACACAATCTCGACGGGCTCGACCGTGAACGGCGCGGCGCAGTACTGCGAGAACATGGCGATCATCGTGTTCAAGACCACGTTGGCCTTGGTGATGTCCGTCGCCGTGCACTCGATAAAGACGTTCTTCGTCGAGAGCTTGATCTACACAAGCATTATTCTCAGCATCCCATGCAAAGCGACGACGTACCTTCGAGTGCTCCGAGTTGATGATGGGCGGCAGCGACAGCAGCGTCTCGTTCTTGTCGTAGATCACCTAGTATGGCGCATGAGCTACCCATCATGGCGAGATGATAGATACCGGGTACGTCGGGAAGTCGTAGATGATGTCCGTGTACGGCTTGAGGTGCTTGCAGTCGGCGCTCGTGCGGTAGTGGTCGAGGAGCTCGCGCGCGCTGAACTCGCGCGTCTGCGACAGCGGCACGAAGCGGATGTTCTCCGGCGCGCGGCCCTAGAACGTCGTCACTTGAGCAACGTCATGGTGACCTCTGGCAACGTCGCACCTCGTACGTGAACGGGCCCGAGATCGTGTCGAGGTCGTGCGTGCCAATGGCGACGAGCGTTCGGCGACGGCAAATGTTTTGGTGCAGCTTGTCCTGCAAGTCGATGAAGCTGTCGTAGCGCTCCTGCGTGAACGTCACGTCGCGGAGGATGCACGAGACCACGAACGGGCGCATGGTCTCGAGGCCCATGTTCTTCTTGACCGTAATGACGTGCATTGTCTTGGGCTCAATGACGCGGAAGATCGGCGGCAGCTCCTTCTGCATGAAGACACGCAGCGCGCGGGCAATACCTTCGACGCAGAGCAAGTCGTAGCGGTTGGCCGGCACGTCAATCTTGTAGATGACCGTGTCGTCGGCGCCGGCCGCGGCCTTGGCGCCCTGCTCCTTCTCCTTCATGAGGCGCTCGCTCGTGATCTCATCGAGCTCGATGCCAAACTCGAAGCAGAGATGGTCGAACTCTTCGTCCGAGAAGCGCTGGCCGATCGCCGCAAAGAGCTCGTCGCGCTTGACGCCCACGGTCGGCATGCTGTCGCAAAAGTACTTGTGTGGACTTCCTCCATACAAACTATCCGGACAGCATCCGGATCGCCCACGTTCTTGCGGTCCAGAACCTCGAAGTGGCGGAGTGCGATGGGCGGCAAGGACGAGCATGGGGCCAGCACGAGGTAGGATGACAGTCCGCAAGCGGAGACAGTAGGCTTAGTATGGCCATCAACCTCGCAGCGCCAACGCTTGTCGTCTCAAAGTTTGCATGCTCACACATGTCATCGGCGCGTGGCATCTGCATGGACCATAGACCTTGGACACGGGCAGTGGGCATGACGCATGGCGTCCAGTTCAGCTCTGGATCTCCTCCGTCTTGCATTATGCTTTGGGGTACGCGAGCGCAGCGTGGTTGGCTGCAAGCGGGTGGCATGGCAGTCATGGTAAGACGCAGGTTGCCGGTTGCATGGCATGAAGAGACCTGTTGGCAACGTCCCACAGACTTGCCAGTCAGAACGGCTCGCATTGTACTTCAGGCATCAGAACGCGTGCGCTGCTTCTCGACGCTGCTGCATCGATCGACGTGGTCGAACGTCCTTGCAGAGCCGCAAGCTCGCTGGCTGCTGGCGGAAAGGACACGAGCAACAGCAGATATTGCCATGTCAAGAGAAGGGATAGTGGTGTCATGTATTTCATTCATTGCATTGCGCGACAAGGCGGAGCCGCTTACAAGTAGAGACCTTCGGGGATGTTGGCCTTCTTCTTGTACAGAGCCTTTTCCTTGGCCTTGCGAAAGTCGGTTTGCGTTACGCGCATGCGGCGCTCGCGAAGCGCCAAGAGGCCGGCTTCCGTGCACACAGCCTTGATGTCAGCGCCCGAGAGCTCGTCCTTGGACATGACAAACTCCTCGAGCTCGACGTCGTCCGAGAGACTCATACGACTCGTGTGGATCGCAAAAATGCGGCGCTTGGTCTTGACGTCCGGGAGCGGGAACTCGATCTAGACGTGCAAAAGCTCAGTGTGAAAAACGCAGCAATGGGATAATGTGTACCTTGCGATCGATACGACCTGGCCGAATCAAAGCCGGATCAAGGCTTTCAATGGCGTTCGTTGCCATGATCACCTAGGCAGCGCATGAGACAAGACGGCTAGTGCAAGAGTGAGGTATACCTTGACATCACCACGTTCATCGAAACCATCGAGCTGGTTAAGGAGCTCAAGCATCGTACGCTGAATTTCACGGGTACCGCCACTGCTCGAGTCGTAGCGCTTGCTACCGACAGCATCGATTTCGTCGATGAACACGATCGACGGCGCGTGGTCATCGGCGACGCGGAACATCTCACGCACGAGCTTCGGGCCATCACCGAGGTACTTTTGAATGAGCTCCGAGCCCACGACACGCAAGAAGGTCGCCGACGTCTGGTTGGCGACGGCCTTGGCGAGAAGCGTCTTGCCGGTACCGGGCTCACCGTAGAGAATGACACCTTTCGGCGGCTTGATGCCAATGCCTTCGTAGAGTTCGGGATGTGTGAGCGGCAGTTCGACAGCTTCCTTGATCTCTTGGATTTGCTGGTCGAGGCCACCAATGTCAGCGTACGACTCGAGCGGCGCCTTGTCGACCTTCATGACGCTGACCATCGGATCCGTGTCGTTCGAGAGGATACCAACGACCGCCATGACCTTGTTGTGGAGCAAGACCGAGCAGCCCGCCTCGAGCATGTCTTGGTTGACGAACGACATGACGCTGACGTAGTACTCAGGGCCGACGCTGGACGACACGATCGCGTGGTTGTCGTCAATCATCTCTTCCAGAGTCCCGACGCCCATGGGCGTGCCACGGAGGTCGTCGACCTTGGAACGCTCCTCCTCGTCCTTCTCCTGTTTGGGCTTCATGACCTCTTGGTTCTTGATGAACTCCTCTTCCATCAAGAGGAAGTCCTTGATGCGCTCGAGCTTGAGGAGGCGCAGCTTGCACTTGGCGGTCGGGAAGACCGCGGGGATCCGCGTCGCGACCGAGGGACCCTTCTTCTTCTTGCGCTTGCGGGTCATGGCGCCCCCGCGCGGCTCGAACTTCTTGCGCTTGGGCGCTTCGTCCTTCTTCTCGGGCTTCTTGCTGCCCGGGAGCCCGCTTTGTCCCTGCCCCATATTTCTTTGGATACAAACTTTGTAGCAGGGGGATCAATCCGGTTACTATAGACCTTAACCGGATTCGCCCTCTCGCCCCTTCGGGATTCTTCTCCGGATACGAGGCGCGCAGAGCGTGCCACGTGGGCCTAAGATCTTGGATCGCGACTTCGGCAGCGACCTATCCGACCACGGTCTTCCCACGGGCACGACCGGGGTGGGTACGAGTCATGGGCACCGTGTTCATGTACATCGAATCGACTCGCTACGACGCACAGTGCAGTGCGTCGCTACGTCACGCACCATGGCCGCTCTGCCCTACTGCCATGTGAACGCCACAAAAACTGCCATGTTAACTGGTGGTGAGAGGTTCAAGTGCGATGGCTTCCGACAGCGTCTTCACCACCATCGTTGCCGCTTAGTTTACCGGCACGGTTCCGATGCTAAGCGCTAGATCTTTGCCGATGGTCTCGACAAGATGCCAAAAAGATGTGCTACAACTGCACGGGCAGCGCGCTCGGCGTGAGCTGCGGAGCTCGCAATTGCAGCCATGATCTGGTCGTGGACAAACTCGTTGCCGAGAACGTTGAGATGCAGACCGTCGGAAAGCACGTCCTTCTGCATGCCCTGGAGCAGGGTCCAGAGATCGACGACGGGAAAGTGCAGGCGACGAGCCACCTCCATGCACAGGCTGGCATAGGCACCTGCCCGCGCATTTAGGTGGGCTTGATCAGTAAACATGTCGTCGTCCGAGACGGCCGGTGTCAAAAAGAGAAACTTGGTCGCGGGAAACGCATCGAGAAAGCCGTGCACGATACCCTCGAGGTTCGCCTTGTACTCGTCGGGCGGGACATACTGGTCGGTCGCATTCGGACGGGTGGCGTCGTTCGTACCAAGCTCGAGGATCACGAGGCTCGGCGGTCGGGTAGACCATTCCTGCAGCATTGCCGGGACGGTTGGCAAGTAGTTGCTAGCCACGTTGCTTGACTTTAAGCTTGGAATACATTGCGCATACCGCGTTGTCCAACCCGACCGACCGCGGTTGATAACGTCTGCTCGACGAATGTAGTTCTCAGCGAGCAGTGCTTGAAACCCGTGGAGGCTCACGGTGGATGCTTGCTGCGTGATCGAGTCGCCAATCATGAGGAGCAAGGGCTTGGGCGTTGGCGCCATCGTAGCTTCCTCGACCTTTGGCGGCGCGGCAAAGCCAGCAAACACAGCTGCGCCGGCTACGGTACCGATTGCGACGCCCGCGAGGACGAGGCAAGCTACAAACGCTCGGCGATTGAGGTGAATGGAGGAGGTCAAGATACTGCATACCTGCAATGAGGCAGCGACGGCAGCCGAGCCGCTGCGTTGGTACTGGTGAAGCTTCCTTGCCCGTGCGGATCAGCTCAACCTCCGCCATACCGGAAACCTTGCGTCTGAATCCAGTTGTCTCCAGCTGGTCACGTCGTATCTTGACGGCGACTATTACCACGCATTTTTCACGTGAGAAATGACGCACCAGAGGTGGGTAATTACCACGACAGCAAACCCGTGCGGCGTCACATTCCCTCTCCACGCCCCAGTGCATGTCCATCATTGGGTGATGTCGCTTTGAACTGCCGTAGGATGACGCCGAAAGCGTGCTCTTACGAGGAATGCGCGCTGTCGTGGGTGTTTGGCGTGTTTTACACGTGGGAAATCGCCCGTCAGCGACAACCATGCATTCTAAACTTCACAACCAACAACAGCAACGACACTACCGGCGCCGCGATACATGCTACTTGCAGGTAGAAGAGGCATTGGCGCCCTCATGGTGGCTATCGATAGCAGTCGACGCGACGCCGTTTATGCACATGTCGGTTGGGCTGCAGATTGTAACCCCACTACCCTTTCCTGAAACGTCTAGTCCACGGTTGTTGCGCTGCAACTTGGACATGACTGGTCCACACGTTTGTGTCTACTACGCTTGTATTGCGCTCGCAGAGCCGCCAGAATAACTTGACGTTTGCCAACAGGATGGTGGCGAGGTTCTGCGTCGTGTCGCCGGAGCCGCGTTCGGTGTTGCCACGTCATGCTTTGCATATTCCACTGCTGACATGCTAGTATCGTTTGCGCACAACGACTCGTCGTACGAAATCTGCACACTATTCAAAAGCAAGAGACTATTCAAAAGCAAGACACTATTCATTCCTACGCTATCAACGACGACGACGACGACTACTGTACTACTGGACGCGGTCCAAGAGCGACTTGAAGAAGGGCGGCGTGACTTCAAAGAGGTTGCGGAGGATCGTGTCGGGCGTGTTGGCCGTGATCGAGCTGTCCGTGTGCTCGTCGAGCGTCACCTTCATGCACCAGAGCACCTCGGCGGCGCGGCGACCGTCGTCCATGCACTCGCGCAGCACGATGCCGAGGTTTTGGTTGCGACGAATGTACGCCGGCGTCTGCGGCCAGCTCGGGTCGTCCGTGACCGACCGCGCGGCCATGTACACGGCGTTGGCGACGACGCGGCGCTTGACCGCGTGGAGCCGCTCCGTCTTGATCTTACCCGTGCCGTGGGCGTCGGCGTTCGGGAGCGCGAGGTTGAGGAGTGCACGCACGTACTTGGTGTCGTTGTCGATGGCGTCGAGCACTTCATACGATTCCATGAACGGAAACTCCTCGTTGAACGCCTTGGACGTGAGGAGGTCCCAGACGCGCGAGCTCGCGTCCATGTAGTTGACGTTGGGCAGCACGTGGCGGAGGAAGATCTGGATGCTGTCCTTTGCCATTTCGTACTGGACCGTCACGCCGAGGTAGCTCATGTTGGCGACCTTGGGCTGCTTGAAGAGCTGCTCGCCGTGCTGGACAGAGGACATGGCGGCCTGGATCGCGTCGTCGGCCACCTTCATGAGCGTATCGCGGAACGAGACGGTCGGAAGCTGGAAGAACGACGACGGCATGGACGGCGGCGGCATGAGTGCGGGCGACGGGGCGCTCGACGACGGCGCGGTCGTCAGCATCTTGTTGAGCGACGGCGCGTTGAGGAGCGGCTGCTTGGTAAAGTAGTCTTGGAGCCGCTGGATGAACTTCATTTGCTCCATGAGCGTCTTGCGCAGAAACTCGTTTTCTTGGTCGACGCGCGCGCGAATTTCAGCGTGCTGCTCCGCTTCCTGCTTCCAGCCCGTCTCCGTGTCGTGCTCAGACGGCTCGGAGCTCTGGAGCACCTCGATTTGCTCCTTCAAGTCCTTGACCTTCTCACGGAGCGCGACGAGCTCGTCCTTCTGGCGCTGGCGATGCTTGCGCGCGGCCTTGGCGATTTGCTCACGGCGACGCGCCTTGCGGCTCTCCTCGTTGTCGGCAGCACCGCCGGCGCCACCAGCAGCCGACGACGGGCTATCGGGTACATCTGGGTTGGACTGCGTATCGCTCGGCGGCGCCTTGCGCTTGCGTGACGCAGCAGCCGATGGCTTCTTGGCCTTCGAGGTGGTGGACGACGCTGCCGCGCTGGGTTGGCTGGACGTGGTCGACATCGGCGTCAAGGCCGTTGCCATCGGGGGTGGTTGCATCGGAGGCAAACCGTAGCCGCCAGCGCCTTGCATGTACGAGCCGTCAAAGCCCATGCCAAGGTCGGGCATCATGGGCATGCCCATGGGCACGCCTTGCATGTTGTGGGGCATGCGGCTGTGGTTCATGTTCGGGTGGCCTTGATTGCCATTGGGGTAGTTGTTGAACGGGTCCATCGTCGAGAGTTCTACAAGCAGCATCAGCTCCGCTTGCCACCACAGAGGTCTAGGATACCGTTTTGCCGCCGAGGTCCGTCGCGCTCGCTGCTTGTGCCCGAGCCAAGCAAATGATTAGTAAGCACGATTACGAAATCAGAACGGGGCACGTGCCCCCTCACTTCTTACAAACACCAAGTCACTTTAAAACCCTAGCCCTACTGACATCATGCGCGTCTCTGATTGGCGGATATTGCCAGTCAAAAGAATTTGAGCAGTAGCCGCCGCATTATAATGCATCTATCTGCGCTTGCATACAAAACCTAAATGATAAAATAAACAAGGCAGGTAAGAACAATGCCATTCAAGAAATGCCCTTGGTTGGTCACGCGGTCCGGTAAGGTGCGGGAGGCCTGTAACGGCTCATGACTTGAAGTTTGTATGAATTGAACGGTTTCAGTGCCGACTTGTTTTTCACACCACTGAATGTCTGAGTTGCTACACAGCGCAAGAGACTTGACCGTGTGAAACACCGTGCCTTGTGTGCGAAACGAAGTGAGAAATCAAAAATGGCGCGAAACCTATGCACAACATCCAACCAACATTGTCATGCGACCCACAACTCTTCGTCGCTTTGAACCGCGCGCAGAGACGCTGCGTAGCACTTACGCTCTTTTCTGTTCTGCGTGATTGATAACTGGACGAGCTCTCTACAGTGATACCGGTACGAAGCCAGCAACGCAGCAATCGAAGCGTTGCACTCGGTTTGCATGCTTGAAAAGAGTTGATGTTGATTCACAACCAGCATAGATGGCATCAACCGTCGGGAGGCCTCCAACCTTCGGTATCTAGGCGCTAAGCGCTACAGGTCGGACGTGCTCGGGTAAACCAGACGCTATGAGAATTGCAGATGACACAAACGGCGAGAGGGTAAAAGCAGCATTCACGCGACGACTAGTACTGCCGTTGGAGCCCATGGCCTACTTGATTTGGCTGTACCATGGCCAAGCGGGGGTGTAGCGAGTCACGCAGTAGTACTATTAGCGTTCAGTCTCTAAAGCACACGCTACTGAGCGGGAACCTATTCGTTGCATGTTGATGTCATGCATCCTTCAGCACATGGTAATGACTCCTCCCCCGCATGGCAAAGACTTGCATTCGAATTCCGTGCGCCCGACGCCCCTGTATCGGCGTTGGATGCAGACAGTAATCCAAGGTCCAACGCCGCATCGATAGCAGTCCCAGAGGAGGCAGCTACCTCGCCGCCGGGCGCAAGGAGCTGCGAAGCTCTGTGGCCGCTACGTTGAGCGCTAGATCAGCGCCGTGCTTCGCGCCAAAAATGAGTACTTTGAGACGACCGAGAACGGCGAGATCGTCAATGTACGAGGAGGCCACACCCGGACGCGCGCAACATATTGTTCTGCATGCAAACCGAGCTGCAAAAAGGCCTTGACAAGCTCAACCAGATTCGATCAGACCTTGCCAACGTCAGCAACATGAAGCGGTCGTGTCGCTCCTCGGTGGGCACCGGCGATGGCAACGAAGGCATCGCACTAATTCTCGATCAACAAGGAATCGCAAAGCGTCGAGCGGGCGTCCTCGAGCATGCTGGGATCCTGACGAGGCGCGCCTCATCACACTTGCTTCGCTCAACATGACCAAGTAAAACCAGGTTACGGCTAGATGCTATTAGTATTAGTAGCATCGAGCCGTACCGCCGCAGTCCTGGCGGTACTCTGACTTTAACGATGCTTTGCTGCATCATCAACCAACCATTGCGTCATGGATCGTCGGGCTGTCACGTCGACAGCGGGGGCTCGGCGGTTTACGTTCTCGACTGCTCGTCCGCCAGCAAGATTGGCTGCACAAATACGTATACATCGCAGCTTACCACTACGACGTACTCCGCTGCATGGCCAAGCAACTTGCTGCTCGAGACATCGTGCACGATTTCCAATCTTTCCACACAGCCCTGCTAGAAGAAAGAACGCTCGTAGACGATCGCGATGCGTCCGGAGCGATGACCGATGACACGACGGCGCTGGCATGTCACTTCAAGACCGGAAGCTGACGCCTGTCCCGGCCTGTTTTAAACACCGGCGCGACACCACGGGCGTTTTGAGTTTGTCGGGCTCAAAACTCGGGCCCATTGAGTTTGCTCGACGTCCTGCATCCCGTCGCCTGCGCCCACATCATCGCAGTGCATGATAGGACGTCCCGAGGTAATAGCAGTAGCTGCGGGTGGCGGGCAGCGCGGGGGCGTGGTCGGCTGGATGTTGACTCGACAAACGTCACCCTTGAAATCTTTCCTCTCGGAGCGATCTTTTCGTCATAAAATGGCAAAAATTTATGTTATCTTGTGTTTTGTATCCGCGACGCCAAAGTCGCCATGCAAGCCACCCAAGACGTTGAGCTTGAAGTTCCGGGCCAGAACGCAAACACCGACCGAGAGATGACCACGGAGACGACGTACGGCCACCAGGACGCGCTGCCGCCACTGCCGCTGCCGGCCCTCGAGCAGACCCTCGAGGCCTACGTCAAGAGCTGCGAGCCGCTGCTCACGCCCGCCGAGCTCGAGCACACGAAGGCCGTGTGCCACGACTTCCTCCACGGCGTCGGCCCGAGCCTCCATGCGCTCCTGGAAGAGCGCGCGGCCTCGGAGAAGAATTGGCTCGAAGAGTGGTGGGAGACGTTTGCGTACATGCAGCCGCGCTACCCGTCCGCGATCAACATCAACTGGTACGGCGTGCTGCCCGGCAACTGGGGCCCGCGCGATATGAGCCAATGCGAATCGGCTGCGATCTTTACCGTCGCGCTCATGAAGTACCGCAAGGACATCCTCGCGTACGTGCTTGTAACAATGCGATGCGCAGCAGCTCATGCTGGCACAGGGAGAAGATTCCGGTGGAAAAGATGATGGGCAAGAAGTTGTGCATGCACCAGTACACGCGCCTCTTCAACTCGTGCGTGATCCCAGACGAAGACTGCGACGAGATCCGCGTGTACGACCACACGCAGAAGCACATTGTGGTCCTCCGCAACAACTGCATTTGGGCCATGGACGTCATGGACGACCAGGGCAACACGCTGCCGCTGGCCGAGCTCGTCAAGTACGTACACGATTTGCTGCATACAAGCCCGTTCGATGCGTATTGTTTTGTAGCCAATTCGAAGCCATTCGCGCCGAGGCCACAGGTCTCTTTGACTTGGAGCGCTACCCGCCGGTGAGCGTCTTGACGTCCGAGAACCGCACCAACTGGGCCAAGGTATGCACTACTCGTCGTCGGCCATGAAAAGAAGCCTCATCGTCACGACTAGGCTCGCAACTACTTGGTGGAGCTCGACCCGTGCAACCAAGAATCGTTGGAGATCATCGAGAAGGCCATTTTGGTCATTGCGCTCGACGAGTCGTCGCCGGCCACGAGCGAAGACGTACACACTCAATCTCAAGTGCGTGATGGAGTGCCAACCTACGACGTTGTGTAGATTGCGCGCAACTGCCTCCTCGGCGACGGCCGCAACCGCTGGTACGACAAGCCCGTGAACCTCGTCGTGCACGAGAACGGCCGCACGGGCATCAACGGGCAGCACGCGTGGGCGGACGCGCTCGTCGTCGTCCGAGTCTTTGACTACTGCATCAAGTATGTCAACGAAAACTTCAAGAGCAAGTTTCTCGAGCGGTCCAAGATTGCGCCGCCCGCGCACAAGCCGCGCCGCCTGCACTGGAAGATCGATAATAACGCGATGACGGCGATCGAGTGCGCATCGGCGGCCGTGAGCAAGCTCATCCAGGTACACCGTGCCGCCATGTATCGGTGTATCAAGATGTATCTATCACTAGGCGAGCGACATTTCGACGATGCTCTTCCAGCACTACGGCCACGCCTTCTTGAAGCGCTACAAGCTCTCGCCCGACTTTTTCGTGCAGCAAGCGATCCAGCTCGCGTACTACAAGACGTTCAAATTCCTTCCGGCCGTGTACGAGACCGCGCACACGCGCCTCTTTTACCACGGGCGCACGGAGACGGTCCGGTCGCTCACGAACGAGTCGCTCGCCTTTTGCAAGACCATGTGCACCTCCAAGGACGTACGTTGTGCTCGGACTTGTCTTGAAGTGAGACGCATCATATCCGCGTAGAACTCTGAAAAGTGGGACGCGCTCCAGACCGCGATCCAGCGCCACGGCGAAGTCATCAAGAACAGTCTGCTTGGCCAAGGTAGAGACGCCTTTGATCGAAATTGGGGTCAGAGCATGCCAACTAGGTGTGGACCGCCACTTGATGGGCCTCCAAATCGTGTCCGAGATGTCGGGCATCACGCCGCGCCCGTCGCTCTTCTCGGACAAGGCATACGAGCTCTCGAAGCGGTACCGCATCTCGACGTCCAACATCAGCGGCGGCGCCGGCGCGAGTCCGATCTGGGGCGGCTTCTCGGCCATGTACGACGACGGCTACGGCATCTGCTACGCGCTCCAGCCCGACCGCATCAACTTTAGCATCACGTGCTACAACAACGAGGCGACGACGTCGGCGGCCGAGTTCAAGCGCGCGCTCGAGGCGGCGCTCCTCGAAATGGTCGAGCTCTGCCTCTCGCGCAACGTCATTTACGTCGGCAAGTCCAACTTGTAGAGAGATTAGACGCCCAAGCTCGCTTGCAGGGCATAGTAATGGATGCTGTACGTTGCGTTTGTGATGGTCAAGAAGACGGTGTCGAGGCCCGGCTGCATGGCGGCGAGGCGGCAGCGCAGCGCCGAGAGTCTACGGACCGTGGGTCAAGGCGGACAAGCATGTGCTACGTACTGCTCGAGGTCCACGGGCGCACTGTCGTCGTGGCAGATGACCGCGACGCCGACAGGATCGTCCATGACAGCGTTGCGGTTGCGCTTTCCGTCGTGCATGGCTTGGATCGGGATGTCGCCAAGCACGATGTACGTCGGCGCCGTGGACGACGCTGGCTGGTCGACGACGAGGCGCCAGCGCCGCATGGGCTTGCGCTGGACGAGGTCGTGCCATATCTACGCCAGCGCCATGAGCCTCAGCGTAGCCGACGAGGCGATGCTACATCGTAGACGTAGATGGGCGTCGTCGGTAGGAGCGCCATCCACTCGCTGCGGGACGAGCAGGACCACGCGGTCTCCTCGGCGGCAAGCGATTCCATCGAGCACATGGAAACTGCGTGCGTTTAGCCTCGTATCCGGTCATTCGGATAATTCACGTCAACCATGAACGCGCTCCTCGAGCAGATCCGCGACGGCCAAGGCTCCATGGTCGAGATGGAGAAGGAAGGGCTCAAGCATGTCTTCATGGAGGTCCTCGAGATGCTACGTGCTGAGGAAGCGACCAACGTCGTCGAGCTCGGACGATGGACGGATGCTCTCGCCACAGGTAAAACACCGTGGATCATGATGACGGCGGCTGCATGCGAACGCTCATGGAGACGCGAACTATTAGTGCTGGAAGGTCTGCCACCGACAAAGCGGGGAATCTACCTCGGCGACGCCATTGCCATGCTCATGCGCAAGTCATCGGGCCACATCTCGCTCGACCCGTTGGTCCTTGGGTTCCTAGCTCGCATATCGCCCACCCTAGCGACTTGCCCGGACGCATCTGCCAAGATCCAGGATCACAAGAAGGTCGTCTACGCTCTCTTAAGCGTCCTTGCGCGTGCGCCGAAGCATTACCTCGACAACGGACCGTCCACGACCATCGAGGACCTTCTGGCAGCCTGCCACGCCGTCATTCCGGTGCACCACCTCTTCGCGATGCAGCCATGGCGGCAGTACGTGCAGATGTGGCGAGCACTCGTTGCCCCTGGTACGGATGCTGCGTCGGACGACGACGACGACTCGGATGACGATATCGACGACGACGCGGCCGAGATCCGAGCCGAGATCCGCAAGGTCTTTGAAGCCCGCTTGTGGACATCGATCCCCGATGCGTTCCACATCAAGTACTTGGGGCCAGACCTGATTGGCGCAGACATGGGCGTCGCCGTGCTGGCGGCGTGGACGTGCCTTGGCGTCAACGCGCCCTGGGTAAGCATCTTCTCGTCCCTCTCCAAGACTGCGTTGGACACGATCTCGCCGTACGCTCAAGTGTTCATGCACCATGACGATCCGACAGTAGGATATACATACTCGTATGCCTCCTAGTTGACGTGTATCGAGTAGGTCAAAGCCGTTGGTGTCCACATGGTGGCGATCACGTTGCCATTGAAAGCTGCCATGTCGGAAGACATTGCGCCCGACCAGTTTCAAGCGTCGACCGACAAAAAAATCGTCGGTCTCGACGCCTATGCAGAACGTACGCGGCACTCGACAGCAGCTCTGAAGTGCGTTTGAATCATCCGTAGAGGAGAAGCGTCGCCACCACTACCAAGCACTGCTGCAGGCCTTGCTGACGACGATGGTCATGGTGCCCGACGCCAAGGAGCGGCAGCGAACGCTGCAAACGTGGCAACAAGTCGTCGAGACGATCGCGATCCCGTCACGGTCTGATGCATGTCGCATGTCTTGGATTTGATGACAACTCCCTAGGCTTCTGGTTCTGAGCTCGCTCATTGAACACTGTCCGTTCCCCAACGCGACTGCCGTCATCGTCGACCGCGTTCGGAATGAAGTCGCCCGCCATTGGCAACGTACACCCAAGCTCGAGCACGCGCAGAACTCACCTTGCGAGGGTAGATTACGTCGAGGAAAAGTTGCCGTCCGTCGTCGCGTTGCTGACGCGGCTGCTGGCACCGCTGCCCGATGCCGAGTTTGTCCAGCGCAGCGATGTGTACACGAGTGCCCTCAGCCTGTATCGCTTTGTCCTTCTTCGAGACAAGGTATGCGGGACGTGGTTGCTGGTTCAAGTCGCCTCGTTCTAGGTGGAAAACGCATCTGGCTTGCACTCGAACACGGCTCTGGCGACGCACGTCAAGGGCCAGCGGCGACGTCTCACGGATCTCATTGAAGCGCAGCTGCTGCTTGGTCCAGCACCGCATGCGCATCCTTGCGGCGCGTCCCACGATGCCACGTCGCCGTTTGTGACAATGGAGATGACCGGCGCGTCGCCTACGTCGGGCCCCGTGCGCTACGACCTCTTTCGGCTCCAGCTCATGCAAGGCGCGTTCGAGGCCGCGCTGGACGCACTCGTCACAAGACCTTGAGATGATCATGTGCCCACAAGACGTCGTCGTCCAAGACGTTGGTAATGCCGTCCATTTCACTCGGATCCATGGCTTGCAGCATGCGTTGGCCCCGCGACACGAGCGGCGATGCAAGTGGCTCTAGAATTGACTTGGCGCGCGACGGGGTCGAGACCGTGTCGACGCTTGTGCTGCTCATCGGGCGAGTCAGCGGCACGAGGTCGGGGGTACTGCGGCGCTGCGGTGTCGGGCTCTACGCAGCCAGGGTTGTATGAAAACGTGCATGGCGATGTAGGCGCACGGCAAACACAAGCCGGCCGACGAGAACGCGCACTTGCTCGTCGAGGCCCATCGGCAGCTGGAACGCGTTGAGCTGGCGGTGGACCTACATGAACGACGCGATGAGTATTTCGTAGAACGCGTCTGCGTACAATGTCGCGCACAACGTGGCACCCGGCGTCCCGAAACACGTTGCTGTAGTCGCGGGCGACCGCCGACGCGCGCTCGCAGCGCTTCTTGAGCAGTCGCTGGGTGCTGAGCACGTCCATTTGGGGCGCCACCAGCATGTGCACAAACGCATCCAAGTGGTGGCTGCCGTACGTCTCGAGGTCGTCCGCATGAACCGGCAGCGTCACAAACACGGCTTGAAACAGGAGTTCGTAGATTGAGTGCGACATGGCCACAGGCGACAGCACTTGCGCTTCCAGACGTGCCTTCATGTCGGCGAAGAGCCCGACTTCGTCTTCGAGGCGTGCCCGTGCGACGATCGCCGGCGTGTCGGCCCGCGGCGAGAAGCCGCCCTCAAAGACCTCCGTGTCCTGGGTCGTCGGTCGCTTTGTTTCGGTGTGGAGTCGGCGAACCAGCGTCGTCGGTCGAACATTGCGGGCCATCTCGATAAGCGACTGGAAGAGCCAAAAGATGCTTTGTGCCAGCGTCAATGGGATCTTCCAGTCGACCAGATGCGCGACGTCATAGGGCGCTAAATCCCGGGCGTGGACAAGGCCATGGGACTTCAGAATCGCACACGACCCATCCAGAGCACTCGTGAGAAGCTGCTCACGTCGCACCTATGTCATAGCACATTGCATGCATCCGTACCGAAATGGACGCGACAGAACCTTGAGCAGCCCCGGTGGCATGCGCAAGTATGCTCTCAAATGCGGGTTGCTCTCGCGCGATGCCAGCCATGGGTCGTGCTGGGCCGCGAGGTTGCCTCTCGCGTCGATCGTCGGTGGCACAAAGATGAACAGTCCCGCGACGAAGAGAAATTTCGCGATCGGCTCCTTGATACCACTGGGCAGCGCGTGCAAAATGTACGTTTGGATCTCAGTTTTGGTCGCAAACGGTGCTTCCTTCGTCGAGGTTGGCAATGCTGTGGGCGATCGCAAGGCGGTGGGCGATGACTTGGACGACAACATGGCCAGCACGGGGCGGTCTCTCACCGGCTCGGCAGCCCGCACGACGCGCTCGGACCGGAACGAGTTGCGCATGAGCGGTGTCCGTCGCCGAAGCTCGCGCAAAAGCAGTTTGATGCTTCGAATCGACCGGCCTTGGGCTTCGAGACCGCGACTACGCATGTTCATTCATGCTCATGAGCACCCCCCATTTCTTTCATGTGGTGCTCATGGGACGTACAGGCCCGCGATTACTTCCGGTAGCGAGTAGCCTTCGGCCATCGCGAGCCGAAGGAGCTTGGGCGAGTACTTGTCTGGAAGGTCCGCCGACTCGGGCGCGAGGCGGCCCAAGGCGACTTCGTCGGGCGATGCTTCGGGCGCGAAGAGGCTTGCGGGTGCCACTGGCTTTGACGGTGACCCTTGGCGTTCGGGCGACGGCGACCGACTTTGAGATAGGATGCACGTTGCCGCTGGTGGCCGTGGCGGTGACGACGAGTGACTTGGTCGTTCGGGGGACGATGCTGTCGTGTAGGCCGACGCCGTGCGCTCGTAGCGTTGCAGCACGGGCGACTCGAGGGCTCGGGAGACGTGCCACGCCTACGTCCGTTGTGCTTCGTCCTCTGCATAAGGGCTCCAGTACGCACTTGGATGGCCTTTTCTTCCAGCATGTGCTTTTCGCGCAGAAACTTTTGCACAAACGTCGTCGCGTTCTCTTCCTCGTCTTGCTTGTCGTGCAGGAAGCGCCGGTAGTCGTGATCAACCGCGCGGAGAAAGGCCCAGAGATCCCCGGTCGCCATGTACTGCGTCGCGAGTGCGCGTACGGGCTCGCTCAGTGACGCCTCCATCCGCAGCCGCCGCAGCGTCCGCCGGCCTTCGTAGCCGCGGTAGTACCGCTGGATTGTCGTCGCACTCGCCTACACATCCATGCAAAGAGCCATTGGCATGGGAAGAGCGTGTACGTGGCGATGGCGATGGTCGAGCTCGGCGTGCACTGTCCGGCGACGGCGGGCCACAAAGGCTTGGGCCGTCAGCGACCGCCACCAGCACTGCAGTCGAAGGACCGCGGCGGACGTGCGTGCCGCCCGCACGTTAGCACGTGCCTCCGCGTAGTGCTGTCGAGCAAGGTAGCCGCGGGCGATGCGCTGGAGATGGAGGATCGCAACGCCGCGACGTCGCGCCCACCACGCGCTTCGAGCGCGATGGACGCGCGCCGTCGCCTGACGACGCCGCACGAGGAGCTGGAGGCGCACGGCCGCGGCCATCTCGGCGCAGCCCCAAAACGTAATCACGTCGTGGACATGGGCGTGGCGCGTGAGGCGTCCGCGGACCATGCACTGGATGCGCGTCGACGCGTACGTCTGCACAAACGCTTTGCACGTCTACGCCCCATGTCCTGTCTTCTCGTTGCGTCCAAATGGAAAGTCGAATACCGTGAGGTTGAGGCGCGTCTTGGCGATCGAGGCGGCCGCGACCTCCAAAAGGCGCTTGAGATGCGGCTCGAGCGTGTGGATCGAGACGGGCGCTGCCATGGGTGGAGCTGGCGGCTTCTGGAGGCTCGCGAGGTTCAGGTCCGCGTACCGCGACGGCATGTGCAGCGCGGTTTGCATCGCGTCACGCTTTTGCTTGGTCGTCATCGTCGCATGGCTCGAGCTAATGACGACTTCTCATGAGTGCGTAGGCGAGAGCGTTGCCGTACATGGCGGCCAATGCGTCTTTGCGCGCGAGGAGCTCGGTCATGTCGGTCATAATGAGTCGCTTGTGCATGGAGGCGAGGTCGATGATGGCCGTCATATCGGCGATCGCATCAAGATGCGAGAGGCGGTACATGCGCATGAGGCGATAGAGACGCGTGCCCGGCACGTTTCTAGTTCACATGGTCCTGATCGCGGGAAGATGGAGAAGCGCGTACTCGTATTCTTTCTTTCTTGAGGCGCATGACGACGCCGGGCGCGAGCTCCACCTCGTCGTAGACGTCGCGTGGCTCGCTGTTGGCCTCGCGCGCGAGCCGCAGGCGCATCCCGCAGCGACACGGACGCCCGATCTGGCACCCGCAGTGCTGCATGCCACCGCCATTCCGGGCCTCGGCCATGGCACTCGAACCTAAATATAGAGCCCGTGGGTTTGTCGCTCTACTAACTACTCGTGCATTGTTCTACTAACTCAAAGCTTTATCAATTGGGACGAGGGTCAGGGTACACTCTGGACAACACGTCGAGTGGATGTCGAAAGCTCCATGCAGCACATCGCAGCAGACACGACAAGGAAATGGACGGGCCATTCACGCGTGTTGACGCGTCTCATGCGCTTCCTGGTCGAGTTGTTGAAGCTTCTTTGGTAGTGCAGCTGGTCGATCGAATCTGACCATAACTCTGGCAGCGTTCTCGGCAAGGCTCACAGTTGGAAGAATCTGGCGCGATGAGCTCGAGCTCTTTGGGCCTTGGCATTGGCATGTGTCTCGTCGGGACCACCGTCTCCAACCTCGTACGACCAGCGAGATCGCCACGATATGGTGTCCCTAATGTCTCTCTCTACGCTATGTACTAGGGACTCAACATTCAAAAATACTCGTTTCTGCACCAGGTGCGTCTCCCCGAGACGCAGCGGCGGCCGTACACCACGCAGTGGCGCTGGTGGCTCGGCTTCGCGTGCGTCGGGCTCGGGTCGATCGCGGACTTTGCCGCACTGACGTTTGCGGCCCAGGTACAAGAATATACTAGTACGGTGACGTGAGCAAATGAGATCTGAGTGGCGGCGTAGAGCGTGATCACGCCGATTGGTGCCTTTACGCTCGTGGCCAACCTCTGCTTTGCGCACTACTGGCTCAAGGAGCCGCTTTGCCGCACCGACGTCGCGGGAACGGGCCTCATCGTGCTCGGCGCGACGACGGTGGCCATTTTTGGGTCGCACGAGAGCCCCGAGTACTCGCTCGACGAGCTCATTGCGCTCTACATGCGCGGAAGCATGGCCGTGTACGCGATCGCGATCCTCGGCCTCGTCGTCTTCTTGTACGATTCACTTTACATATACATCGACTCCGATACATTGATACGAATCCGTTTGTAGCCACGTGGTGCTAATGCGCAGCGAGCAAGTGCTGCGCAAGTGCGGAAAGGCGTCGCCCGAGTACCGCGCGCTCGAGAAGCTCCACCCGCTCTCGTACGCTGGCTTTGCAGGTAGCATCGTCGTGCAACTCGACGTACGACGGCCATCGATGCAGGCATTGTCGGCGCGCAGTCAGTCATGTTTGCCAAAAGCTCGGGCGAGCTCATCCAGCTCTCGCTCCAAGGCCGCAACCAGTTCAATCGAGTCCTCACGTATGTGATCCTCGCGGGCTTGGTCCTAACGATTAGCGTCCAAGTACGTGGCGAGTCGTCGTCGTCTTCTGGGTTGAGACTTTGGTAGACGCACATGCTCGCGCTGGGGCTCAAGCACTTTGATGCGCTCTACATGGTGCCCGTCTTCACCGTACGTACTATCGCGTTGTGTTGCAGCATCGAGTCGAGATCGCATGGTATTAGTGCTTCTTCATTTCGTTCTCGGTCCTCGGTGGCGCCGTGTACTTTGACGAATTCCAAGCCTTTACGCTCTACCAGTCTATCTGCTTCCCGCTCGGCGTCGCCATCACCGTCGGCGGCGTCATTCTCCTCTCGCGGCGTGAGATGCGGCTGAGCGAGGTATGTACACCTGACCTCAATGAGGCTATCATCTTTTGACGCGTTAAACGCTATGCAGACGACGCTCGATGGCACGGCGTCGCCGGGCACCGAGAGCCAAGATTTTGCCCTCACCACAACACCGACCTTCACGCGGCGCGTCGATATCTCGGTAGGCGCTGCACCCTCTCAAGGAGTCCACACTAATAACGGTAGTGTAGTAGGAAACATAGATACCCGACGACACATCGCAATCGTTTTTTGATGCTCGTTCGCACATCTCTTTCCCACTGGTGGTGGCTCCCACGTCGTGTGCGATACACGTCCTGTCTCGTCGTCGCAGGCTTGCGATGATGATGATGATGCTGGACTCTGCGTGTCGCGTGATCAACCAACCTCCTTTGAGCCGCATTCACCAAGTGCAATGTCACGGATCGCCATACATCTCTGATCTTTTAACCCACGAGAAAACTGGTTGCAGCCTCCGCGCCCGCCGTCAACCAAGGCTTGTGGCGCCGTCTGCACGGTTGGAGGACGCATGGTGCTCGAGCGATCCAACGCTGCATTGCATTACGTCCTGTTACGGCGGGTGCGACGTCAAAGCACTGGACAGTATACTTAGTCCAAGAGATGGGACCTTCGTTGCGCAGAGGCGAGGAACACTCTCTCTCGAAATGTCCGAAAAACAGAAAAATGAAAAAAATACAAGGGTCGTCGCCCGGTATTTTAAAAAAGACGACGAAAACTGCACCTCGTCCGAGAGGCAGTCGCGCGCGTTTTGATTGGCGCATTGGATTCTGATGGTGCGTCCAGCGTGCATTAAAATACAGTGTTTTCGACCGTCCCACGGGGCTGTTTTTAGAATACCTTGGTGTTTGTATCCTTTTTGGCGGCGGGGTAAAAACGAGAATAAAAATACAGTACGCCGCCGGCTTCGGGTTTCACAGGCCGGTTATTGCGACAGATTAAAAAACTGCATCGGACCTGCGGGCGCCGAGGTAACCTGCGACCGACGACGCCGCCATGGATGCTCATGCGCTCCATGCTGCTGTAGATGTCCGACCATGAGACCAACACGTCCAACCTCTTCATCGGCATTGGCATCTGCTTGATCGGGTCGACGATCTCGAACCTCGTGCGTCCAGCCAGGCGAGAGCGAGCACGGTTGCTGACTCTCTTCCATGCCTGTGTAGGGGCTCAACATCCAAAAGTACTCGTTCATCATGCAGGCGCACCTGCCCGACCACGAGCGCAAGCCGTACAACACGCAGTGGCGGTGGTGGCTCGGTTTCTTTGGCGTCGGCGTCGGGTCCATCGCGGACTTTGCCGCGCTCACGTTTGCCGCGCAGGTACGCGACCCTCGCCCATGCGCCGCCCACGACAGCGCGTGTGTAGAGTATCATCATGCCGGTCGGCGCCTTTACGCTCGTCTGCAACATCATGTTTGCGCATTTTTGGCTCAAGGAAAAGCTCACGCGCAACGATCTCTGGGGCACCGTGTGGATCGTCATTGGCGCCGTCATGGTCACGATCTTTGGCTCGCACGAGAGCACCAACTACACGCTGCACGAGCTCCTGCGCTTGTACTACCGCTGGGACATGCTCATCTACCTCGTCTTCATCATTGGCGTCGTCTTCTTCCTCTACTCGATGCTCATGAACGCCGAGCGCATTCTGAAAAAGAGGGCGCGCTCTCAACCGAGTACAAGACGGTGCTCAAGACGCACCCGCTCGCGTACGCCGGCCTCGCGGGTACAACTTCTTCGTGCCTCTGGTACAAAAAACTAGAATCTGATTTCCTATTTCTGGTAGGTGTCTTTGGCGCGCAGTCGGTCATGTTTGCGAAATCGACGGGTGAGCTCATCAAGCAGTCGGCGTCCGGTGACAACCAGTTCAACAAGGGTCTGACCTACGTCATTCTCGTCTGCCTCGTCTTGACCATCGCCATGCAGGTGCTCTCCCTGTCCATAAATGATGCGCAATGCATCTGACAATGCCAAGTAGACGCACTTGCTCTCGCTGGGCCTCAAGTACTTTGACGCGCTCTACATCGTACCCGTCTTCCAGTGCTTCTTCATCACGTTCTCGGTGCTCGGCGGCGCGATTTACTTTCAAGAGTTCAAGGACTACTCGGTCACGCAGTACATTTGCTTCCCGCTCGGTGTCTTCATCACGATCTACGGCGTGTGGGTTCTCTCGTCCCGCGAGATGCAGCACGACGTACGCGCATACCGCTGCTTCGACTGTGCCTCATGCATCGTACAATAGGCGGGTGCGCCGCCCGTGCCACCGGCGCCGCCGTCGTCGGCCGAGAGCATCTGCCATGCCGAGCTCCAGCCTAACATGCCTGGCTCCAACATGATGCGCCGCAACTCGAGCAGCCACCGCGTTGTGATGGAGCCCGAATTTTGCCCCGTGTCCAACCCTGCGCAGCTCCTCGAGCGCTCGTCGTCGATCGGCGGGCCCTTTTACGCCACGCAGAGCGTACTGGTACGAAAGCAGTCATTTCGTCGACAAGGGAAAAACAACTCATGATCTTGCTGCTGCTGTAGATGTCGGGTCGGTCCAGCACGGACTTTCAGGCGGTCGGCGACGAGACAGAGATGGTCGCGATGCAGACGCGGCCACTCTCCGAATCGGCGGCGGCGGGCTCGGTGCACCACGCTTAGAGGCACATAGGAGCGATGCTATTAGGAAATCACCACTGCATAACCCTTAAAAGATCATGTACAACAGTAAGATGAGAGAGGAAGGCCAACGGTATCGGCCGTGTCCTCTGCAGCAAGGCATGCTGTTGCATGGCAGGCCGTGGACGGTCCCTGTGCTCATGGGCGTAAGGAAGCGCGGGACAAACGCGACACCTTACCGCCGTCAACCACCGTGTGGAGCTAAACGAGCAAGACATTTCGCCGCAGAATGACCGAGTACACCGTGACATAGCCTTCGACGCCTTCCATGATGATCCTCGGGTTCGCTGGCATATTGACCTCGGCCTGCGTCACGTCGCTACCGATTGGTGAACCCACCGTACACAAGAGAGGACGTATAGTATAGTTGGCGGTGGGTGGTGTTGGGGGTGCAAGGTCATGTCGGACGATCGCCACGCACGTCCTCGTCGGGAGGCTAATGGATGTCACCATGTCCATGCGTTCATGCGAAATGACATGCATGCATGCAAGGGCCATCGCGCTCTCTTGCTCGATCCTCTGCACCTCGGCGACTTCTTGACGTAAATCGAGATTCTGGGATGGCCATGCGCGTAGCCAAAGGAATGTCTTACTTGGAGCATCAGAATCGCCGACTTTTCACAACAATAATGAGCAGCGGATCTTCAGGGGACGCGTACGCCGATGACGCCTTTGAGGACGAGGAGCTGGAGATGGAGACCATCGACGCGCCTCTAAATGCTAATGCGGAGGATGGCTACTCAGACGACGAGGACTTTGAACGGGATGAGGCTTCCACGGTACTACTGGACAACCCGCCGGAGGTCGACGTCCCAGCGCTTCGCGGCGAGGAGCTTCAACCGCCGTGCAGTCCATGCGCACCGCCAGCGCTGCATGCCTTTGTCGTTGCCAAGCTCCGACGCCTTGGCGCCAAGCCGGTCGACACGCGCTTGCAGGCCCCCGTGCCCGTTGCCCTCTTCGCCCGCCTTGGCCGACCGCATCATCCGCCCTCACCGCCAGTAGCGACAAAAAAGCAAGTCGAACAAGGGACTGCTCGTATACCGCGGGCGCTCGTGGACAAGCTCAAGATTCAAACGCTCTTGGCCGTGATGGCCCACGAGACTGCCACGTCACCAACGCGCCATCGCACGCCGCGATCTCTCTTTACGTACGCCGCGTACCACACGAGCCGGCTCCACGACCAGGCGTGGGCCAGCCACATCGACGCGCTCTACGCGCGGCGTCCGGATCCGCTTGCGATCGCCGCCGCCGCCATGAGTGCGCTGCGTCCTGCCTACGCGCCTCTAAATCCCCTTACGCGCCGCTAAATCCCATTGCGCGTCGAGATGAAGATGCTTTGTATTCTTGCTACGTCATAAAATAGGGGCGCGCGCTACGCAGCCGGGTCTATCCGCAGCGCCTCCAGTCGCTGGCGCTGGGCGGCGAGCATGTAGTCAAAGTCGTAGCCGTCGCCCGACGGATGGAGCGTGTGCTCGGCCGAGCCACCGAAGAAGGTTGGAATCACAGACGGCGGCATGACCTTGAGCAGATCGACGCTCGGCGCGTCCATAAAATGCGCCTTCTCCCGGAGCCGCGTGGGCAGTAGCGGCGAGATGATCTTGGTGAGCGTCTTGACAAGCAGTGTAAGCGGCCCGACGCAAATGTTGTCGATGCGGTCGGGGTAGTTGCCTTGGCAGACCTCGATCATGGCTTTCGTGAGGCGCATGTCGACCTCGCGGTACCCGACGTTGGCGCAGTCAGTGACCAAGGTGAAGGTCGAGACACCCGGTGGCATGAGCTCGCGGATGCCGAGCTCGAGCATGAAGACGTGCGTACGCACTTCGAGGTCCTTGTCCATCGTGCTCCAATCCTTCTTCTTGGGTCGGAGCCAAAGAATTGGCCGGCGCCTCAAGTCGTAGCCAAACCAGTACATCGAGCCACTGCGCAGCTGCGGCGCGACCTCGTCCGGCGAGATGGCACCTGCCCGGTACTCGGTGCGCCAGTTGAGGACGCGGTTGAGCTTTTCGGCTGCATATTCGATCGACCGGTTCGGAACGCTAATGACACTGTGAAGGTAGTCGTCCTTCAAGAGGAACTCGGCCTCCTCGGTCGACTGCAGCATCTTGCGGAACGCCCGGACGCGCTCGACCTCCGACAGCGACAAGCCATCCGGGCTCATCGTATCGTCTGTGGATGCTGTGCTGGACGTTGGCGACGGCGGTGCCGAGTCGCAGACAGTGGACGCGTTCGAGGCCATCGACGTCGTGCGCAGCGAGGGCTTCTCGAGCGCCAAGTCACTCGCACGTCGGTGGACAGTCTTGGGCGACGGGACGGGCGTCACAGCCTCCTGCGGGTTGGATGGCTTGATGTCGATCGACTTGCTTCGGCGCGACGGCGTGTGCACGCGGCGAAGGCTTGGTGCAAAGTGGGATGGCGACGAGAGCACTTCAACCGCGTGGAGGTCGTGGAGATAGACCTTGCCAAGGAAGCACCACACGACGAGGACGACCTTCTGGAGGAACGAGACCTCGGCGAGGCTGTCGAGGAAGAGGATCACGAGGAAGGACATGGCCAGCCATTGCATGCCCTCATGGGGCTTGACGTGGCTCGAACCCATGGTCACTTGCTTACTGCGCTGGCGGTGACGCTAAACCCTGAATCTCTCGGAATCTGGGCACGCCGCTTTTGCACCAATGGCATCGCCCGAAATCGAATCCTCCTTCGGGATTGGTTGAAAGCGTAGCGTGTCTGGGCACCCCATTCTTTCCCCCATTAAAATGGCATACAAACACCAAATATAAACAAGCCCAAGTCGACTTTTAAAGCGGGCCAGAATGCCGGTCCTTCCTGGCCTTTCCATTCTACTTGAAATTTGTATGCGGACAGCCTGCGATGATGCAAACCCACAGACGTCGCGACGTGGCACCGCCACGAGGTAAGGGCAGGAGCTGCACGGAACGAGTCGACTAACTAAAGTCGTCGTAGTCGAAGCATCACCCTCGCCCTGATCGTGGTACGGCCACAATTGTTTGATGATTGACTTGATCTACGTTGAACCAAAAGGTCCAGCATGAAATAGCATCAGAGACGACTCTTCCTCGCCGATCTGCAGGCTTCCGCGACCATGATGGTGGAAGCTGATGGTGGATGTCCTTGAAGAGAAGGCTGGGTGCGCGCGGTAGCTACAGATGCATTCCTCCCTGGGAACAAGGCGCCAAGATACTCCATTTTGCGATGGTCTTGAGCCGCTCGCGACGACCAAGAGGATTGACACTCGGGATGTGTGTTAACTTATATACTACGTGTACAACAAACGATCAGAGAGGCTGCGCGTGCGAGACGACAGCCGACTCGGGCGTCGAGGTCGGCAGGGCTTGCATGCGCTCCTTCTGGGACGAGAGCATGTAGTCAAAGTCAAACACATCTTGGTGGCCGTGCGGGTTGAGCATGTGCGTGGCCTTCCCGCCCATGAACGTGGGAATGTACTGGGGCGGCATGAACTCTTCGAGCTCTTTGCCGGGCGACTTCATGAACTTGGCTTTTTCCCGGAGACGCGCGGGTAAGAGCGGCGCCAGCATGCGCGTGAGCGTCTTGACGAGCGTCGTGAGCGGCCCAATGCAAATGGACCCGATGCGGTCCGGGTAGTTGCCCGAGCAAACCTCCATGAGGCCCTTCATGAGGCGGATGTCGACCTCGCGGTACCCGACGTTGGCGCAGTCGGTCACAAACGTGAACGTCGTGCAGCCCGGCGGCATCATGTGCTTGACGCCGAGCTCGATCATAAATACGTGCGCGCGGATCTCGACGGCCGCGTCCATCTTGGACCAGTCCTTCCGCTTGGGCCGCGCCCAAAAGATCGGGCGGTTCATGTAGTCGTAGCCGTACCAATACATGGAGCAGCCGGCAAACTGCATCTGGACGTCCGGCAGCGTAATCGAAGGCGCGCCATAGTCCTGGCGCCACGCAATGCAGCGCTGGAGCTTCTCGGCCGCGTAGTTCATGGTCCGGTTCTTGACGTTCATGACGCTAAAGAGGTACTCGTCCGTAAAGAGGAACGCGCTCGCATCGTCAAAGTCGAGCATCGACTTGAACGTGGCGAGGCGGTCGCGGTCGTCATGGCTCAAGGACGCAAGAAGCATCGTCGACGATGTGGTCGCCAACGCATGTTGGTGCTGCTGGCGGGTCTCGGACGTTGTACTTTTGTCGCCCGTGCTTGGGAACCGATGGCGCAGCGCCGCCGCCGACGCACTGCGCTTCCGCGCATCGGCCTCGGAACTCGGAGCCATGGTCTCGACGGGTGGCACGTAGCTGCCTCGCTTGGCCCGCGGAAGCTTGGTGTACTGTCCGATCGTCGGGAGCATCGTCGGCACATGAGCGTGCGGGTCGTGGAGAAAGAACTTGCCGAGCCACGAGAGCGCAACAAAGACGACCTTGTACGCGAGGCTCATCTCTTGGAGGCTATCGAAGAGGAGGAGCGCGGCCATGGACCCGCAGAGCCAGAGCATGCCCTGGTGGCGCACGTCCATGGCAGCTTTGAGGTCGGCGCGGAACTTCTCCTCTTGGTACTGGAGGTCCATGATGGTCTCTTCGGCCGTCGGCGCAATCGAGCGCGTGACGTCTGGCGAGAGCACATAGCGCGTGCGCGCATTCTCAAATGAAATCGTCTCCGAGTCCATGGGGCTAAAGTAGCCGCGTGCGAGGAGCTGGTTGCCGAGCACGAGCGCCGCTTGCTCGTTCAAAAGGCCGACGCTCATGAGGCACGTGACCGCGTCGTCGCCGTAAAAGCACTCTTGGAGCGTGAGCTCCTTGGACGCGTCAAACGATGAAAAGTCCAGATCCAAGTCGACGGCCGACATGGACAAGCTCTCGTCCGGGCGCGGGTCCTCGACGACGTAAAAGATCTCAATCTCAATGAGCATGCTCACAAAGAGGTTGTGCAGCTCGGGACAGTAGTACCCGTTCGTCTGGTTTTGCTGGCCAACTTGAGTTTCATCTTCGTCGTCCGAGCCCGCGGCGTCGCTGCCGTCTTGGCGCTGGTAGTGGAATTGCCGGTGGAGGTTGTACTGCGTGCGTGAGACGGTCTCAAAGAGACAGTCGTCATCGAGCAGCGTGTACTGCGACACCATGTGCTTGAGGAAGCCTTCGTTGAGGAGCGTGTTGCCGAGCACGAGGGCTTCCGTGCGAGAGTTGCACCCGACGTGCTTTTGGAGGATGTCGAGGACATCCTTCCCGCGGAGAAAGAGGCTACCGCGCTGCGCCTGCAGGTCGTGCACGAGGCGTCTCGCGGCGTCGATGCGCTTGCGGTCAATGCCACTGTTGGCGTCAATGTCATCGTCGTTTGCGTGGGCGACGACGGCGTCGGCCACGACGCGGGTCGTCTTCTTCAAGCTCAAGATCGTGGTCTGGATCGACGAGATCCAGTTTTGCTTTTCTTGCGACGAGCGCGCGTCGAGGATCCACTCCTTCGTCGACTTTGTCTCGGCGTCGACCTCGAGGACGCGGAAGCAGTGCAGGTGCTCGGACGAGACGACGACGACCTCGCACGTGGCGCCGATGAGGTCCACGGACTCGAGCTTCGCCTTGCTCGGCTTGGCCGTGTCCTCGTAGAAGAGGAGCGCGTCGGCCTCCAGCGCCATCACGCGCGTGATCCACTGGTACTCGGACGCGCGGAGGAGGACCTTTGCCGCGCATGCTGCTCTTCGTCGACCGCAAATATATGTGAAATGACCAACCGGCGTGGGAAACGCAAGGCGTCCGTGCGTGAAAAACGTGAAATATCGAAAACCACACACCTGGACACGGCTGTAATTGCATCATTTTTGGCGCGCAAGTCGTCTCCTCGTACCGGTAGCAGGACGGTATCAATAGCAGGACGCTAGAGACTCGCAATGGAGCATTTCGGGTCTTTCTTGTGTCTAGGATGCACGTGACAACGCAGTGCTCAGAAGGTCCACCCTCAACGCGCCGACAGTAGTAGCAGGCGACGCACTGGTAACGTGAAAACGGCAGAGTCGACATTGGTCTGTAGTGCGTTACAGTAGCAAGCTCTGTCGCGGACAAGTGCATACTTGAGCGCACGCCACCACACTTCAAAGGATAGCTTCCGATATAATTCCCAAGAAACTCGAACAACCTGCCATTCTCCTCATCATCACCTGCAGAAACGACTGGAAGGGGCTCATGTTGCTACTGCCATCAACTTACCGTAGCTTGCTGTGCTCTCAAGGCGCTATACTCGAGGAGCGCTGGCGGAATGCGTCGACCTCGCTGCAGTAGTCGACGCCTCTACGGCGTCCGCGTGTTCGGTGTGTTGCACATGCTCGGATTACAGCGCGGTCCGTGGAAAACGTGAAAAACGCAAAGCAGAGTGTGGGAAACCACCGGCATGTGTCACAGCAGCTGATCATGTGTATCCGGAGTCCGGATACTCGTTCGAAAGAGTATCAAGTTGTCAAGCTCCTGGCGTGCGTCTGTGGCCCCGCCCAGGTCGATAAAAGCTTCGACGCACTGCCTTGATTGACGGGTCTTGTAAAATGCTGGCCACCACGGGAGACATCAATTCAAAGTTATGTACCCTTGACGCCAAATTGATGTACTTTTGACACCCATGGCTTCCATGACGTGGCTTCACATCAGCAAAGCCTTTCGACTGTTGGCCAATCATCATCGTGTCAAAGCCAGCGTACTTGGCATCAGGATTGGACGGGCTGGTTCCGGGCGAGTGGGCAACAATACAAGATGCCCGTCGTGCAGGTCTACCGCCGTGCAGTTGCACGTCGACTCGCCACTCCGTTGGAGCCATGTCTTTTGAAGCAATAAAGTGCATCTTTACTTTTGGAGCTTAAAATGAAGTAACGTTATGTATCTTCCGACTTCAGAGCCACACGATAAGCGCCCCATACCAGGTTCGGTGGTCTTGGAATCGTTTCTCACGACGGAGCAGGTAGACCTTGACGCCGTTCAAAAGAGGCTGCTGGTCTTGGTGCTTGCTGTGCTTACCGGCGCCCGCAATGACACAAATACGCTGGTGTCCCTTGGCCTCCATAATAGGCAGCGTCTCAGCAAGCAACTGTTCGGCGCCTCGGAGCGAGAGGTAATGCACGTCGATCTGGCCAGTCGCGACACAGTTCCAATTGCGAGAGCGAGCAATGGTGTCGACAGCCTTGAGCCTCTTCACCTGCTGTCTCTCCTTAAGATCTCGTTGGATGGCCAGCTCTTTCTTGAAGCTGATCCAGTCACCCCTCGCCTTGGCTCTCCCAGCCTTCTCATACGACCGTTGGAAGAGGACATCTTCGCGAGTCGTCTGGAACTCGGCGAAGAGGTAGTCGACTCCTGTCTGCACTCGGTGGGGCTGAGCTGGATTCTACATAGCACGACGCGTTAGAACTCTAGCGTTCATACGGCATTCGATGCTTACGGAGTTCCATGTGAGGGTACTGGACCATGAGCGGCTGGAAGTCATGGAGGACGCAGGAGTTCCTGGGCGACCCGTGGGGATGGAGGAGCCGAGTGAGCCAAGTGCGGCAGCATTCAAAACGAGGCCGGATTGAACGCTGGAGTTGGCCATGCTGCACTTGCGGGAAGATTTCCAACTGATAGCTTAAGTGACCAGCCTTGGTGTCTTTCATGATCGAAATCTACTTTGTGCCATACGTCGACCTACACTCACTCCATGTACTGCCTCGTCGCAGGGCATTTGAATGGCAAGGGGCAAGGGGTATACTATACCCCTTGCCATTCAAATGCCCTAAAAGCTAAATTCCATAATATGGGATTGAGCCAATGTGGTTTCTACGGGCCTTTGCGTCGCGATAGAGCTCACGACGCAGCTTGACGCTGGTGCGACCACCCTGTCGTATTATATGCTGCCGTGCGACGCGGTGCGACCGGGTCGAGGCCAATTGAAACGTGATGCAAACGCAGCCAGCGGCTCGAATTCATTTCTACAGTACGTCTCTTGTTCACGACGACTGAACTTTTACAAATTTGCAGAGGAATGAGTCATTGAACGCGACAGCTCGCAGCGATGCATCGATATCTCGGAGCTCGGAGCTGGTGGCACGTCATGTAGACCATGCCGCATGTCGCCTTGGACGCCCAGGATAGTTCCGGTACCATTAGTAGTAGAACTGTCAGAGAAAAAGGTTCAGCCGCCGTGTTCAAGCGACGTGCTGTAGAAATGAATTCGAGCCGCTGGGAGCGTTTGCATCACGTTTGAAGAGGCTTCGACCCGGTCGCACCGCGTCGTACGGCAGGGTGGTCGCAAGCGGCATGCGCCGGTCAACTGTCGACGGAGAAGCTCGGCGTCACTTGCCCGTGGAGGCTCCCAGGCATCCTGATGACTCGATTGAATTCGCGTTGGTCGGGAAATGGCCCAAACGGACCGTCGTCGTCGTCGTCGACGGTTTTGCCCGCGGCCGCGAGGCTGTCGACGATCCCAACATCCATGTCGGTATCGCTGTCACTACCGCTATACGCCGAGCCAGAGAGGTCGTCGTCATCGTCGTCCGAGTCGGCGCCCATGACAAAGTCCGAGTCGTCTTCTTCCGAGTCGCCTTCGGGCGCCACGGGCGTGTCGCCCGTGCTTTCGCTCGGGTCGTCACGCGCGTCATCGTCCTTGAGCATTTTGAACATGCTGACAAACTCGGTGATGCTTGGCATTTCTTGCTTCTCGACCATCGAGAACTCGACCGAGGGTCCACCGACGACGTCGACGATCAAGTCGAAGGACCGCAGGTGCAACGACGTCTTGCGGCCCGTCTCGATCGCGTCGACTTCGCTTCGGCTCAAGAAGAGCGGCGGGTTCAAAAAGCAGAGCCTAGTAATATACAGGCATCACGACTCTGTGGCGTCGAGAAGAGGAGTACCCTTCGCGAAGAAAGAAGAGGTGGCCACTCGTGGTCTTGCGATAGCACTTGACAAACGACTCGCCGTGCGTGCTTACGTAGCGTCGGTCGCCCGTCATGGGCTCGGCGATGACGCGGATGTGGCTCATGAGCCGTTGGAGCTGCATCTGGACCGCGACGTGGAGCTTGGCTTGTGTTACGGACGCATCGTTCTCCAGTTCAGCGTCGTGCAGAAGGATGTTTTCGTTGGGAATCACTGCGCTCGTCGCGCTTACATCGAATGCAATGTACTTGAGCGTCGACTTGCGGTAGCTTACGGGCGTTTCCAGCCGCAGCACAAACTCGTACGACGCTACCTTGGTCTTGGACACGGTGCTCTATCCACAGATGCATGAGCTATAGCGCAGTGGTGTCGAGAGGGTTGTCGTACGTGGCGTGGCAGCTTGAGCAGCGCGTCTACGTTCGTGTACGGTGTCGTCACGACAAAGTCCTTGCCCGTGATCGTCACGTTGTAGTCGCCGAAATCAATGTCGAGCTTGCCTTTCGGCACGATGCAGGTCGTCTTGGGCAGCGTGAAGATGAGGTTGTCGCCCGCCGACCCACTCATGGCCGCGGTCTTGACAAACTCGGCGTGGTGCTGCTTGGCAATGGCCAGAGAGCCCTCGAGGAACTTGATCGTGTTCTGCCACGTGGCCACGTCATCGTCCTCGACAGCGACGGCCTCGGCAATCGCAAAGCAGAGGGCTGCGCCATCGCGCAGGTCGGCGATGCTGCGCATGCTCTCGTCGGCCATCTTCAGTCTCGGTGGTCGACCAACAAACCGGGAGTTGTCGGGAATTTGCGAACGTTAAACGTGGGTCAAACCGATAAACCCGCGACGTCGATGGACATAAAACGCAAATTTTGCCCATGCTGCTGCTGCGCGCAACCACCGCCCGTGTGCTCCGCCCGTCCGTGCTCCAGCGCTGGACGAGCTCGTGGACCTTCTCGTCGGGCCTCGCTTCGCTGCCGCATCCCAAGAAGAAGCGTGGCGAAGACGCTGCCTTCGTATCGCCCACGGCGGTCGGCGTCGCGGACGGCGTCGGTGGCTGGGCGTCCAAGGGTCCGCACACCCTTTTTATGCACGGATCCTCACGCATGCATAGGCATCGACTCGGGCGCGTACTCGCGCGCTCTCATGAAGGTCTGCGAAGCCACGCCCGTGAGCAACCCCGTCGCACGCCTCAATGCGGCGTACGAAGCCGCAACGGTACTCGTCGACCTTCTCGCTGCGTACATGGTGGCCACGCTACTACTGCCTAGGTACCTGGTAGCTCGACGGCTTGCGTTGTGAGCTTACAAGGTAGTTCATATATATATGCCCACGCGTCGTGTGGTCCTCAGCGACGTCAATCGCCATAGGTGCCGAGATCACGGCGGCCAACTTGGGCGACTCGGGGTTCCTCCACTGCCGTCAAGAAGACAGCAAATGGACGCTTCTCTTCGAGTCGCCGCCGCAGTGCCACTACTTCAACTGCCCGCTCCAGCTCGGTATGGACAGCCGGGACCAGGTACACGGCGTGGGAGATACGCAGGCGGGACCCACAACGCTGTGCTTGTAGCCCAAGCATGCAGACGTGACGCAGCACACTGCGCTGCCGAACGACTTGATCCTTGTCGCGACCGACGGCGTGTACGTTGTCGCAACGAGGCAACACGGGTCGTCTCATGCCTTGGCGTAGGTTTGACAACCTCTTCACCGAAGAGCTCCTGCAGCTCCTCGACCAGATCTCCGAGATCCACCCGCCGACGCCCGAGAACGTACTCGGCTTCTACTAAGCGTCGATTGGTTGCTCAGCGTTCCAGTAGATGCCGGTCTTTGCCAAGATCATTGCTGAAGTGACGCAAAAGGTCGCGGCCTCCGAGACGCGCATGACGCCGTTCGCCGTGTCGGCGCGTCACGCTGGGTACACTACGCTTTCTTTTGCGTGCTCCCACTCATGGTGCGCTAGGTACACGTCGACGACGGGTGGCAAGATGGACGATATTACGGTGGTTACGGCGCTCGTTCAGGAAAACTAGAGAAATCCCAGCTTCTTTACACGCTGTAGCCGATCGCACCGAGAAGCACGGCAGCAAGAACCGTCATTGGAGAGTGCTTGCGCGTCTGGCTCGAGGACGACGATGGCGGCCATGGGTCATCCGACGCACTCGTGGCGGCATCTGGGAGCGTACTGGGAGCGTTGCCGGCGCTCATGTTGGGCGACGCCGACGGGAAGCACGACGCCGCGAGGCTGCGAACAAACGCAGGCATCGTGATCGTCGTTCCTTGGATCGCGAGTGTGCAATTGGGGAGCGCGGCCGTCTCAAGGCTGCTCAACGTCGCAGTGCATGCCGGGTCCGAGCACAGCAGTGGCATCTGCGCCGCGGTCGGCCACGCCGTCGGCGGTGTCAGCGTAAAGTTGGTCGCAGAGCTGCACTTGGTGAGGTTTGTAAAGAACGGCAAGAGCGTCGAGGCGAGACCGACATAGCTGCACGCGCTCGACGTTGTCGCCTCCAGTAGCCCGACGCTCGCGGGATTCGAGAGCGCGGGACTCGCGAGCGCCATACTAGCGTGGCACAGCGTCGCGAAAAACAAGCTCGCCGCGAGAAGAGACATATCCGTCGGATAGAACGTGTGCAGGCAAGGGCAAACTGCAAAGTGCTGTCGAGTTACGTTCCGAGTTGTGGTGGGTGGCCTGTCGACCGCGGCCTGTCCACGCCTGGCCGTGCTATCAATCGAACGTACTAGTACTGAATGCGAGCGACGAAGACGACCTGGGAAGCACCTAGACATGGTCGCACTGCGCTCTCCTGGGGCTGCCCGTCTCGTGTGTCAGGTTCACGCGCGTCTTGTTCTTCTTCTATACCGTCTCCTGAGCTTGGCAATTCGAGTTTCTGATCCGCCTTTGTACAATGGACCCTTGGCGCCAAACTCGTGCTTGCACCGAGGACGTGTTTGTAGAGCGTGCGATCGAATATATCTTGTTTGGCATTAGTACACTATAGTCGTTGTAGTAGGGTAGGGTTAATAGGGCGAGTGGGCCGGCGCATTTCCTGCGAGCGCCTTGGCCTTGCGCGCGGACGCCGCATAGCCGACGACGAGGCAAGCGAACGCAAAGACGCTCCACCACGTGACGATGCGGAAGCCGATGCGGTACATGTACGCTTCGTCTGGCGCCCCTGACGCGCCCATTTCGGTGTTGACCATAATGATGTTCATGACGAGCCCCGGAATGTAGTTGGAGGCCGCGTAGCCGAGAAAGTTGTACGACGTGTACGCGACCGACGACGCGAGCGGGCGCAGATGCGGCGGCGCGCACGCAATCACGATGCCTGAGCACGGCGAGAGGAGTGCGCCGCCACAAAAGAGCATCGTCCAGAGCAGCACCGCGATGACAAATGTGTTGTTGGAGAAAGAAATCGGGAGCGCGGCGGCGACGCTACAGACGCCGAGCACCATGCAGATGCGGAGCGCCTTGGCCTCCTGGACCGGGCCGGCGTAGCCGCCAATGTAGTCGATGAGCTTGCCGCCAAAAACGACGCCGAGGATCGGTCCGGTGCCCGAGACGACGAGGTACGCGAGGTGGATCGTGTAGGCCGAGTCGTCGAGGTTGGTCGTGAGGAAGAGCGTCGTCCAGTACTGGATGCCCGTGACGCAGAAGAAGAGCGACGAGAGCCCGAGCACGATCGACGTAAACACGGGAATGCGGAGGAGCGTGCAAATGTTGCTCCAGTTGCTCTTGCCATCGTCAAAGAACGAGTCATACTCGTCTTCGTCCTCGTTCTCGAGGTACGAGATGGATTCGCGCCGCGACGGACGCATCACAATGTGGTCGTCCGGAATGCCAAAGATACCGAGCGCGAGCGGCAAGACAAGGAGCACTTGGAAGAGGAACGGCCAGCGCCAGCAAAACAAGGTGCCGCAGCCCATGTAGCTTTCGCCCACCCAGACCGTGACGGACCCGAGAAGGTACCCGACCGTGACGCCCATGGGCACGGCGCCCTGGAGGTAGCTCATCCATTGCCCACGGCGCGACTTGGGAGCAAACTCGTGGACCCACAGCGGCGCGTAGACGCACAAGAACGCTTGCGTAAAGCCAATGAGGCCGCGGAAGAAGATCAAAAGCAGCTTCGAGTACCAGTGGTTCACAGGCGTGAAGGCGAAGACGAAGACGCACGCGTTGTTGAGGACGAGGCTGAAGCCGAGCACGACCTTGGGCGAGAAGCGCCGGAAGAGGTAGCCCGAGAGCGGCGAGCCGAGCGAGAGCGCAATGTACACGATGGCGCCGAGGAGGCCTTGGTCTTGCGGCGTGAGCTCAAACGTTTCTGTAAACTGCACGAGGAGCGCGGGCACAGCGCCAGCCTCGAGGTAGACGAAGATCTGCGCCATGATGATGAACTTGAAGAGGTAGGCCGCGTCCTTCTGGCGCGCCACATGGAGCGCGGCCTTGTCGAGGCGCGGGTCATTGATGGCCGTCGTCGTCTGGTACGAGACGTGCTTCTCGGTCGGCAGGAGCGACGCCGACTCGACGTCCGTAGCTCGGGGCATCCTCTTCACGACTGAGAGCCGCCTTTGTCTTTATACGAAAAAAGAGTGGCGTTTTTTACACGTTTTAATCCCGTTGCATACAAACGTCAAGTGGAAAGGAATAAAACGACACGCCAAACGCAATGGCGCATCAATGAACTGCTGTTTTTATCAAGTGCACACAAAAGGAAGTGGTGTATTTTAATTCCACTTTTTATATTTTAATGCCACGGCCAGTGTGGAGCTTGATGTTTGTATGCACATATCACACACGACGCACAACATGGTATTTAAATACATGCGTGGCGTTGCAGCCATTTGATAAGTGGTCAAAACTGACTTCAACGTTGCGACAGGCGGCATCAAATAGTGTATCAAGGCGTCGCACTCTATATTCGGCCGACGTAGTAGCTATTACGAGTAGAATTGCCCATCGCTGCGGCACGCGTCGGCACCGATCGACGATGACGACGTATACTTATGTTGCATGCATACTGTGTGTGCAGCTTGCCAAGGGTCACGCCACCACAGTACTCGGATAGCACACTATTAGTGTGTCATGCGTGTCAACGGATATGGTGTGTGTATCATGCGGAGTCGGAGGGTGACGAGGATGCTCATGGCGGCTGCGCTCTCGTCTCTTCTCGGAAAACACCGCGGTGAGGAACGTTCTGCTAACGCGATGTGGCATTGTTATGACGTCCTCTATCAAGCGTCGTCTCTAGAGTCTCTAGGCAAAGCTGGGCTGCCAGTTGCCGCGGAGGAGATCCGCGATCGGGACGCGGACCTGCGCCATGCTGTCGCGGTCGCGCACCGTCACCGATTGGTCCGCGAGCGTCTCGAAATCCACCGTGACGCAGTATGGCGTGCCGACTTCATCTTGGCGGCGGTACCGGCGGCCTATCAAAACAAGATGAGATGGACGATAGATGTCGAGGCCGTCGCACCGATCGAGCCCGTGACGTCAAAGTCGCAGCTCGCTTGCACCGTGAGGTCGCGGTAAAAGGAGCGTGCGACATCGACGAGCTCGCCCTTGCTCTGCAGCGGCAAGACGGCAAACTAAGGGGCAAACATAGGAGATGGCGTTGCTTCATCCTCGTACCTTGTACGGCGCAATGTCCGGATGCAGCCGCAGGACCGTGCGCTTCCTACACTCACGAGTCCATTCGCTTCATCCAGAGATGACGACGACGCACCGGCCAGCGACTTCTTCTTCGTCGTACGCATCCAGGAGCATCGCAAGCAAGACGCGGCCAGTGCCCAATGCAGGCTCGACCACATGAGGCATGCACACCTATAGCATCATCCTCGTGTCAGGGCATCGGCGCAATGAGTGTAGGAATACCTCCTTTGTCGTCGGGTCCTGGTAACTCAAGTCCTTCTTGGACGCTTCCATGTGCTTGCGCAAGTCATAGTCGGTGCGGTTGGCAACTATAAGATCCTAGTCGACCTCGTTCCTGCACGCAGGTCGTGCCACGTACTGCCCCAGAGCTCGCTCCAACCAAACGGGTACAAAAACTCAATGTCGGTCGTCGCGCGCGCGTAGTGGGCAAGCTCCTACCGCAGGCATGATCAATCGGCCGCACCGAAGGCATATGCACCGCTTGGTCGTGGACCCGCTTCTTGATGTTGGCTTCCTTCACGCCGTGCTTGATGAGCCAGTTGTAGCACTCGTCCACCCAGTAGTTAAACCTACAGGGATGTCGTCAGGATGAAACTCGTCCTTGCAAAAATGGCCGCACCAGTTGTCCGACTCGTCCGGGGGACAAAAGTACTGCAATTCGAGCTGCTCAAACTCGCGCGTCCGGAAGAGAAAGTGGCCGGGCGAAATCTCATTGCGGAACGATTTGCCCATTTGGCCGACGCCAAACGGCAGGCGCCGGCGCATGGTCGAGACGACGTGCTGGAAGTTGATGTACGCGCCTTGCGCCGTCTCGGGGCGAAGGTAGACCCACTCGCTAAGCCATGCATATCGTCCTCATGCCATGATTGCGTAAGAGTGATACAAGTGTACCTCGTCTCGTCGGTCGAGCCCATGTTGGTGCGGAAGAGGAGGTTGAAGAGCCGCGTCTTTTGCAGCGACGAGCTGCCGCAGGACGGGCAGCTCAGCTTGTGCGTCGCAATGAGCTCGTCAATCGCCTCGCACGAGAGGCCACCGGCTTCCTCAACGCCCGTGACATCAGACGCGTTCTCGATCAGCTTGTCGGCGCGCACGCGGCTGTTGCACTCCTTGCAGACCGTCATGGGGTCGGTAAAGTTGCCAATGTGCCCCGACGCCTCCCAGACGCGCGAGCTCAGGATCACGGACGAGTCGAGGCCGACGCAGTCCGTGCGCGACTGCACGAAGTGGCGCCACCACGCGTCCTGGATGTTCTTCTTCATCTGGACGCCGAGTGGGCCGTAGTCGAAGCTGTTGGCGAGGCCGCCGTAGATGTCCGAGCCGGGATACACAAAGCCGCGGTGGCGGCAGAGGTTCACGACCTTCTCCTGGAGGTCCGGCGCCTTGGTCACCTTGGAGCGCGCCTGCACTTGGCCGGCGAGGCGGCCCACGATCGGTCGGCGCAACATGCCTGGCACGCGAAAGATTTGCTGGTGTTCATGCTGTCATGTTGTTTTCGGCACATGCCACATTGTACTGCACCTGGTTTGTGGCGAAAAGAAACAGCTCCAGCGGCAAACAAGGGCCAACATTGCAAGAAAGCATTGGTGCACATCCTCGTGCTTGGGTCTACGAGTCCTGCAACCTACTGGAGCGGCGCGACGACGACCCACCGCGCCAGCGACGTCGAATGATGATTGCGACATCACGCCATGCCGAATCCGCCGTCTACATGCCGAATTAAATTGTTTGCACATGGCATATGCCACACCCCGGCTTTGAACCAGGATTCAACCGTATCCGGATAATGCGGTCTGGCGCCCCGGGGTCCGCTGATACAGGCGGCGACAGGGGGAAAGAAAGGCGTCGGGATAAACCCATGGCCGGCCTCTAATTGGGTGACCAACGCTTGCTGATGGAGGGTACGTAATGTCTACGTCAATTCAGTGAAGACGGCGCTGGGTGCACTGTCGTGTGGCTGTGCACCGTCACGGCGCCATGTCGTCGTCATCATCAACACAAAATACCCGTGGTGTGCGGCGCAGAGAAGGGCAGGTGCCATGGCTGAGCGCTGCGCGTTTGCACGCACTTGGGTGCTATTAGAAATGGCGCGGTCTGGCTATATAGTTGAAGAATGGAATGAATGGCCGACGTCGCAGGCCACTTGATTTCACTGGATTTCATGGCGCCGGTCGCACCTAGGCGCATCAGCATACAAAGCCAAGTGACACCTTGAATTACGGCATCCGCAAGGTGCGACGGTGCAGCTGGGCTGGGAGAAACCCACGCGCACCTGGGCCAAACGCAACTTCAAGTTGATTTTCATCGACGACGAAGCTGCTCACTTTGTATTTTGCGCTCCAGTGCTTCCATGGCTGACCTCGACTGCACAAGCATGCTGCCCGCCAAGGCCGTGTACACGATCAACTACTTTGGTCTGAGCGCCGTCGGCAACTTCCTCACGGTCTTCTTCAGCGCGTACTTTGACAAGTTCCAGATCGGCATTTTGCAGACGATTCCGTGCATTTGCAACCTCATTGCGCCGCCGCTCTGGGGCGCGATCGCGGACGTGCTCCGCAAGCAGCGCCTCATCCACATCCTCTGCATCCTCACGGGCTCGCTGCTCATGTTCTCGATCCAGTTTACAGCCTCGAGCTTCTACCTTGCGTGCTTTGTCGTCTTCCTCGCCAACTTCCAGTCGGGCCCGACGTCGTCGCTCCTCGACCAGGCGGTGCTCGCGCTCACGGAGCGCCTTGGCGCCGAGTACGGCAAGCAGCGTCTCTTCGGTGCCGTCGGCTATGGCCTCGGCGCGTACATCACGGGCGTCATTGTCTCGCAGTACGGCATCACGTGGGCGTTCAACATTCACCTCATCTTCTGCATCCCGACCATTTTCGCGCTGCAAATGATCCCGTCCATTGACACGCTTGTGCCGACGCATGCGACGACAACGCCGTCGGGCTCGTCGATGCCGACGCCGAGCTTCAAGACCGGTCTCCACGCGCTCTGCAAGAAGAAGGACGTGCTCGTGCTCCTCTTTGTCGTCTTCCTCGCCGGCCTCATGTTTGGCGTCCTCTCGTCGTTCCTCACGCTCAACTTGTATGAGCTCAGCGGCCACTCGGCCCAGATTGTCGGCATTGCCATTTGGTGCGAGACCATCTCGGAGCTCCCGGCGTTCTACTTTGCCGACCGCATCATCGAGAAGGTTGGCACCGTCAACGCGATGGCGATCTCGATCTTGTCGTACGGCGCGCGGCTCACGTGCTATGCGTTCATGACGAACGCGTGGTATGCGCTGCCGTTCGAGTTCCTCCACGGCTGCACCTTTAGCCTCGCCTGGGCCGCGTGCACCAAGTACATTTATGCGTCGGCGCCCCGTGGCACCGAAGGCATGATGATGGGCATCCTCAACGCGGTCCAGAACGGCCTCGGCCGTGGCGTCGGTACCATGGTCGGCGGCTACCTCTACAACACGTACGGCGCGAGCTTCATGTGGAAGGTGACGGACCTCGGTGTGCCGGTCGCGCTCCTTGGCCTGTACGTCTTCTCGTGCACGATGGAGAAGCCGGCGACGGAAGAGGAACTCACCAACGAAAAGACGCATCTCATTGCGTAAAACAACACACAATAATGTTGACAGTAGCTAGTATCCTTCGTCGGTAGACGACACCATAAACATACATTCCTTTTCACTTTGCACTTGTGGCTTCTCGATTCTGGTCCGGGGACGTCCTTACTCGAAAAAATCCAGTGCTGGATTCAAATATTGGTATCCAGTGATTTGCAAGCAATCCTACTCTTGATGTACCAGCAATGTCGCCGTCGTCGACGAGGCCCGAAGCAGCCGCTCGCGTGGCTATGTCGTCACGTGGTTGCCATCAGTGAGGGTCTGTGACGATCGAAGCCGCAGCGCCGAGAGCCACGCAAACGGTGACGAGAGAATAGGGATAGGGAATGTTGTTGTTGAAGTGGGTCATCTATTGTAATAGATAAAACTACGCTAAATAAAATTGACGGACTTTCTACGTTGTGTACACTCGGTGAAGGAACTTGATCTAGGCATGCGGGGGCAGGAGCGCGATCCGCGGGAAAAGGAGCTAGCGCAGCCACTCGTGTTGGGCGAGGCGCCGGAGAAAGCGACGAAGAGCAGGCTGCTCGGGCTCTCGAATCAGGCTCTTGAACGTGGTGCGGGTGCAGTTGAGCGACACGCGCCGCCTTGACGGCAATCGTCCATGAACTTGGCCGCGGTAGGTCGGCGCGGAAGACGCGATCGTTCCGGACTCACCAGACGTTGAACCAGACGCAGGCGTGGAGCACCGGCCAGAGGTAGCGCAACGCGGCTTGGAGGGATAGGGAACGTTCCCGAAATATGCTCGTTTCAATGTCGATGTCCATTAGCAAAGGTCTACAACACGTTTATAGACGATTGCGATTAGCGTATGCATTACGGAATAGTTGGATGGATGTGAGAGGTCCAAGTCTTTGTCTTCGCGATCCATGCCACCCTGCATTCGCTTCTTTACGGCACGACGTGGGCGTGCACGTGCTTGTGATCCATCGTGGGATCGGAACAACCTATATTCGGTATTAAGTGGTGATTTCGTTTATATGTTGATACTAGAGCACACACAGATCATTCATTAACTTTGGGTCATTTATTAGTTGTTGTACAGTCAATTATTATGCGCCGAGCCAGTGGTTGCGCCCAAATTGCCAGCCAAGCGTGGACCCCGTGGTGATACCGAGGAAGAGCCCGAGACACATGATGGCGCTCGCCGACTCGCGGTCCTCTTGCGGCACGAGACGCGGTCCGAGGCCAAACGTGATCGTGCTGAGCACGCCCGTTGAAAGACCCAGGATAAAATTGATGGCGAGGAGCCAAATCAGGTTGAGCGTGTGGGCGTCGGCCATGACGAAGAGCGGGTTGGCGCCGTTGCCTGGAAGCCCCATGAGCACGCCAAGAAAGAGCACGAAGCGCGCGACCGTCCACGTAAAGCACGACGGAAGCGAAAAGTACGGGTACAATTTCGGCGACCAGGCGCGACCGAAAAAGTCACCATAGTTGTAGCAGAGGAGGACGCCGTCGACGTACCACGCGGTCACGGACGGATCGCTGGCGAGCTGGGACGCGGACGCGATACCAAGACCCGGGAACGCCGACAACGAGCACACGTAGATAAGAAACTGGCTGGCCAGCGGCAGCGCGATCGCCCGCGCGATGCGGCCCAGCCGCGCCCACATGTCGAGGAGCGTCTCGCGGTTCGCGGAGCGCTTTGTCGTCTCCATGTCGTTGCGCTCGACAAGGTAGTGCACGCTTGGGATACGGAGGAGCTTGTGAAAGATGACGACTGCCAAGACGCACACCCCAATAAAGATGCCAAAAAAGATATAGAACGAGACTTTCTGGACGTGCACCGTGTCGTCATTGTGATGTGTCGCGCCGCCAACGAGGAGCTGCAGAAGCATGTGCAGCGAAATGTTGATGATGCCGGATGTGCCGTTGCCCAATTGAATCGCATTGGTAAACGCGGCTTCGGGAAAGAGCGCCGAGAGGGCAAAGAACGCGGCTTCCGTGAGCGAGTTGGTCAAGCCGACGACGCCAAACGCGACGAGAACAATCGTCGCGCCCGTCTCGGGCGATGCGTCGAGGATGTCTTGGAGGAGGATCGCAATAGCGCAGAGCGTATAGAGCGAAAAACCAATGCGCACGCGGTTCCACATGCCGAGCTTCTTGTCGAGACCAAAGATGACTTGCACGAGCTGGGCGAGCAGCATCGGCCACGTCGTGACGGGCGTCGTCAAGTACTCAAACTGGACCGTCGTTGAATTGGCAAAGCGCGAAAAGTAGTACGACTGCGCCGAGAGGCACGAGAAGTACGCCCAGAGACACGAGCCGTTGAGGAAGAGCAGCGCCCACCAGATAAAGCGGCGGTTGGCTTGAATGTCGTCAAGCACGTGCAGAGGAATCTCGTCGTCGTCGACGTCGCTCTCGTAGATGATGAGCTTGGCCGTCTTTTGCCCCATGATTGGCGTGTCGAGCAGCAGCATGCCCCTGAAGCGGCGAAAGAGAGAATGGCGCGAGGGTATTACGCGCGATCACCTGCGCACGAGTTGCCGTTCATATGTGCGTTCGTCGCAGGTGGCACGCACCCAGACGTATTACAGTACACACGGAGCCATCGCTCCCTCGTCGTACGGACGGCTTGAAGCCGTTTGGGTAGGCGTTTCCGAGGAGGATGTTGAGTTCACAATCGACAAGCCGCGAGCGATGCGCGCGCCCCCAGCAGTAGCAGCTTGTCCAACGACGACCGTTCAAGCGTGCCAAAAAGAATGCAAGAGACACCATGGTTAGCGCCATGGTGGTTGCGGACACTGCCCACGCTCGTGGTGGGTAAATCACCCAGACTCTATTCGGAACGCACCCGGTTTACCCCGGGGTGGTATCCATGTGATTCGTGGCCGAGTCTCTGTTTCGTACCGTCCACCAACACACAGCATTAAGTCGTGCCCCGGTAGGGTTGGTGCACGCGGTACACATTTTGCAGTTCCGGTAGCAGCAAGCGCAATGAGAAACGACATTCGAGCAACATTGCTTGTGAAGGAGTGCGAGCGACGTCTCAGCCAATCATTGGGTTGGTCGTTTTGTCCCGTTGTTGCAGCAAAGTAAAGCAGCCCTTTTGCCAGCGCCCTCGCTGCTCGTGTGTGTCCAATCTCCCCACGCCACTACAAATGCAGTGGCGTGAGTATTTCACTTGATGTGTCAGGGTGCGCGGCAACATACCGGTACCGATAAATTGGCGCCAACGTCTACATCGCTTCTCGGATTGGCCGAAATGCAGCGAATCAACGCCGCTGACGTCACTTTTCAGCCAATGGAATTGCCTTCCGATCAAAGCTGTTGCGCAAATTCTATGGATTTGTCGTGTGACCTCCTGTGGGCATAGATCTTCGAAAGCGATGGGCTCACGCAATCAACGTACTTCAACCGTCCCCTTCCACAAGCAAATCGAGCAACGACCTCGATTGGGTACACAGCGATGCACCTCGACGCACTGTGGCTCGCCAAGGCCGCGTACGCGACCTTCAATTTTGGCTTCGGTGCGATCCTCATCTTCCTGCCCGTCTACTTCAACGCCTACTTTGACAAATTCCAAATCGGTGTTCTCCAGACACTACCTTGCATTTGCTCGATGCTCGCACCGCCGCTGTGGGGTGCCATTTCCGACGCGCTAGAGCACCCCAGGGTCGTCCACGTCGTCTGCTACGTCTCGGGCTCCCTCCTCATGTTTGGCGTCCAAAATGTTTCGGACAGCTTTGCTTGGACATGCGTACTCTTCTTTTTGGCTCAATTTCAGTCCAAGCCCGCGTGGACGCTCTTGGACCAAGCGGTGCTGGCCCTTGTGGCGCAGCTCGGGGCCGAGTACGGCAAGCAGCGCCTGTATGGCTCCATCGGGTACGGCCTCGGCGCGTACGCCACGGGTCTCGTTGTCACCAACTATGGTATTGGCTGGGCCTTCACCATAAGTCTTGGATGCTGCGTTCCTGGGCTGGCGTTGTTGTACATGCTGCCGTCCCCACCACCGCGGGTGTCGTCGGCGACTTCGTTCGCCGTGGGTGTGCGCGCGCTCCGGCGCCGCTACGATCTTATGGCGCTTCTGAGCTTCGTCGTTGTCACCGGCGCCATGGGTGGGATCATATCAGCGTTCCTTGCGCTCGACCTCTATGAACTTAGCGATGGGTCGGCGCACATTGTCGGTCTCGCGACCGTCTGTGAAACCCTCTCGGAGCTTCCAGCTTTTTACTACGCCGACAAGCTCATCTATCGGCTCGGAACCGTCAACGTGTTGGCGATGGCACTCCTTGCGTACGGCGCACGGTTAGCATACTACGCGCTGATGACGAACGCGTGGTATGCGCTGCCGTTCGAGCTCCTCCACGGCTGCACGTATGGCCTCGCGTGGGCTGCAAGCACGAAATACGTATACGCAGAGGCGCCAGCAGGCACGGAAGGTTTTGTACTGGGGCTTCTTAGCGCTGTTCAAGGCGGTGTCGGCCGCAGCCTCGCGACCTTAGTGGGCGGTCATGTCTACAACGCGTACGGTGCGCGCTACTTGTGGGGCATGACGAGCGCCGGCGTTCCCGTGGCCTTTCTTGCGCTGTGGCTCTTTTCCAAAGCAACCACCATGAGGGAAGGGATTTGCGAAACGAGCCCGCTCATGGAGCGCAGTGCCTAGTGCTGGAACGATGCGTTAATAATCTCGCGGCGTGTCGTATTTGCACAAGAAAGTAAAAGGATATCGTTTTCTTGCTGGCTGCGTTCAGATCTCAACAAAAATATCTATCGCCTATCATGCATTCTCTAATCAAGCACATGACCCTGTCGACATCCAACATAGGCTAGTGAATCCCACTACTAGAACAAAACGGGACGAATGAAGAGATTGAAGTAGTGTGACGAAGGGGACGTGCTATCAATCTCCACCTCTCATTGGCATTGGGTGTCGTACGTTCCAGTCTGTCTTTGTTGACGACGTGTGGAGGAAGCTCCGCGTTTGCGTCTCGCCACTTCGATTCGAAAAATTCGATTCGAAGGTCCAGATACGCGTAGTACGTTGCCTTCGATTTTTGTCTGCCGCATCGATCCAACGTTCCATGGTCCCAATCCTGTGGCTCCAGTCGATTGCGGCGATCGAGCCACGGCCGTTCTTCCAGCAGTGACCAACTTGAAGCAGCATATTTTAGCCAATCAAAACGCGCAAAATGGCCTTTCTGACACGGAAACGGGCAGTTGCGCAATTGCACTATGGGCGCCGAGACCGAGCACTGGGCCGAGTTGCTGCCGGCCAAGGCCGTCTACACGGTGAGCAACATTGGCGGCAGCGCGCTCATCAACTTCCTCACGGTCTTCTTCGCGGCATCCTTTGACAAGTTCCAGATCGGCATGCTCCAGACGATCCCGGCCGTCTGCTCGATCCTCGCGCCGCCGCTCTGGGGCGCCATCTCGGACGTCCTCCGCAAGCAACGCCTCATCCACATTACGTGCTTGGTCTCTGGTACGCTGCTCATGTACGCGATCCTATTTGCCTCGTCGAGCTTTCTCTGGACGTGCGTCTTGGTCTTCCTCGGCAACTTTCAAGGCAACCCCGCCGCATCGCTCACGGACCAAGTGGTGCTTGCGCTCACGGAGCGTCTCGGCGCCGAGTACGGCAAGCAGCGACTCTACGGCGCTGTCGGCTACGGCCTCGGTGCCTACGGCGCAGGCGTCATCGTTGCGCACTATGGCATTGCCTGGGCGTTCCACCTCAACTTGATCTTCTTGGTGCCAACGCTGCTCGTGCTGCAGATGATCCCGCCGTCCGACGCCACCGACACCATTGCGTCTCCGTCGTCGCCGCCGCCCGCCTCGTTCTCGGCCGGCCTCCAAACACTCTTTCGAAAGAAGGACGTGCTCGGCCTGTTTGTTGTCTTCCTCCTCGGGCTCATGTGCGGCACCATGTCGGCCTTCCTCACGCTCAACTTGTATGAACTCAGCGGTGGGTCGGCGCAGATCGTCGGTATTGCGATCTTTTGCGAGACCTTCTCGGAGCTCCCGGCCTTCTACTTTGCCGATACGATCATCGCCAAGCTCGGGACGGTCAAGGTGCTCGCGATCTCGATTCTGGCCTATGGCGCGCGGCTCACGTGTTATGCGCTCATGACGAACGCGTGGATTGCACTGCCGTTTGAGTTCCTCCACGGCTGCACGTATGGCCTCGCGTGGGCCGCAAGCACCAAGTACATTTATGCGGAAGCCCCGCGCGGCACGGAAGGCTTGATGATGGGCATCCTCAGCGCCGTCCAGAACGGGTTGGCGCGCGGCGTCGGCACCATGCTTGGCGGGTATCTCTACAACACGTACGGTGCGAGCTTTATGTGGACGATTGCGGACCTCGGTGTGCCGCTCGCGCTGCTTGGCCTGTACGTCTTCTCGTGTACGATTCCGTCGCACGTCGACGCCATGAAGGAGGTCGCGCCGACCGAGGCGACGCACCTCTTGGCTTAATACCTCGACCACATAAGGGATGATGTTTGAGTTTTATGCTGTTTTTGGACGCGCATTGATGAACGAATAAGGCGCGTTGCAACCTCCACGCAGGAAAAAGTGACGCGCGCGAGTGAATTCACAGCATACACGCCGGTCGGGCTCTACCGTGTCGTGGTGTGGGCCACGATCGAGTCTTCTAGTCGACGGGATAGCTTTGAAAAACAACTTTGTCACGCGCACGTCGGTCTCGCACGCATCGCGAGTCCACCCTGCTCGGACGAATTCTGATCGAAAAGCTAGGAAGAACGCAACCCCAACATGGTCGTTTGCGTCAATATACACGTTAATCCTGTCGGGTAGTAATATCCACAAGTTGGGTTGCGTCGACGGATTTTAAAACGCCACGACATTGGTCGGAAAGTCGGAGCGGACAATCTGCTCGTTGGCCCAGACTTCCATGGCTTCGTCGACCTGCTCGGAGAGAATGCGCGTGACCACCATGTTGCCGTTGAGGTTGACCATGGTTGCGATGCGGTCCATGATAAAGTCGATGGCGACGACGTACGAAAATGCCGCGGGCAGGTCCTTGCTCGGAAAAACCGTCTTCCAGACCGTAATGAGCATGACGAGGCCCGAGTTGGGGACGGGCGCCGTGCCCATGGACGCCAAGATGCTGACAAAAAACATGACAATCCACTGCGGTAAGCCGAGGCTGTCGCCGTTCCCTGACATGTTGGCCATGAACGTGACGAGAATCGGGTAGTACATGCCACACGCGTTGAGGTTCACGGGAGTCCCGAGCGTCATGATGAGTTGCGCGAACGGCCGCGACACTTGGCGGGTCTGGTGGATCGACGAGACGGCAATGGGCAGCGCGGCCATCGAAGACGCACAGCCAAAGGCAAAGACGTACGCTGACGTGAGTTGCCGAATGTAGTTGTACGGGTTGATGCGCGTCGTCAGAAAGAGAAAGATCGGCATGACGAGCAAGACGTGGCTTATGCTGCCAAGCACGAACGCAAGGACGGCGAAACCCACTTGACCCGCGACGTTGCTGGCGTTGGAGCTAAACGAAATGACGGCCGATGCGATTAAAAAGACCACTGCGATTGGCGTAAGGCGCATGACCGTGTTGATCAGAATCAGCATCGCATTCCGCGTCTGCTTGATGAGCACGACGAGAAGGTTGTCCGAGATAGGTCCCGCAAACGACTTGGCGATCGCAACGCCAAACGGCAGGGCAAACATGATGATGCTGAGGAGCGACCCGTTTTGGACAGCTTAAAGATGTTGTCGGTCACGATCAACTGCAGCACCGAGATGAGCTGGTCGGTGAGCGTCAGCGTTTGGAACGGCGTCTCGAACCGGTACAGTCCGTTGACGTCAATCACGTCAAAGAGCGTGGAGGATTGCGATGCGTTGGCTGCGCTGCACGCAATGCGGCCACTCGGAAGCATCTCGAGGTAGTTCGAGTTGTGGCACTGGAGCGTGAACGTCATATTGATCGCGCTTTTTTCGACCACCAGCGCCGCGTCGGGCACGAACCGCGATTGAAAGAGCACCGAGATGACGATGCCTTGCACCGCGGAGAAGGTAACGGAGAGCACGATCGTGAGCACCGTGCGCCACCCAAGAAGCGTCGTCTTCTTGGCGGCAATGACGTCGGCAACGGACGCGGCCATCGAGCAAAACACCATGGGCACGATGAGGCACCGGAGTGCGCTCACAAAGAGGTCGCCCGGGAGTGCGATCCACGATGCAGCATCTGGACTCACGTTGAGGCGCGAGAGGCCAAAGCCGACCGCGACGCCAATACCTGCACACACGAGGATCGTGAGCGGGTTGAGCGTCTTGGCACCGTCGAGGTAGTCGCCATGCGCGCGGTTGCGCGTCGGCGACTCTTCCAAGATGGCCTCCTCGCTCGGGTGGCCTTCGTAGAGCCCGAGCGCCGGCTTGGTCGTAAAGTTGGTGCGGAACGTGTACGATGCCGGCGGCGGCTTGCGCGTAAACGCGTTGGGAACGACGACCGACTCGACATCGGACGCAATGTCTTCGAACGATTGTTGGAGCGAGATGGTGTCCGACGCGGGCGGCTCCGAGCCATCGCCAAAGAGGACGATGCCGCCGCGCTGGCTGTTGGTCTCCGCCATGTCAAATGTTCGCGACGGAAAGACGGCGGTCGAAGGCTAGAACATTAGAGCAATTTGAAGGGTCGCCTTTCGAAGCCTTGGGTTGTTTGAGGGGTTGGACGGCTCCAGCGTGTTTTCTACGCAGATGTTCTGTTTGTTTTATACATGTGGCACGTTCGGTCGATGCGGTCTGTCACGCCCACCACCACGAGGGCAAGAAAAATGATTCCCTTGCCCACCACGGGATTGTTCAGTAATAATATGAGCACTTACCGGTACCACGTTGGCGTGCAAGTGTATGTTGTGTGAGTTGCGCGCGCGTGGCCACCAGACCCGTCGCTGCTACGTTGTGCAACACCTTGCTCCTCGTCTGCGAAGGGTTGGGGCGACGTGAGGGCTAGGTTTCAGTGTGGTGAGCAAGCCAGCCGCATCTCTACACTAGGTACATCAAGAAAAGGGACAGGTTCGCTCTCCGCGTACAGTGTTGGTCAAAATAAAGGCGCACCCCATTTCGAAAAAAAATGCTGCGACCTTCAATATTAAATAATCGTGTCCCGGTATAATAAGTAAGAGGTATTTGGATGCGGAGGTCATCAATCGAATGGTGTCGATTCGGCCATTGGCGAGCCACTCAAGATAGCAACGATGGATGAGCTCGTGGACCGCCTCGAGCGAATGTGGTCCAGGGAGATGAGTGACCACGACCTGCTCATCGTTGACAACAGTACGGACGACGACGATCATTGCGAG